ACGCTCTGGGTGTGTCTGCGGCCGTAGCCCTCGGCAGAGGAAAGCCCTGGACAGCACGCGGTGCCCTGCGCTTCTGTAGCTGGGGGCAGTCAGTCCCCAGCCGCAATGCACACTGTGCTTCTCCAAGGCCACGCTGGAACAAACACCCCCAAACACCTGCATTGGTGTTTAACAAATAATAAAACAGGAAGTTGAAAGACTCGCCTTCTCCCTGTTCCAGGTAAGGGTGGCGCAGTCCTCCTGTAGGGCAGGGCGTGCAGACAGGGACCCAGGGGCTGGTGGGAGCATATTCCAGGAGGAAGGAAGAGAAACTGGCAGGCCGCCGCAGGACAAATACCAGGCACCTTGTGTGCCAAAGATTAATTCACAGGCAAGTGCTTATCGTATAGTTCCCCACTTGCCACACTACATCAGGCAGAAAGGAAATATTTCCCAGCGGCTGGCAGGAAGAGGTTGGCACCAGCATGGGGAGAGAAGCAGGGTGCTCTCCAAGATGAGCCCAATCCTAGCCTGACAAGGGGGGCGCCCATTTCAGGAGACTCGGAGGAGGGCTGTGTTGCTCTCGCCTGGTTCCCATGAGCACAGGGCACGGCAGGAGGGCCAAGCTGCTCTGACAGCAGCAGGTGGGAGAGTTGGAGGGGAGGTGCGTTCAGCTGTTCCCACCAACAGAGGAGTCAGGGCTGGGACGGCAGGTGCCAGAATGAAGCCCACGTGTCAGACTGGGAAACAGGCTGCATTTGGCTTCCAGGCACTTCAGGCACAGGGTTTCAGGATCAAGGTGCCTAACCAAGGGCTTGTAATGTTATTATCTGTAGATTTCCATCAATTCTCTCCTCCAAGGTCTGGACCACGACATTCAGAGTGTCTAGGGCTAGTCGGCCCCCAGGATCTCAGCCTGAAGGCAGGGAAGGCAGTGAGTCAATGTCTCGGCAAGACTGAAGTGCAGACAACAGTGACCCCTGCTCTGCTGCTCTGGACCAGTTCATGGGCTCCACTGACCAAGGCAGGGGTTCAACATGCACAGGGGTGGAGGCCCCCAACCAACCCCTCTCTCCTGCACCTGCCCCTTCCAACTGTGCTAGCTCTGAACAGCAGAAGGTGGCCAAAATGACATCCCCTTAAAAGGACAGGCAGCTGCCACTTCCTGTGTCTGCAACACCAGCCTCAGAACCCAGGCTCCCGGCTTGAAGAAGCCCAAGCTCCACAGGGAACCATGCGCCCAGCAATGGCCTTGAAGATGTAGAAGTGGAACTGCTGCCCATCACTGCTGAGTGCCGAGTCTCCTGGGGAAACAGCTGCTGACGCATCCCAGCCCAGAGCCGCAAGTGACCTGAAGCCCTCGTGCGTCACCCTCGAGAGACGAGAGCTGGAGGCCCCGTCTCTGTGCTCCCTGGGAAACAGTTCCAAAGCCTGCAGGAGGTGCTGTGTGGCCAAGGCTGCCAGGGCAGGGGCACACAGTTCCGGAACTGTGCCGCCCAGCTGCTGCCCTCTCCTCCACGTGGTCCTGGGAAAAAACCACCTCAGGAGGCCCAGCCTGTCACAGTGCCCCTTCCTGAGCACCGCATCAGGCAAACGGGGAGGCTGGGGTGGGGCATTCCAGCAGAAGCCAAGCTGTAGGCCAGGCACTTGGGCATGAGCAGCAGCCAATGCCCACCCTTCTCACTGGTCATTCCCTCCTTTGAAGAGGCTCCAGACGAGAAGTGGAAAGTCTCCATCAGTTCAAGCCTCAGGTCCTAGCCTTTGCTGGCCTCAGATATAGCCTTGCATCCAAGGTGTCCCTCCCAAGGTCACCCCAGGCTGGAGAAATCCTCTGGGAACCCCAGGGCATCTATGGGGTGGCGGGTCAGACCAGGGGAGACACCCTCAAGGCCACCACCACACTGGACCACCCACCTGCTCGAGCACTAACAGCTCCCTCCACGGTGCAGCATTTCACATGGAGCTGGCACGGCAGTGTGCACAGCAAACCAGCAGCCACCCTGACCTGACGGGAGCGGAGTCACCACCGGCATCTGCCCCACTGCTTCCTCGCCAGAAACCCACGTTGCCTTCAGACTCCACCTCAGTCCCACTAAGCAGAGCTCCCAGAGCCAATGAGGCCCTTGACCTGCCCAGTACCCACACCCATGTCAGCGCCATCTCGGCCAGCGTTTTCTGGGAGCCCCGGAGGTGCCCAAGGATCCAGGAAGGCAGCGATGGGAGTCTCACAGGGGATGTCCTATCCTTCTTCCCTCTCTGGGCCTCCACAGGCTCGGGCCATCTCCCCTGTGTTTTCTGGTATGCACCAAGTCATGACTCGGTGGCAGGAAAGCACCAGTTTTCAGAGTGTGGCTCTTAGGGTCCAAACCTGTGCACACCTGGGTAAGCAGGACTCAGATGGCTATGGGAACATCCCATGCTCCCTGGGCTTCTCCCTGCAAAAGCCCTGGCCCCAGCAGGAACTTCCATCAGATGCTTTTTGTCACTTCAGGCTCTTTGCTAAACTACTGCTCACTAACTTGTAAAAATTCATTTTTAGCGTAGCAGGTAAAGCCGTGCAGTGCCATCTCATGTGGGCACTGGTTCAAGCAAGTCCAGGCTGCTCTACTTCTAATCCAGCTCCCTGCTAATGCACCTGGGAAAAGCAGCAGAAAGACAGCTCAAATGCTTGGACCCCTGTACCATGTGGGAGACCTGGATGAAGCTGCTGGCTCCTGGCTTCGGGCCTGGCCCAGCCCCAGTCATTGCAGCCACTTGGGGAATAAATTATTGGGTGGACTATATCTCTGTCTCCCTCCAAGCTCTGTAATTCTGCTTTTCAAATAAGTAAAATAAACCTTAAAAAACTCAGCTACACTGTGTATATTTAAAGTAAACAACAAAATACTATGGGATATACATGGAACCAAAAAGGCCAGTAGGGTGAAGTCAACTAGCACAACCACCCTCTCCCAGGGTCACCCATTCTTCCCGGTTTTGCTGGCAAGAGCAGCTGAGCCTGCTCATTCACCAGGAGTCCTGGGTCAGTGGACACATGGATTCATTACTGATGGACTGCACTGTGGACACTCCATCTGTAGACCTGATTGCCCGACGCACCTGCTGCTTCGCTGATGAATTTTTAAGTAACCATGGCCTGCGCCATACCTTGCTTCTTCGATCAGTCTGCCCCATACTGCCAGATTCATGGTTCCCAACAGCAGCCCGAGGCCCTGAGAGGCTGCGCTGCTACTGCACACACAGCGCGGCCCCCTTCCAGGTCCCTCTGCCTCTCCTGAGCACAGTTCATCTGCAAGGCCTCATCCCTGTCTGTGAACAGAACTGCTGGCCTTGCACCTCAGCCTCCGCCTGTGTCAACTGCGGCCCAGCCCCTATGCCCAGCTCCAGGCCCAGCCTCTGCCTCTCCGAACACAGCTGCACTCCAGAGTCCGTCTCAGCAGAGAGCCTCTTGCAGAAGCTGTCACTTCGTGGATGGCTCCAAAGCACCCCAGTAACTTCAGCACTCAGCTATGCCTGTGACGGACTCTGACTCCTTCACATACTCAACTTGCTCAAGTCTGCGGGCCTCAGATTCTGAAATCGCCCCAGTGAGTAAAGTTTTAAGAACAATGAGGAAGGGAAAGAACCATCAAGGGTTTCCGACTTCTCTCATGGCCACAGGGGAGAAAATATATCACCCATTATCAACAGCATTTCCTTAGCGACAGTGGACCAAGCAATACAAACTGGAGGGTGGTAAGCACAGAATCATGTGCTCACACAGCCCTTCAAACTGAACACACAGATTCATGAAAGTCCACCACACGGCCCATGCCTTCAAACCTGTCGTGTCAGGATTAAGTTCGGGAAACCACTGCCCTCGAACCCAAGGACAGCACCAGGGACATGGGGATATTCAGTCCAGCCCATGAGGTCAGAGGATGCATGGCTTCCATCCAGCGTATAGATCCCAAACACTAAGAACACAGCACTGGGGGCAGCGCCCACTCAGGCCAGACGCACCTGTGCCCAAACCAGGCAGCCCCGCACACGCCTCATGTCACACTCCCACAAAAAGCAGAAAGCAGCAGACCTGGTCATGGGAACCAATCTCAACGTGGTGCCATGTGTGTGGGGCCCAGGGGCTTGGAGGCTGAGAAGGGGACTGCTGGGGTCAGTGTAGGAGTGGAGGCTGAAATCCAACCCGACTGTACCTGCCAGGCCAGCGGCACTGGCCAGGGGTACTTGTGTCCGCAGGAAGAAACACCCTTTTCTAATTCACGTGAAGAATCAATACTTCACCAACCCAGACTCCACATTTCAACTCAGACAAGAAAACGTCAAGTCAAATACATACGTGCAAGTATCTCAATGAAACTTTTATCAAAGCACTTGTATCTGTGTGTGTGTGCGTGCACAGGTCCATGTACAAACATCCAAGTGACCCTCGTCCTGAGGGCCAGCAAAGCACAGTAAATGCAAGAAGTCACTTTCAATGCTATTTCTATTAAAAGTTACATCAGTAATACGCTACTACAATCATTGTAACTGTTTCTTGAAGTACTTCTACCAAGATTTCCAGTTCTTTTTTTCTTAAATATAATCCTTAAAAGGCAGAGAAATTCCCAGCAGATAGGAGTTGCTAAAATTAAAAATCAAACCTTCTGAACCGCACACACAATCCAGACTCCCCGAGGGTCATTCTGTGACAAGACCTCCTATAAACTTAAATGAAAACAAAGTCCATTTTATCACTCATCCAATAAATATTTATGAAGGACCTCTCATACCTCCAGATCCGGGACAATTTTCTGAGCGCATCCTCAGCATTTTATCAATTTTCAGATAAAACCATGCTTTGGAACTGAGTCTGAATGATCACAGTGGGCCTGCAGAATGAGCTTTTCTCAAAATAACAGAAACCTGCGCTCTCAGAAGGAACCGTCCTTGCACAACCCTCGGGCCCCCGTGGCTGCAGCTCCCACAGGAGGCTCTCCTGTGCCGGGCAGGATGTCACACCAGCAGCCTGGCTGCCCTCCTACCTGGATGGTGGTGTTGCCTCCCTCCAGAAGGGCGATGGCCAGGAGAATGCTCTCGTGGAAGACCCGGTCGCTGGAGGCATTCATGATCAGGTCGATCACCAGATTGGAGGCCCCCTCCTTGTCAAGGTGGCACTGAACCTCGGCCAGGCTCATGTCACCCCTGCTCACGGAGCTGGATCCGGAACCTCCTCCTAGAAACACACAACATTTGGCCGCATGAGGCACAGTCAGAGGACCTAACATTTACTGCACACTTAAGTTCGCATCGACACTTGGGACACTATGCATCACCTATTGTAATCCTCTTAGCAACCCCAGGTGAGGGTTTGGATCATGAACAGAGATGAAGTCACTAGTCCAGGGACACCCGACTTACAAGCACCTGAATTCAGGCAGATCCGAGCAAGGAGCACGACACACTTGCTGTGAGTGACCTCACGCCATCCAGCAGACTGCCTGACATCCAAATGCAGCCACTTAGGGAAGAATTATGCAGAGCTAGTTCGAGTTTGAGAGACAAGCCAAACCTAAGCATCCGTAGAACACTCCCAAGGAAACACGGTCCAAAACAGCCAGTCACAACTGTTATCCCTCCTGCTAAGCACACACATCTAACCCCAATGTCAGACTCTACCATAAGGTATCTGTTCACTCATTCATTCAACAAATAGTTCCTCAGTGCCTGGCACATGGCCAAGAGCTGGGGACAGGCGAGTGAGCCCAACAAATGAAGGCCCTGTCCTCCCAGAGCTGCAGGTGAGACAAACGCTCCCAGAAAGAACAGGCCTAGCCATTTGGTGGCCCAGATTCCAACTGCGTTTCTAAAGCACTTATTTGAGAACCTGCCTTGCGTCACTGTTGGCAGTAACTGAAACAGTCACACACGTGCAGAAATACGCCCATCAGTCTCAGAAAGCAGAAAACTACCAGGAGTCCTTCTCTGCAGAACTCAGCTCAATGCCCCAGTTTAATGCCTGTCGCCCTTGTACCATGGCAGCAGGCAGACTGGGCTGCACATCTTCCTCGCCTCAGCTCCTTGAAATGGCACCTGGGTGGGTGCACTTCCAAGCGCCCCCTCTCTACCCCATGGTGCCGCACCCATGTGCTGGAAGATCTGACCGCAGAGAAGGGGGATCTGTTGAGCCATTTCAGAGGAGCTTCTGCCTGAGAATGTGGGGGAGTCTAGGATGCCAAAAGCAAAGCTCTAGATGCCCTGAGAGCTGCACCTACCCAGTCCCATGGGTCCACAGTAGGGTTGCACCTGGCAAGAAACCCAACCCGTGGCCTGAGAAGCTGCTCAGATACCTTTACTCCAGAGCCACACATCAGGACCTGAGTCGCCCCAGAGTCACCACAAGGCACAGTTCAGAGACCTCCCACCCGTGCTCTCAGCACTGAGCTACAGGCTGTCCTCAAACCCAAACTAGGCAAGGCCCGCTGCTGCTCAGGGCTTTCCCAGCTTCCTCCATAATTATGCATAAAGCTATCCCAAACAGCTCCTGGTGCTCTTAGCGCCTCTGTACAGGGGTGTTTTCTGTAAGCCCCTCTAAGAGTTTACAGGTGCTCAGAACATGGGCCTGAGAGTTAGACACACAGCTGTCAATTACAGACCAGACACTAACGAGCTGCTATTTCCTCTGTTAAACTGGGATAAAGACAGTAACTACATAATGAGTAACTTGGAGGAGAGAATGAGATCAAGCACTCAAAGGGCTTGGGAAAGCCCCTGGCACTCAGCAAGTGTGTAATGAATGGCAGCTCTCACCACCCCTGCTGCCAGCATCCTCACCATTTTATGGGAAGACGTGACTCCCAATGACCACAAGAAAATATTCAGGAAAATCAAGTTCCCTGAATCACTCTCACATCACCAGCAGGGTCACTGCTTGGGAAAGGGGCAGAAGGATTGGCCAATATCTAATTGCAAGGAAAACGCGTGGGCAACAGTTAGATGGCAGACCAAAGACAGAGCAAGCTGCTCAGGGACAGCCTGGAACGCAGTCACCTGCGAGCATGTCAGCCTGCCCTGTGACACGCGGGGTTCCCACAGGATGCTCATTAGCACACCACACAGCCTACCTCCTCCCCCAGGCTTGCTGGGGGCTCCTGGTGACAGCGGGCCATTGCCAAAGCTGGTCAGGCTCTCTCTTCTTCCCGAAGGTCTGACGTTTCCATAGTAACGGTTGACCAAAATTTGCCTGAGCGCCTCACCCTTAATTCAAACAGGATAATGAAATCAGGTTCTGAACTTAATGCATAACTAAGCAAATAATACTCAAAAAAAAAAAAAAAAAAAGGGGTGCTCAGTTATAATTGGCCTAGTTTCACTGAGTGAAAAAATAAATTACTAAAAGCATGTGAGAACTGTGACGTGAACTTCACTATTTTCTCAGGAAACCCGATGTTCTCTCTCTCTCAGACACATGCACACACACACACAGAGGGCAGTCTTGATATGAAATATCTGAAGTACTGTCACACGCAGTCATAAAGAAAGAACAGAAATTTAAAAGGGCAACCACCACCAACAAGAATCTCTGTAGGGTAAACTGATAACATTTGGAGGAACTGAAAATTTCACAGGTGAACTCCCACACGGCGTTATAAAAATGTCACCCTGCGTGTGTGGCCTGCTCCCAGGATCTTTGGAAGATATTAAGAGACCAGAGCAGCAGAGCACGAGCTGACATACGATCACAGGGCCAAGAGGAAGCCTTTCTTACAAAGAGCCCAGGGGCCACACGAAGAAAAAACAGTGCCATCGGAAATAAATCCACAGCACTGAGCGTGAGGAAGGAAACCACAGCGTGCCCGCCACTGCCTTAAATACTACAGCTGAGCGAGGGGAGACGCTCGAGAACACACAGCAGTGGGGCGTGCTGAGGTCGAGCCACACACTGGGACTCAAGCCCCCCAAAACTTCTCTCATAATGCAACACCTGATCAACATCAGAGCAAAGCACTCCTGGACAGGGAGTGGACTAACCCTTTCTCTTATCCAAGAAACCAAGAACCCTACTTGGACGTGGTCGCTAACACCTACCTGCAGTGGCCAGCCAGCACACAGAGGCAGGATTCAGTCACAGCTCCTAGCACTCCTGGCCACCACCCAATGTCTAAGTTCTGTGATCGCCCCTGGTCTGTTCCCCAGGACAAGCAGCAGGGTCTGGAACCCCCGGTAGGGAGGAGGGGGTGTAGCCTGAGGAGAGCTCTCAGAGGGAGAGAGGAGGACTTGATCCGGAGCTGGTCTCTAAGCAGAGACCCCAGAGTCGCCCTGATGACACCTGCAGCTGTGACAGCAGTCAGCAGAACGAACAGTGACTTCCTTCATGAGTTCTGAGGCTTCCAGACAGAGGGGGAGGGGCGCCACGGGGAGGCCACGGTGCAGGCAGCTCGCAGGGTTTCTGGAACTCCTGGAGACCTGCTACTTGCAGGGTTGCGGCCAGGCTTATCTCCGTAACTCATGCTGCTGGTCAAAACCTCTGGGGTGCCACATGATGAAAGACAAACAGGAGAGAGGCGATGGGGACATACGCAGGTGCTGACGTTTTAAATGAGCATGCAGAAATGAAAAATCTCAATTTTCCTTTCTCCAGTGCACTGACAAGTATGTGTCTTTTCTGGCAGTTGAGCAAGGGACAGTAACTTCTACCCACTCACCAGACCCACTTCCACCTGCATGGGATGTAAACCCAAAGTTCCAGGAGCATTTCAAATAAGAGAGTTCCTTCTAAGGCTTCAAGTACTATTTAAATAATTTAAACTGCTTGCTAGGCAGGGAAAAATTTCGGTACCAGATTCTTTTTCAGCTTGGAAAACAGCCTTTCGGGTAAAGCTGAAGCCTTCCTGGCTTCCTGTGTCAGGCACCAGGATAAACCCAGAAGCCCACTGCAAAGCACTTACTGGGAACCCGGGGGCCAGTTCTCTAAGAGAAACACAAGTCGGAAAGTAACATTCAAGAAAGCATAAGAAAGAAACGCGAGTGGGTAAGGAAAGACCATGTTCATGATGAACACGATCCATTAAACTTGATTTCCTTTTCTTTGTTTAATGTTTACATATTTTTAAACATTCATTTGAAAGGCAGTAAGAGAAAGACTGGTTGGTTGTGTCCACTCACTAGTTCAGTCCCCTAATGCCCAGGATGGCAACAACGGCTATTTCTCAACCCTTCAGGGTTTTAGACTAAACAGCAAAGCCATGGTCAGCCCGTACCTGAGCAGGGGCTGCACGAGGGGACGCCCCCTGGTTGTAGCCAGAAAGCCAGGGCAGACTCCCTGGGTGTGTGTCAGCATTGTGCTCTCCCTTCCAAGAGTCCCAGCCATTGCCATAGCAACTGATGCATCCAGTGTACACTTTCCCCCATGGGAGTCTCATGAAACGTGCTCATTATGCAAGAAAAAGAACACATTCCGCCCCACAAACTTTTATCTTTCTCCCTCTTAATTATAAGCTTTTTGGCATATATTCAGCTCACCATCTCTCTACAAAATTTTAATGCAGAGAAAGCCAAAATAAATAAACAAATAAAGGAGCAAGTAGGGCTTGCAGTTTTTTAAAGTTTTTTTTTAAGAACAAGGAATGAGAAATTTTCACAAAAAGAGGAAAGAGAAAATGGGTAAGGATTATTAAAAGTTATGCAAATCCCTGGTGTGAAAACTTAGGTTGAAGGAAAATTCTGTTTTTCTGAGCCAGAGGTCTAATTTGGGAAAGCCTTCCTGGAGGTTTCAACATCAGTCTCAACAGCCAACAGGAGACCTCCCGGCAGGCAGGCTCCCTTCTCAGCTCCACCCTGGGCTGTGCAGCCCTTTGCAATCACACCAGGGGCCTCCCCAGGGAGGACACCTCCAGGAGGCGCTCAGGCACCAGATATTTGTCCCAGGTAGGAAATCCAACAACTCACATTCCCAATGAAGATGAGAAAAAGACAAAGGGGGGGTCATTTGCATCGAGTGTGCCCCTAGACCAGGGACAGTGCTTACAGGACCATGGCAGTTCTTACAGGTAGGCAAAATGGAAAACACGAATGCCAAGTGGCCATGGTCAGGGAGAAAGAGAGCTGGGGTGGGGGGCACAGCGGCCTGCAGCCGTTCTCTGTCCCTTGTCTGAGAAATCACACGGTGCATTTCCTCATCAGAGCAAGAGACCAGAAAGCACGTGGGATGTGACGGGACTGCGCAGGGAGCGGCCAGGCTCCCCGGGCACCTGCTCCCCAAGACCGTCTTCAGGGCGCCTCTCCACTTTCCCGCCCCAGGGGCAAGGGGCCTATCGGTCTGGGTCTGGTTTCCTGAGCAGTAAAATGAGGGTCAAGGCCACGCTGCTGAGTCAGACACACGGCAAACCTTGGTGCAGTAACGGGCACAGGCACGGCTGGCAGGAAACGTGGCATGAGCGCAGCTTCCCCACGAGGGGAGGAGCGGCGCGGGTCAGCACGCTCGTGCCCGCACACGGCCTGCTAGACCACGGTTAGCAAGGCACCATCACCACCTCAACAAGAGATGCGTCCTCCGTCCTGGGTGAGGAATTCCCCCCTGAGGAATCCATTCCAAGACGCACACAATTACTCATTTCTTTGTCAAAGGAAGAAGCCATAAACCACTTGTTAACCCGGTGCTTTTCGGCAGCTGTGAACTTTCGGAGACTTTCTTTTCCAAGCGCTCAGACAGGATTTAAATGACAGAAGCAGGGTATGGAAGTTGTGCACTTGGAACAATCTCAACCACACTTGCTGACACACACGCTCGTATGTGTAAAAAAAGAGAGACAAGGGGATATGAGGACATGAGCAGCTTTATGGCTGGGGAGAGCAATCACTAACTCTTAGATCATAGCTTCTTGCTTATGATACGTGATCTGTGATGATCACCAGTTGTTACAGGAAGCAAACTGTTGGACATCAACTGGGCGGAAGGCCTCCGCCAGAGAGGAGAGGGCAGGAACGGGAACGCCGGCGCTCAGACCAGGCAGAACCCTGGCGGAAAGGCCTTTGCCACTGGCAGCAACGCTGTGATTGGTCCTGTACCAATTACTGATGGAACGAAAGCCACAGCAGCAACAGCTGTCTCCAGGAACAGCCAGGGAGGGGTCGCAGTCCCTGGCTCCCTGCACCAGGACTCGCGGCTACGTACCCTTTTATGGTCTTCCAGTTGCCTCAGGGGTGGACTTGGTTCAAGCTCCTGCTAAGTATGCAGAGATTCCATTTTAAGGACGACACCAAGGAGACTACCATCTTCAGCCACAGTCACAAACAACACACACCGAGAGCTCAGACACAGCCAGGTGCCACGCAGAAGGAGAACAGGCCTGTTTGTGTTTCTCCCCAGGGTTCGTGTGCAATGACTTCAGACACTGCTTCCCAAATGACCCGGTCCCCCTGCCCTGGAGCACCGTGTACAATGAGCACACGCACGACTTTCTGCAAGGACTATGAACAGGAAGTTCTCCGTTACATTCTGCTACACAAAACACTCGCACAGTCCTGCAGGTTTCACACATGCATTTCTGCACAGCACATGCACAGCACATGGAGGCCCACACTTGAGCAGACACATTCACGGGCCCACAGCTCCCCTTCCCTACCCCGCCCTGCCCACCAGCAGACAAGTGCCCCATCCAGACAGGAACCATGCAGAGCTCGGCAGGAACACTAGAGGCGGATCACTAGAGAACACCCCCACGCCATCATTTGTGTTTCATTTTCAAAACTGTCAACAGACTCCTTTCACATAAAGTGTACTTCACTCTAGTGCACACCGCTGGGATTTGAGAGCAGTTTTTTGAAAGCCAATTTGGATATCTGGAAATACGCCTCCCCCAACAGCTCCTATACGATCTCACACACTTAGTAAAGTCCGGGGCCTCATCTGGCAAGTCTCGTTAGCAGGGGAGGCTAGGACAGAAGGAGTGCACTGCGGAACTACAGGCTCACTGGCGGCTTGTACCAAAACTGTTGAGACTCAGACCTTCAAAAATCACATCATCTTAGCCAAGGGTCCCGTCAGTGCCACGTGACAGTGAGAGGGACTCAACATTCAGTTTCTCAGTGGACCACCTCACAACGCAGAGCCACAAGCTCTCTCCTGGAGAACCTAAGGTCACTCCTGCCCCAGTGCCACCCCCATCACAGCCAGCCTGGAGACCTCCCTCTGACGTCTACCACTGAGACAGACACTCTGTCACAACAGGTCAGACATTCAACCATGACAACTGAGAAACACCCATATTTGCTGGCACCACAAATATAGGTGGGCAACACACCTCTGTGGAGTTGTCGGAATCCGGAGTTGGTGGCAGCTGGGTGGGAGTAAAACGGAGCACGTTAGTCACAGCGCTTGCCTTTCATGGGCCACAGAGAAGTTCAGAGAACAACATTCAAGGACAGAACACAGAAGGGAAGATCAAAGACAGGGTGACCGGCTGCACTGTGCAGGTGATCACACACCTGCTCCTACAAAGGAAGCCACGTGTGATCGCACTGCAAGAGACTGGCCTGGGATGGGACACACACTTAAAACCACCGAAGAAGCAGAAAGCCCACCGCAATCCGAGGAGCTATTTCCTAAAACCAAAGGGTGCTGAGGAAAGAGCCACCACCATCTGTGTCCTTCTGGTCATGCAGCAAGAGACAGAGACACTACCCATGCTCAAAGAGACCAGGAGGACGGGGCAGCAGCTTCAGAACACTATACCTGGCCACTCCCGCGACACGTGCCTTCCAAGGTCCAGGTTTTCTCCTGGCGCCTCCTTTTCCCGCAGCCTGTCCTGAGCGGAGGGTAAGACTTCAGGCTCTGGCGCAGGCGCAGGGGACGAGGCTCCCCTCCAACTCCTCTCGGAGGTCTCTGCGTTCAAGGCTACCTGGAAGCTTCAGGGCCGAGACTTCCCGGCCCCTCCCTGGCCACCACAGACCTTTGCCTCCATCACTACTCTCTGCTATCTCCTAACACCTAGCCCACAGCACCCAAAAGATGGGCAAATGTACTGGGTGTGGGAGGGTGGGGTACAGCGGCTAAGGGAGGTGAGGAGAGGAAAGGGCTCAGCCCAGGTGGAGACTGTGCCACGGCTGTGTCCTCCCAAAGGACACGTGCTTGGAGCAGGGCCTGATGTCAGAGGTAAGCCAGACCCCACCCGTCCACACTGGACAGCCGGCACGCACAGGTGGCATGGCTGCTGGGTGCAAGGTGCCGTCCGGGCACTGGAGTGAAGCCAAGGTTCAGGCTGCAATCATGTGACCTTGGCCTCCGACAGCACTGCAGAGACGCAGGACACCTGTCTGGAGGCCAGGAGGAGGCTGTTGGGAGTGGGGCCAGAGCCCGTGTTGAAAGCACAGGGACACTGAAGCTGTGAAATCAGGTGGGGTCTCAGTGCAGCTCAACCCTCTCTCCTTCAGCAGTCTGATCCCAAAAATGTACAAAATCCTCTCGCTGCAGAGCCTAATGATATCCATCTTTCTTCTATTTTCCAACAGGTGAAATGAAATAGGATTGAGGCATCTCTGAAAAGCCAACACGCACAGACGCAGGGCAGCTCAGTCAGTGTCGGATGGAAGGCTCCCCTGCCGGCAATGAGCTGCACTATCTCAGTCAGCGGGAGCCCCGAGGGGGCAGAGGGACACAGTGGGACCCAGGACCACAGTGTGGCAAGAAGAGAAGAGCAGGTGCTGTTTCCAGAGTGATGTAAAGGCATAATCCACGAACGCAGTCAACTCTGCCCTTGCACCCGGCCCACTACGGAATTCAACTCGCGTGCTCGCTGCTGCTTTCTACCCTTCCTGCAGACGGGACACAGAGGAGGAGAAGCCCTGGGGGGAAGGACTGCCCACACGTGGAGCAGCCAGAGACACTGCAGAGCAGCTTCTTCCCCTGCTGCGTCAGCCGTGCTCCCAGTCACCCAGCAGAACAGAACAGAGGCGAAACGGGGGGATTTACTACAGGAGCCCACAGAGCTGCTCTGACTCCCCTGCCAGACACAACCACGGTACAGGCAGAGAAGAGAACCAGACCCTCGGTGTGTTCTCTGATTCAATTCTCCTGCACACACCCTCACTGGACAAACACTGCAGACTCTATTCCAAGGGCTCCCTCTCAGTGAACAGAGAGTTCTGACAGTTCTGACATTTTCGAGTGTACTGACACTCTGCTTCCTCCCTAAACTGCCATCATGCTTGTCTTAAAACTAGTTTACTTCATTTTTAAAGGAAAAATTAAATTCAAATTATTTTTTCCTCCCCTTGAGAGCTGCATGCGGCTATCTGATAACAGAAGATGCTGCACAGGTGCGGGAATCACCATTTGCCATCTTTCCTGCCGGGCCTTTACGGAACGGAATGGGAGCCTGAGAGCACTGGACAGGCATCACGGGGCCGTGTTCACCCTGGCTTTCTGTGCCAGGGGCTTCTGCCACCTCCTGAGATTTTCCAGGAGCTCAAGGTCACAGGAGCAGATACTGCTGGGGATTCCTTTTGGCTTCACCATTAAGCAATGTCTGGTATATTTTATTTTCTTTTCTTTTTTTTTTTTTTATTTTTGACAGGCAGAGTGGACAGTGAGAGAGAGACAGAGAGAAAGGTCTTCCTTTTGCCGTTGGTTCACCCTCCAATGGCCGCCGCGGCCAGCGCGCTGCGGCCGGTGCACCGCGCTGGTCCAATGGCAGGAGCCAGGTACTTATCCTGGTCTCCCATGGGGTGCAGAGCCCAAGCACCTGGGCCATCCTCCACTGCACTCCCTGGCCACAGCAGAGAGCTGGCCTGGAAGAGGGGCAACTGGGACAGAATCTGGCGCCCCAACCGGGACTAGAACCCGGTGTGCCGGCGCCGCTAGGCAGAGGATTAGCCTAGTGAGCCGCGGCGCCGGCCCTGGTATATTTTCAATAAACTTCGTTTCATAATATCTAACAGGCAAGTTCCCAAAACATTACAATCTGCTGAGACATAAAACACTTTCAGGCAGGGAAAAGGACAGACCACACCTGGTAAAGAACGGGGTGAATAACCAACAGCCTAAACCCGCATTTCACCTGCTGAGGGCACTCCTCCTGAGGAGGAGGGCATTTTACGGGCACAGGCTGCAACTCTGGCAAACGTAAGCCTTCCAATAAGCCCTGTGTGACAGCCACACACACCCATGGGGAATGCCCACAACAAGAGAGAATGTGAATAAACGAATGAGTGGGGTTTCCTGGCACAGTGTTATCATGAGTTACTGCTTTTCCTAGTGGAAAAGAGAGGTCTTCAAGGAACACATACTAATGGAGAATGAGGGCATAAGCACGTCTCCCACTCCCTCTCGTCTCCCTCCTCCATCCCGGAACTGTGCTGCCACCTGCACCTGGGATGGCTGACCCAACCTGACAGGTGATCCACCATGGCCACTCCTGAAGCTGGGACCCAGCTACTGCCCTTCAGCGCCTGCTCCACCAGGCGGTGCGATCTCCAGTCTCCTCAGTGTTTTCAGGCCAGCTCAGCAACAACTAACACCAACAGAGTAAGGACTGCAAATGACTGGCTTTGAAACAGAAACTCAACTGCATCTCAAGGGACCGAACCCACGTGCCCTTCCCGTGAGGCCACCTCTCAGGGCAGGGCAACCCCGGCACTGCCGCAGGGACCGGGCATGTGGGTGTGAGGCCCCGACACACTCACTTCAGACACATCATGTTCCCACCTCTGACCAGGGGACGCATTCCTGCTATCAAGGAAGAGAAGACTTCGCCATTCTTAAAGCAGCAGCAGCAGCCTACAGACTTCCCATGGCTACTGTTTCTGGTGTTGCACAGCGGTGCCCTCCCACACCGTCCACCCAGAGCCCTGCCTGCCAATACCCCTTGCTTGCTTCTGGCATTCCACAGAGATCCCACGTGTTCTTCTGGGCTTCTAGAATATTCCTTCGAAAACGGACGTCTCTTTCCACAGCTGCCCTGGCAGAACAGGAACCCAAGTGCAGACCCGGACCTCGCTACAGATCGAGAGAGCAGCACGTTACAGACGACGAGTGACCTCCAACCCCTGTGAGTTGGTCTTCAGTCCCTCTCTACCAGCTCATAAACTGTAAGGTGGGAAAGAGACCAGGAATGGGCTGCACGTAAGCTTGCCAGGCCTGTCCCTCTCAAGCCTTTGCAACTCCTTCGTAGCAGAGCACGAAGCCTGAAAGGAAATCGAGTCCGGCCTAAGTCTCCAGCAGGAACAGAACAAGTTTGGGCCTTTGCAGCTGCTAGCACGGTTCTCTGTACTGACCGAAACTGTGGTTAGGGAACACCAAGCAGCAGAAGCCGCCTACTTCCAACACAGTCGCCCCACTTGTGTTTTACAGAATGAGTTCATCAGAACTCAACACTGAGGTTCATTTTTAAAAACGTACTCTGACTCGACACAATCACACAAATTTAGTCAGGATGGAATAACCTCAGCATTCCAACACCCAGAGCCCTGCACAGTCTGCCCCGAGCCCGCCCTGTGGTCCCCGGCGTCTGACAGCAAACAGCACCACCACGTTTACTGGCGATTCCACTGAAGGTCACACAGCAGCAGCGAGCCTGAATTCCAGGAAAGAGCGCTCTTATGTAACTGCCGCCCGGACGCTGGCAGGTGCCCAAGCCAGCCGTGCACTGCCCTGAGAAAAGTAGGACACCTCCACCCCGCCTTAGACGTCCTGAGAACGCCCCCTGGAGGTGAACCTGGTGAATTTTCACAGCGCTCTCTGTGCTCTGAAGTTTACAGAGTTCCCTGTCAGCGGCATCTTTTGCTGGTGGAAGCTGTCTCTGGAGGGGGAAGCTACCGGCAGGCACCCGGGAACTTGGGTCTGGAAGGGCAGGCAGAGCCGCTGGCCTTTACCGCAGGCTCCGGAAGCTCCAGGGCACCTGGCAATCATGACTCAAAAGAGATCACACCTCTCACACACAGAAAAGGACATATCCCCTGAGCTCCGGCAAACACCTTTGCAACTTCCCACAACACACATGCATGCACACGAGGTAGGGCTCCGCTCTGTTCTCCACTTGAAACTTGCACACAGCACTATAAAGCCTGAAGTGTGAACCCATGAGCACCTGCTGGCTGCACCGGCCTGTGGCTCACTCACTGCCTTGGCCAGAACCCTACCTCCCTGCTTGTCCCTGTGGAATAATCTGTGTGACCATCTCCCGCCCAAATCTGTAAGCTCCAGAACAGGTACTGTGCTTCTCTAGGACAGCACTGACTCCAAACTCCATGTACTGTGCTTCAATCTAAGAGGTCGTATGTTTCACCCTGATTTGTGTCTGTTTAAAGCCCCCTGGGAGGGGGTGGATGAGGCAATTTTCTGGGGTGATTGAAACATTCTCTACCTTGACTGGGGTGGTGGCTATCCAGGAGTACACACATGTCTGACTTCTCCGACCCCAGCCCCCAACAGAAACATCCAACTGGGGGGAAAGATGGAGACATGCTGCCTATTTGTTAAAAAAAAAATCCCCTTTCCCTGCTCTGGGTCCAGACAAAAACATGTCCCACAGGGCAGCCAGGAAGGTCCCCAGCAGACATGCTTTTTACAGGGTCACTGCTGCTCACTGCTGCTCAATGCTGCTCACTTTCCTAAAGCCCTGACAGACAGCAGCTGGGTGCATTTCTCCAAGGCCCTCCCCACTTCAGGGGCCACACAGGCCCTGCACAGCAGTTCTCAGGGCTTTTCCTTCTGGGTTCAGAACCTGCAGTCTAGGTGTGAGGCTGCCCTACCCTGGGCCAGCAAGGGCTCTGGCAAGGCATGTGCAGAGGCCCGGCTGACAGCGCAGGTTTCCACACACACCCTCATCACAGGCTTGGCAGGAGAAGCCCTGGGAGCTGTGGCAGTTTCCAGAACACAGGCCAAGAAGGCAGCTCCGCTTGGAGGAGGGCCAGAGCGAGGAGCCGGGGGGCTGGGAGCAGGGTGCTGGTGTCCCAGGGCTCTGTCGGTTGCCAGGGGTAACAGGGCAGAGGGGACCCACAGTTGCTTCCTCAGGGAATTTTCAAAGGGTTGAAGTGCCTGCCAGAACATTCTTCTTTTATAAACAGACAGTATTCTGTTTCCTAGAGTATAATTATAAACGCACCTGCTCCAACTGCGGAATCTTTCCATAAGCAAGCCATCCACTCCCAGCCAGGAGAGCCGAGTTCTATCTCGAGCAGGCAAACACATCAACTGATTACTATGGTGCAAAACAGTGTATTAATAACCACAGACTCTGTAGAGGGAAGGGCATCCTCTCCTGACTTAAGCACACACAGACTCAGCCCCAGCAGATCAGACGGAAACTTCAAACCAGGGAGGCATCTTCGGCTCCAGGCGGGAGCAGGTGCATCCGGGAGGGGAATACGAAAATTCAGCAGAGGGCATTCTGACAGCATAAAGAAGCCGGAAAAGGGAAAACTGAGGAGGAAATGGTAAAAATTACAGGAGAGTAATTAATGAAGCTGCTGGACCCCCTTTGTTTCGCTGACCTTCTGCTGCCCCCAGAAAGCATGGCCCCCACAGCTGTTCACATTGGATAAAAAGAAGGGGAACAATTGGAGGTAGATGACAAGAGGCAAGCCGGGGTCGCTGGGCTGGGTCAGCCGTGTGAGCCAAGAGCACCCATTTAACCTCTCTCAGCACTGTGGGGCAAACTCTCAAGCACCTGTGTGGTGTGCGGTCCCACAAGCGCTTCCAGCCTCCCTTGGGTCTGAACCGTTCCTTACTGGCTCTGCCTTCATGACCCACTGGCTTGAGTAGATTCCAGAACAGACAGCACGTTCCGTCTACTAGCTCTCTGTCTCATCCAAAATAAGCTATCAATTTATTAGACATTGAAAGCAGGTCATAAAAATGATTTTCAAAAGTCAAGTAAGATTTCATTCCAGAGTGCTCCACCTGCCAACCAACAAAACCTTCTCAGTGACACACACGGGGTGCCCATGACCTGGGATGCACTGTTGCCTAAAACCACAGCAAGGTACGGCAGGAAAAAATGCCCCAAACAGAATACTGATGAGGATCCCAAAATCCAAACAAAATTACCTCCTCCCACTTGCCAGGGTAGCTACAGGCCAAGTGAGGCAGATATGACACCACCCTCAGAAGCCAGGGGCTGACAGCCCAATTTCTGAATCTGTAGGTAGCCTTTCTAGGAGATAGGCCATGGACACAATGCATTCCCAATCCCATGCTGCTCCCACACTTGGGAATTCACAATGCCTCTCAAAAAATTTTACACGATCCTCACACTTAACACTTGTCAATACCAAAGGATTCTGTAGGGTTTTCTCACTACTTTCCAACTCTACTGGTACATTCAAACTTTTTATATCAGAAGACTTCCATTCAGATAGGAAAGCTCTTTATTTTAACATAAGAAAAAAAAATCAAATTTCAGAGCAGAGTTACTGGCCAGCATTAACCACACATTCAGCTAGGGTTCTATTTCCTGAATGATCGGTTTAGGATCTCCAAGGACGGGTGGCACACAAGCTCAGGGATGAGGCAAGCATGGATACAACAGACCCCACGGAGCCAGAGACCAGACGCTGCAGAGACAGGAGGCACAGACCACAGGGTTAACTGGGAGGGTGTCGCAGACACGCCACCAGGGGACATGAAGAAACAAAACACAAAATTAGGACCTCGGCATTGTCCACTTCATCAATGGAAATTTGCTAGAAAAGAGAAGAGGGGGGAGAAAAAGAAAGAAGTGTTAGGAGAGCAAAGAGCAGCCAGCGCAGAGCTTGCTGTGCCTCTCGCCGCACAGTGGCGGGAGAAGGCGCCCACCCTGCGGGCTCCAGCCATCTCTGCACCACCGCAGCTCCCAGGGACGCCTGCTCTGGGCCACAGGAATAAGATGCAGCCTCACTTGATTCTCACGTCACTCATGCGCACCAGCCCTGTGCTCTCTGTGACCAGGCCAGGGACGAGTGTTTATCAGAGCAGGGTGGGGACAGAGGAGACTAAGAGGCTGGAGTGGCATTAGGCCATCTTAGGAGACAATTACTTCTTCAGACTCGCTCTACAGTTCAGTGGGGTCAGGAGCGTGCACTGCACTGGGGCTCATTTACCTGCGGCAGGAAATGAGACCCACACAGCCCAGCCCTGCGCTGTGAGGACTGAAGAACTCTGCTTCCCCGGAACGGAGCCCTCGGAGCAGCCATCCTGCAGCACCCCGACCCAGGCAAAGGCCACAAGGACGCTTGCCAAGGACGCCAGGCGTTCCGCATCTGACTCCTGCCACCCGCTGTTAATACTTAGCACATCTGACCAATTTAAGCCACCGTCAGAAACGGGGCAAAGCAGCTGTGGCTGTTACCAGGGGGGCTGTCAGCGTGCAGACATGAATTGCCAGGAAGTGCCGAGGTGAGGGACTCTCCAGGACTGAACCAGCTACACCTATCCAGAAGGAAAAGGGGATTTTAAACAGACGCTGAGATATCCTTTTACATTCATTCTAGGCCTCTGAGCTTCTCTAAAAAGATCCCTGACCAGGAGCGCAAGCCAACAGCAGCTCATTCGAAAACCTGTCGTAAACCCCAGAGAGGCTGACACTGAACACAGCCAGGCTCCTGTTTCAGGGAGGGTGGAGGGGCTTGAAGGGTGCACTACAGACAGATTCAGATTAAACTTTAGAGACGTTTTGCAAAAGAAGGTTAATTTTTAAAAAAGCACAGACATGGCTTAACCTGCAGATTAAAATCAGAGCATAGCAGGCAACAGAGGATTGTTTTCAAAGCCCTGGTGAAACTACACAGGGATTCACTCTGACACACAGAGAGACACCATCAAGTATCGTACGGAACCTTAGCGCACCAGTACTTTAGTGAGAGTTTTATGTCTTTTTTTTTTTTTTTTCTCCAAAAAGGTGGAATGAGAGAGAGAGAGACAGAGACAGACAGAGATTTTCCATCCAATGGTTTACTGCCCAAGTGGCTCCAACAGCCAGCTGAAGCCAGGAGCCAGGAGCCTGATCTGGGTCTCCCACAGGGGTGGCCGAGAACTCAGGCCCTGAGCCGCCCCCCGGGAGTATCAGCAGGGAGCTGAACCTGAGGCAGAGGAGCAGGACTTGATCCAGGCTCTCTGATATGGAATGTAGGTGTCCCAAGAGGTGGCCTAACCTGCTGTGCTACAGTATCCGCCCCTGGTGACAACTGTAAATACTTCTTTTTCTGTTTACCACTGAGAAGAACGCACACGTCTGGCTCTGTGCTCCGGAGCTGTGACAGTTGAAGATTCGTGTTTTCTGATTCCTGAGTGATCAGTCAGAATCTGCTGACAGTCTTCTTCAGCCAGCCCTACTCCTCACGGCCCCTCTGGGAGTTCTTGGGGTGGGGATCAAGACAAGGGGACATCAGCTGGGGACTCACTCCTGTAACGCCTTGCGTGACAGCTGACCTAAACGGAGGCTCCTGGATGGCCATGGCACCATCACAACCACTGACCACTTGGCGTAGCCAGAGACTACAGCCTGTGAGCAGGGAGCCGAGGCCTGGCGTTCCAGCACCACTGCTGTCATGCTCCAGTGTCGTGGCGCCTGTCAGTGACATTAACGAGCCTCTGCATGTGGCGGGACCCACGATGCTCCAGTGACATCGTCCCACTTGCTCACGATGTGGTGCTCAGGAGCCGGGACTCTGGTCAGCAGACCAGTGTGTTCCCTGGCTTCCTGGTTAGCAGATGACCCTAGGCAAGCTTCTGAGCTTCTCCAGGCCTGTCTTCTCCCTCAGGTGAACACCAGCAGTGCTGACTACTCCCAGGCTGGTCCGAGACAGGAAGGAACATGCTGATTACAGTGGCTGGCAGTGAAGAGGAGGCCAATCCACTGTTTTGCCTCTTTGGTAACAGGGGCGATGGCTCTCACTGGCCTTTGAAAGCTCCCAGGCAGGTGGCACAAGCAAGCACACCAGCACAGCAATTAGGCATTTCAGCCTCATGTTCATCTGTGACCTTGACTACGTCTCTAAGCTGAATGAAAAAGACAAGCGATGGCACCCAAGTCTTTTGTTGATGGATTACAGTTGAGGAAGAAGACAAGAAAACATGGCCCACACACAGGGACCTGGCCTGGGGTGGGGGCTAGGAGGCAGGACACTTGGACACCGGTCTTGACCATGCCAGGAACCTCCCATGTGACCTCGGGCAGTCGCTCCAGCTCCCGGCCTCCTGGTCCGCAGAGAAGGGGCAGGATGAAATGATGTGAGGGCGCCCCCATACCCCATTCTCCGGCTGTGAAGATCAGGAGGAGGGAAGGGGAGCAGGGCAACTCTGGACACCCGCTTGAAGGTGTCAGTCACGGGATGAGCTCCTCATAAGGGCCATGAAGAGGAAAACTGGACGGGACGAGGCCAACAGCTCCTTCCAGATGCCCTGGGACCCGCAGTACCTGGGCCCATCTTCCCCCCATAGCCAAGCAGGCCGTTGGAGAAAGCTGAGCTCGCAGCTCTGCGTGATCTCCGGCCCTGGAGAGGTCAGCTCACGCCTGCATCACCCGTCTTCAGTCACCACCCCCCAGAGCTTCTTCCTTCCGAAGCCCCAGGGAGGCAGGTTCCATCCCAACCACCAGGCCAGGAGAAACAGACCCCCACCCCTGCCCTTGAAGTCCCAGGGAGGCCGACAGCTAAGCAGCACCTGCAGCACGCGACCATCAGGCCTGGGGCACCTGCAGGGTTTGCAGCCACAGACTCCCACGGGATCCCAGCACATCCCTTGGCTTCAGGGCACTCCCGCACTTGCCCATAGTATTCCCATGCTCACAAATGGGGAGGGAAGCTGCAGAGGGCCTGCAAGGGAGGTGCCAGCTTCTCTCCAAACCTCTCTGCCTCCGTGTGCCAGTGTCCTCCCCAGCCAAGGAGGGACGTGAGCCAGGGCACAAGCAGCTCCTCCTCAGTGCCCACCTCTCTGACCCCTTCACCCCAGGCTCCATCACCCACTCCGAGCTTTGGAGCACGCAGGGCCACAACACTGGGGCCTGTGACCCGGTCCCCCAGTGAGGTCCAGGGGAAGCTTAGGCAGGGGTCAGCATCCCTTCCCCACGGTCCCAAAGGGCCTGAGGATGTAATCTGCCAGAAATCAGGGACTCAGCAACTCCCGGTGCTTCTCTCTGATGCCAAGGAAACCAAAGGGAAACACGTGCAGGACTGCAGCTGCTAACAGCCATGGTGGGGGTGGGCCACCACACTTGGAACACCTGGCCAGAGTGGAGCAGACACTCCAAGCAAGAGGAGGTCAATCTGGCGCCCACAGATGCAAAGACTTTCACCGGGCTGGCGAGGCCCCCTGGCAACCTCGGACCCCACCGTGGGAGTGGGTTTCTCCAGCCAGTCAGTCTGAGAACAGTCCTGAAAGCTTACTTTAAGAAAAATGACCCTTCTGTGAAATCAGCGGTTGCTACTGGTTTGTGTAAGAAGTGTGTTCTCCGTCCCTGGCCTTTCCCTCTTGTCCTTCCTTCCCTCTCTGCTTGGAGCAGGCCTGCTTAGCTGCCTGCAGAGGCGTGGAGCCAGCCCCAGAGCCAGCTCACCGGGCTGTCTCGCTCCCACTGCTGGTGCTGATAAACCATCTGGCAGACATCCACCACCAATTTCTGCTGAGCAGCAGGGACCTATTTTCTGGGCAGTCAGCATTTACCTACTCTTTGTGCATGTAAAAAACTCGCAGGGACATCCCTGTGATCTGAGTCAGTGGCGGGAGGTGCCCTACGAGAAGGGATGACCGCTTTTCTGTTTTCTCTTGTCCGGGACTCTTGCTAACTTGTTATGATGTGCACAGGAGACGGTGCTCATGTTAGAAAGCAAGATGCCTGCTGGCCTCCATGCTTTCCATGACCCAAGTGGTGCACACGTGGCAAGGACGGCTGCAGACTTCTCCCTGGAGCTGGGACACGAGGAACAGGGTGTTCTAAGGCAGTGCATCATCCCATCGACTGGGACTGCACTCCTCAGACCAGCCATCATGACCTTCACACAGAAACTGCTGAGACCTAAACTCACACCTGCTGGGGCTTCTCTGCTGGGGGCTGCCAGGAGAGACAACAGGATTGCCTATGCCTCCTCTGCCCAACACAGAGGCACCAGGAACGCACACACGGAGGAGCACTGCATCCCGGGACGGCTCCGCACAACCTCAGGCACCAGCAGTGACCTGTCTGCCAGCCCGAATTCCACTCAGAACCACAGGCAGCTTCGGGGTGCCTGGGAGGGCTGCACAGCCACACACGGAGAGCAGCAGGTGCACCCGCAGGCAGCTCTGTCAAATCCAGGACTCAAGAGTACGGGACCTGAGGGACATGGGCATTCGTTTCTCATGGGGCATCAAGCACATCAAGGTCTCCTCATCACCAACGCCTCCAGCCTCAGATTGCACAGCCAGCAACCTAGAAGTGACGGCGTTGTATCTGGGACTTCAAAAAGTTCATGGAAAATGTGCACTATCTTTTAATTCCACTTTTCCATGAACTTCTGAGGAACCCTTAAGTACCTGGCTTTAAAGGCCACAGTCCCGATTTAGCCTCCCTTACTGGTGGGACAAGCAGCCCGGGAAAAAGTGAGCGCCTCAGTGGGCCGCGCCTGAGCTGGGGGACTTCTCACCCCCGCTGCTCCCTCTTCCTTCTCCCGCCCACAGAACAGCAAAGCAGGGCGGCACCTTGTCCCCGTAGCCTCTGTCCTTGGTCATCATTTCCCGGAGGGTCTGCAAGACTTTAATGCACAGCTTCTCCTCGTTCTCTTCCAGCAGCTGCTTGGTGTGCTTGATTAACCTGGGTGGGAAAACCACAAGTCCTGAGACTCAGAGAAAAACGCTCTTCAACTTGCTATCCCAGGTCAGCTATGGGACAAACAGAGCTCCATGGCCATGCACACGCCAGGGCGCACGCACAGCTGGCTGGCAACCGTGACTCAGCAGCGACACCTGCTGAGCGGAGTCGGCTGTGTACAGGGACAGGCAACAGGGTGACGCGGCCGGGTAGGCTTCTGCCCATACGGCTTAGGAGCTGAACCCGCTCAGGACTGTTGGTTTAATGCCTAAAACGTGCCAGAAGCCTGAAGAACCTCAGGAGGCTGATACACTTTTCCCTCATCTGCAGTCCTCAGAGTGGCCCAGAGATACAGGAACCAAACAGAGCCCACTCTCTGGCCGACCAACCAACCATGGGGTGAAAACTAAATGGAGATATCTGCTCACAGAACCAGCTATTCCTATCCCATCACACTCCGAGGCATAGGCCAGGCAACAGCAAAACAGGAGCAGATGGTGAGGTCATGATGACGTCACGGGAGGCCCAGATGCTGGGTGCTGTCAACACTGGAATGGAAAGGGACTGAACGGGCATGTGGTTGCAATGAGCACTCCTCACTAAAAACACACCCGTGTCAGGAAGGGGAGATGAGAACTCTGGCACACGACCTCGCAGCCAGCAAAGCTAAAACTCAGCAAGGCAGGTGTCTGCCTGGGCATCGCAGCTCCTCAGACAGGGCTGCTTACTTGCAAATGAAGCCGCCACTTTCACACTTCCTCCTGGCATCCGTGTTCTCCGGGAAGAGCAGCTCGGGTCTATGCAGGACATCCACGAGCACAGACAGCTCTGCCTGGACCAGGGGCCGGAGCCGGTCCTCCAGCGCCGAGACGATGTCCTGGAATGGAAGCAGAGCGTGAGTCGGCGCAGGCGCAGACAGAGGTGGAGAATACTGGCTTCTGCCCTAAAGCGTGGTGCACAGGCGGGCCGGGTGGGAGGCACTGCAGCACTGGCTGGCACTACTCCCCAGCGATTAGACACTGCCTGGCTGTTACCTGAAGGTCTATCTCCCGACACCAAAAACGAAGCATAGACAAACCCACAACCCCCTCCTCCCCTGCTCTGAGATTTTATGCTACCCAAAGGGTTATTCCATGTGTCTGAAAATATGACTCAAAAATTTATTTAACAACACGGAAAGATATGCACAGTATGAGCATATAGATGGTCAAATGGCAGCCTGGGTTCCATGACCCTGTTTCTATAACTGGAATGTTATCTACAGGGGATAGGGCAAATCCTAGTAAAACATCACTACTGGCTTTCTCCAGATGGCGGGCCTGTTGGGAGCTCTACCTAATGGAGCTCCCTCCACAGTGCTGCTTGTCGGTATTGTCTGATTACTTCCAGTGAGCATGAGTTATCACATAACGCAAAGTCTTATCAACATGAGCACACACAAGAGAACATGCCATATCAACATGCTGAATACATGTACCCCGAGAGCATGATGGTCTTCAAACGTAAAACACACAGCTGCAGGAAAGGAAAACAGAGAAGGTGAACGGGCAGCAAAACCAGCACAGCAAACACCATTTAAAGGCAAACGATAGAGAACAGATGCGAGATCGTCTTCACGAGATGCTGCGCCCGGCTCGCTGCCTGGTGCAGACCCTGACTCGAAGCAAGCCGGAAGGAGGCAGGGACCACACGGCAGACATCCCGGGAGGGTGTGGCTAACCTAACACACGCGTGGGAAGAGCCACTCAGATCACATTCAGCTCTGTCGGGAACCCAAGTGGGGTCAAGGAAGAACAGAATGCTCCTTTATCTGGAAGTCAAACCTCACGGAGAGAGTTTCGTATTTCACAAAACGTACACAACTGTCGCCACTCAGTGGCGTTTGGGGCACGCGAAGGATGGATGAATGAATCCAGTTTCTTTGGGAGAGCAGGTGATTTTCCCAACCAGGCTACTTCGCAGCAGCCCCTGACTTACTTGGGGCTGCACGGCACTGAGCCAAGAGGGCTGCTTGTGCAAAGCCCTGTGAGGCGCTCACCAGCCCCCCGCAGGAAACCCCCAGGCAACGCTTCATATTTAGCAGTTGCTCTTCTTAACTCCAGGAAAGTCTTCTTTGACTGCAGCCTCTGCATGGGACCGCAGGGGTTCTCTAAGACCACACTCATGAATTTCATGAAATCCCATGTTTTGCTGAAATTAAACTGCAATGGGTTCACACTGAATTGTCAAATGTGCAGCATTTGGCAATCAGGGAGAGACCGACAAAGACAGCAAAGTGACGAGCAAGGAAAGACACCTGTGTTAGCTTAGGGGGTTCCTGCCCGGGGACTCCCACACAAGTGCACTGCCTGACAGCGACTGTTCTCTGACAACCTGTGCTGTGGAAGGCAGTCCCGTGACTTCAGGGACTCACACTCACCTGCGTGTTTTATCTGACATGCGTAACACATCTAACAAGAGCACGCAAAACCTGTTAGACTACAGGTAATTTATCTGCACTGCATGGAGTCTGAGTCCAGGTCACACATGCTCAGAGAGCAGAGGCATCAGGAAGCACTCCACCCGTCGGGCTACCTCTGCTCAAGAATGGGGTTCTGTGTTGACAAGGGCTGACACTGGACCCCAGCAGCCCGGCCATCCCTGCCGCCTCTACCAGCCCCAGCCTCAGCCCCACGCTGATTTCCTCTCGTGCTCAAATGCCCCCTATTCTCTTCCACCTGACCATCTTCCTCCATGCTGGTTCCTTTTCCAATCTTGGTTAGAACACCACTCCCTCCGCAATGCCTTCCTTTGCCCTCATCTCCCACTCGGGGCAAGACGAGGGCCTTCATCCCAATCTCTCCACACTACCCCTCCTCCTTGGCACCGCTTGGCCCCTCGCTGTCTGATCTCATCTGTGTAATGGGAGGACGGACATCACTGCCCCTCCAGACAAGGAGGCCATAGCCATGAAGCCCATTCCTGGTTGTGCTCGCCACTGTACGCCCGTTCTGAGAACAGGGCCAACAAACAAATCACTGAACTCACCTGTCACCAGGCAGGCTACGCAACCTCACAGGGCCAGTTATCCCACCTAACTCTGGTGATTGTCATTAGCCACAGCGATGACAACAGCAACAACAGTGACGATTCTAACATGCCCTCTGAACTGATAGCACCCACCACAAGCCAGCGCTGCCCTACGTACTTCTCCAGTGTCTTGTGTGCCAAGCTGAGCCACCATAACACACTGTGCACAACGGGACACTAACCCAGGGCTGCGTTGAATCTGCCTGAGGTTCAGAGAGCTGAGACGGAGAGCACAGGACTGACAGCATGGGACGGCCGAGCTAGGCAACGTGGCTTCCGCTGGTCTCTGCAGAACAGCTCATCCTGGGGGCCATGCAGCATGCTGTGAGGAACCACATGAGGAGGCTGCACTAGGTTTTCAGCCACCCACTCCAGCTGAGCGGCCTGCTGACAACGAACGCCAGTGTTCAACAGCAAAGGAGCACAGTCCCATGAGGCCTGCACAGCCACCACCTAACTGCAGTTTCACTGAAGGTCCTGAGCAAGAAACACCTGCCTCAGCCCAGTCAACCTCCAGGGAGTCAGAGAATCCAGTCACCGCTGTGGCACGTTCCCACAGACACACAGAGCTAGCGTACGCTACAGCCTTTCAAGACCAGGCTGACTCCACCACGGGCACGCTGCTGCAGAGGGAGGCACGAGCACTCAAGCCAATACCACGTCTAAGCAGCAGGGCTACAACATGGATGCAGGATGTGGCCGAGACCACGCCTGAACAAACTCAGAGCAGACATCCTGCGGCTACCGGAAGGAAAAGGGGAGGATCCAGGTCCCACTGGGCAGCACTTTCATCATCACCCGGCTCATTCTCATACTCATCTGCACTCAGTGTGTGTGCCTGCCGATTTAACAGGTTAACCATCCCAGATGGATGAAAGAAACGAACCTTGATGGTGCTACTCCAAGCCACCTCTTCTAATACTTAAATATTCCTCCCCTGTCCGAGCAGAGACCTCAGTCTTCACAAAGAAATCTGTGAATCTGCAAACCACCTCTGATGATCGTGACTTTCTGAGGACCTCTCCTGTCTCAAGCACCTCTGTGCCCATGATCCTCCATGTGTTATGACAGCGGGCAAGTCATTCACTGACTAAAGCCAAGCACCCATGTCCCCTGGATGGCGGGAGTTGAGCTGTGTGTGGGACCCAGCATGGGCCTGGACAGGTAGCACTGCCTCAGCACTGCATTACCTGCAGTCTCTCAATGATATTCCGGTAGTCTCTGGAAGCCGCCAGGACCGAGTCCCTGCGGGCAGCATTGCGGGCGGACAGACGCCAGTTCATGGCTGTTTTCTGCACGATGTTGTGGGACTTCAGGAAGAGGTTGTTGACTTGGCTGTCCAGGTCCACAGGAATGGCAATGGCCCGGCTCTTGGCTGCACAGGACAAAGACAATGTGTGAACTCACAACATCTACAGATTTCCTGCATGTGGGACCCACAGGAGGAGTCCCCTCCCCTGTCCCAGGCCGGCCTGTCTCCTGCTCCCTACGAAGCCGCAGGAGCTCATCTCAGCCCCACCCACCTGTAGATGAGAGCTTCCGAGGTGAGCTGTGGGGGACAGCAGCTGGGAGCAACACCAAAATGCTCCCTGCTCATCAAGTGTGGGCAAGCCAGAGCTGAAGTTCAAAGTGTTTCCTCACCAACAGTTTCACAGGGCGGCGGGTGGGTGTGCATTTTAGGAATTATAAAGGGATGGGCACTGGGCCTCGGGGTTTAGGTAGTGATTCAGACTCCAGTATCCCACACTGGAGCGCCTGGGTTCGATCTCTGGTTCAAGTTCCTGAGTCCAGATCCCTGTTAGTTCAGACCTTAGGAGGCACCAATGATGGCCCAAGTAGCTGAGTCCCATGTGGGCAATCTGGAATGAGCCCAGCCTAGCCCTGGCCATTGTGGGCCTCTGGGGAGTCAGTCAGCGGATAACAGCTGTGTGTGTGTGTGTGTGTGTGTACATGCGCACACATGTCTCCCTCTCCTTCTCTCTCAAATAAATAAATGTTTAAAAAGTTTTGACAGGCTGCCGCTGTGCCATAATGGGCTATGGCTCCACCTGCAATGCCGGCATCCCACATGGGTGTCGGTTTACGTCCTGGCTGCCCCCTCTTCTGATCCAGCTTTCTGCTATGGCCTGTGAAAGCAATGGAAAATGGCTCAAGTCCTTGGGCCTCTGCATCCTCGTGGGAGACCCGGAGGCAGCTCCTGGCTCCTGGCTTCAGATCGGCGCAGCTCTGGCCACTGCAGCCATTTGGGGAGGGAACCAGCGGATGGAAGACCATTCTTGTCTTTCCCTCTCTCTGGCTGGAATTCTACCTTTCAAATAAATAAATTAAATTAAATCTTACATGAATGACCTCAGCTAGAACCTTCTGCACGGAATGCTCTATTTCCATTCAATAACTGCAGCAAGTGCCCTTGGAGTGGTTTTAGCCACGAGACTCCCAAGGGGAACAGGCGGAGTTCTGGGGTGTACGAGCGACCAGGGCTGTGCTGTTTTTATGCTGACATCAGCCCGCTTTGTCTTTGACCACCACCAAGAACAAGGAGAGTGCATCTCTCTACTGAGCCTTGCACACTTCGAGCTCGCTCAGATTTTCACCAGCTCCAACCTGCAGCGAGCATCACTGCCACGCCGCCTCTGGTCTCAAGCAGCCGTCTTGAGGATGAGCAGGTGTGTGGAGAGCACAGGGCCAGCCACGCTCGCCACCTCGGCCCTGTCTCTCAGAGCTCATGCCACTCCTGCCGTGACCCTGCCGCGCACACACTTCCAGAGCTTCACCTCACTGTGAGACGCTGCCACGTAAGGAACAAACAGAAACACACCCGTGAGCGCTGCAGTGGGCTGGGCCCCAAGCAGTGCCATCTACACTTCCCCGCCAGCCACCAGGAGGGCGTCACATTCTGCACGTGGCACTGCAGGCAGGACACGAACGCCGCCAGGGCCTCACAGGGCAGGGACCCAGCGGAACGGAGGGACGAGCTGGGGAGGGGAGCCACTCTGTCAGCTTCCTTTCAGAGCTGCCGCAGGAGGTGAGACACAGGGGCTAGGGGGCCGGAGGTCCACTTCTGAGCAGAGGCATCCCCGGACTGTGAGGGCGGCTCTCCGGGGGCACTTCTGTGTGGTCACACGCTTCTGCTGGACTGGACATCCTGACAGGCAGACTTCCTGGGCCCTCAGGTGAGCTGTGTGCACTGCCACTCGCCAAGAATTGCCCAACACAGAGCCATGGCAGCTTGCTTCTCAAGACTGCCTTTCTCTGGGGTTTCCTGGCTCTTACTTGGGGTGAATCTGGCTTGGGAGATAAGAGGGAGGCTGAGGAAGCAGAAGATGATGGCTTTAGCTCAGGCTCTGCCTATATCACCTGGCAAGAGCCACAGCAGACACTCCTTATGCAACAGGGGGCTCATTTCCACCATGTGACAGCCACACTGTACAGAGGCCTTACCCACGTCAGACAGCACCCGGATGCAGCTCTCTACAGACGCCTTCTGGCTTGGCATCAGCCAGTTGCAGTGGTAAACTCTGAATACACCCTGCAGCAGCTGCACAAAGACGGGCTGGCGAGTCTGCAAGAGAAAGGCAGCGTGAGCACAAGGCTGTCCCTGGCAGACACCTGTGATCGGACCAGAAACACGTGCTGCCTTGAACCATGGCCCAGGGACCCCTGAGCAAGTGGCACAAAAGTGTGCCTGGACAGGAGCTGTAGCCAGATTCATAAAGTTGATGTGGGACCAGTGTTAGGTGCCGCAGGTTAAGCCACTGCCTGCAGCACTGGTGTCCCGCATGAACACCAGGTCAAGTCTCGGCTGCTCCACTCCTGACCCAGCACCTGCCAATTTGTCTGAAAAGGCAGCAGTGAATGGCTCAAGTGCTTGGGTTCCTGTCCCCGAGGTGGGAGACCAGATGGAGTTCCTGGCTCTTGGCTTCATCTTGGCCCAACCCCAGCTGTTGCAGCCATTTCAAGAATGAACTAGTAGACTGAAGACCTTTCTCTCTCTCTGTCTGAATTTTACCTGCCTTTCAAATAAATAAATAAATCTTTAAAAGGAAGTTGCCTGGCCAAGGGAGAAGAACTGCAGAAGCAGTTAGGCAACACAGAAGCTCGATGCTATCAAGTGCATCTGAGCTCAGGAAGGGCACTAAGCACCGTGACTGGCACTGTGAGGACAGTGCTCTGTCCACTCACTGGCCAGCTAAGTGACTCTGGAAACCGCTCTTCAAGTTTCGGCTCCATCCCACGTACAGACACGCGGACTGAGGCACACAGACCCTGCAGCTCTCCAGACACGACACCCTGAGCAGCACCACAGTGGCATCAGCAGAAACAAACTGACGAGCGATCTCAGCTGAGTCTGCTTACCTCTTTCTGTCTGCAACGTCTCAATGATGTACCAGACCAGGGAGCTCAGGTGGGCCCTGTGCAGAGACTCTCAATGATGTAACGGACCAGGGAGCTCAGGTGGGCCCTGTGCTAAACTCTCAATGATGTACCAGACCAGGGAGCTCAGGTGGGCCCTGTGCAGAGACTCTCAATGATGTAACAGGCCAGGGAGCTCTGGTGGGCCCTCTGCGTAGACACTCACTACAGAGGAGCACTCAGAAGTTAGCTGAGCAGAGGAATTACTCCTCTCCACAGAGGGAGACATCAGCACGCATTTCAGAGCACAGAAACTCAAAGAGCCCCTCAATCAATTTGACACTGACTTTGAGAATGCACCAAAACTTCTCATTTCGGTCCCAAAGGGGAGCTTCAGACTCAGGAGGCAAAGATGCCTCTGTGAGATCAGCTACACCTCCGACCCATGGCTGGGGGAGATGAGGGACAAAATGCCACCCAGAAAACAGCAGGAGAGGCTGGCAGTGTGGCACGGTGGTTTGGGTCACCACTTGGGGCACCAGCACCCCATATCAGAGGGCTGGCTTTAGTCCCCTCTGCTCCACTTCTTATCCAGTTCCCTTCCATTGCACCTGGGAAGGCAGCACAAGATGGTCCAAGTACCTGCGCTCCTCCCACCTGTGTAAGGGACCTGGACAACATTCTGGGTCCTGGTTTCAACCTTGCCCAACAATGGCTGCTGCGGCCACTTGGGGAGTGAACCAGGAGACAGAAGATCACTCTGTTTCTCCCTCTCTGTCACTCTGTTTTTAAAATAAGTAAAACAAATCTTAAAAGAAAACAGAAACAAAAACAAACAAACAAACAAAAAAACAGGGGTTCGGCACTGTGGCATAGCAGGTAAAGCCACAGCCTGCAGTGCTGGCATCCCATATGGCGCCAGTTCAAGCCCCAGCTGCTCCACTTCTGACCCAGCTCTCTGCTATGGCCTGAGAAAGCAGTGGAAGATGGCCCAAGTGCTTGGGGCCCTGCACATGCATGGGAAACCCAGAAGAAGCTCCTGGTTCCTGGCTTTGGATTGGCGCAACTCTGGCCGTTGCAGCCAACTGGGAAGTGGACCAGTGGATGGAAGACCTCTCTCTCTTTCCCTGCCTCTCCTTCTCTCTCTGTACTAACTCTTTCAAAGTAAAATAAATCTTAAAAAAAAAAAAAAAAAAGCAGCAGCAGCAGCAGCCAGTACGAAAGTGCTGAAAAACTCTCAGGAGGTTTCTAAGAAAGAAAAACAGTGGGAAGTGCTGGTGGGAAAGGAAAGTCTAAAAACTGATGAGAAAACCTTCAGAACCTTCCCTGCACACATGGTTCAGCTGAATTCTAGTTACAGAGAGTATTACAGTACAAAGATACTTTGAAAAGCTCGTGGAAAAATGCAATGAAAAGCTATGTCTATTTTGGTGCAGAAAGTCTTTTAAATCCAAGCAGTGTTTTCATAAAAATGCATTTGCACAAACCTTCTGAGGACCCCTTGCACGCATGGATTTCAAAACTATGTACAAAAAAAATTTAATTTGGCTTTCCATGAACTTTCTGGAGTACCCTTGCAGGTGCCCCAAAGGAGCTCATTTGGGCCTTGGTGCCAGTTCTGCGACACAGGAGTCCCCTTCCACACAGATGAGCACACTGGCCCAGAAACAGCACGAGAAAGCATGAAGGGTTGAGGAGGAACCGCAGAGCAGAGTGGACCTCAGCCCTAGGAAGCCAGCGAGCAACCACTCTTCCCACAAGGGCGCCTGGGGGCCGGGTCCTGTACTTTCCTTAGGTCAGCCCTTCCACTGTGCACCTGCTGCCTCTCATCAGAGACGGGTTTCCAACAACTCCATGGAAGTGACTGAGAAAACCTCAAGTTCAGCTCTGAGTGGTGTAGTGGTCCCTGTGCTGACTCCAAGGGAGCCAAGTAGGGGCCTTGCCATTTCTCCCAAGCACTCCCTAGCAGCAAGGCCAGGAGTCAAGTGCTTCTTATATCCCTCAGCTGCCCCTGACCATGACCCTGTGAAGTCACCCGTGGCCTCATGACTGGCCCTGCTGGGTGGCGAGTGCTGGAATGGGGATGGGAACCCCACAGTCTGAGGAAGCAGTGTCCTCTGGTGAAGCTCATTCCTCTGAACCTGTATTTACTGCTCCCTTCCGCGAGTACAAAGGATGAGTAAACAGGTCCCACTCTTGCTCCCAGGATTCCACATTTCTGGCTACCACTTGGGAATCCACTGACGTCTTCAACAAAACACAGCCAAACCCAAGTTCATGTTCCTTCCTCCCAAGTACTGAAGGGAGGGTCGATCCAGCCAGGGAGCTAAGGGCAGCCTTTTACTCATGATGAGTAAACACCATCCAAATGCAGGGGGCAGTGTGGGAGCATCAGCTTGCTCAGCCTCTTGGGGAAAAGGACAGGCTGGCCCAATGCCTTCTTCCCCAAAGACTCCCTTTTCTTAGTTCCTGACACTGCGTGCGCCTGCATCTCATCCTGCCTCCGCAATGACCCCATGACCTTCTCTGGCCTCTCCTACATGCCATCCTTCATTACCTGTGTTCACTCCAGCCTCCCCGTCCGCCACTTTGTGGTCCTGGCTAAGACTTCTACTGGGAAATGCTGTTTCTGCTCCTACCACTCTCTTGCGTCTTACATATTCATCTGCGCCCTCACCGGTCAGCACTGCAGTTGGCCACAGCACCGGTGACCTGGAGTGGAGCAGAGAATGGGACATCCATGCACAAGAGGGCTAAGGTCTCGCTCTCACGGGGCTTAGTCCAGAGAGACTTGGAAGGCCACCCACTCTGCCAAGTGTGGCCCTGGATGTTGCACACGCGTGCAGCCTAAGTCGCATAATAACCATGTGATGTATCGGGCAGGCAGCTCTGAATGTCCCAGCCAAGTTCACAGATCTGAGAAGGGACAGACTGGAATTCAAACCCAACCCTGTCCTATTTCAAAGCCTCCGAAATCCCACTCTTGCTCCCAGGATTCCACATTTCTGGCTACCACTTGGGAATCCACTGACGTCTTCAACAAAACACAGCCAAACCCAAGTTCATGTTCCTTCCTCCCAAGTACTGAAGGGAGGGTCGATCCAGCCAGGGAGCTAAGGGCAGCCTTTCAACAGGAAACCAAATCAGACAGACTGCGAAAGCACTGCAAGTCGTTTTGCTCGCAATCCACACTCCATAAACTCTTAAGGCACCTCCTGACCAAACTGGACTCTGGACTCTCAACACGTCTGTACAACACGGGCCTCGCTAGGGATTTGTAACATTTATGGCGAACACTTACCTCCCTGACAATTCCTCCTTGTCAGTAGGACAAAAATGGATTAGCAACAGAGCAGGCTAAGAAGGAAAGAGTAGGGGGCGAGGATGTGGCTAACAGCTTTGCGTTTCCTGCGGTGGATTTACTCTGACAGTTTGGTTTTGCAATATCATCTCATGACCTATAGGAGAATGGGAGTTGCCATGGAAACTGTCTCTTCCTATTATTAGAGAAGCAGATCCTACCTTGCTAAGCAAAGCAGCTTCCTGGCAGTTCCGGGCAGGAAAGTGCTCGGGGAGGACATCCCATGAACTCGTGTGCCTTGGCCCCAACAACGGTCAGGCAGCTGGCAACTGTGCGCACTGCACTCGATTGCTGGCCCTGTGGCCGCCACCAGTCCCTAGGAATACTGCACATTCCGAAACGCAGGCAGCGTGCAGCCACAGCTGAACAGCGTCCTGCTCTGGCCACAGCATTTGTGAGCATCAGCAGGCACGTGTGCCCTCAGATGAGAGAGCGGTTCCCGGGTGTTTACACACATATCCTGTGCTAATAATCTGGGAGCATGAATTTGAGAGCTGGTTTTCTAACACGGGATCAAAGGGGTGGACGAGATGGAGGGGAAAAAAAACAACAAAGGATTTTATGGAGAAAATCAACAACCAACAGCCACTAGGCAGCAGACAACTTTGGATACCTCCCTACCCAAGAGAAACTCTAAAAGCCAGGGCTCTGCAAGGTGGCTCCCTGCCAGTGCTCCCCACCCCACCTGCCAGCACCTGCGCCACGACTGAGGGTCTCCAGGGCACCCTGCCTTGCTGTACCTGCAGAGTTGTGCTCTGGTCCGAGAAGGGAGAACTGAAGAAGGTCGTGACAATGCTCATGACAATTTCAGTAACGTACTTCTCCAGGATCGAGTCCGCGTGCTTCCTGTCGCTTGTGTTGTTACAGGCCTGCAAGGCAACCACATGCTTGTAAACCTCACAGCTAAAACTACCCTGGAACAGCAAGAAGCCCATGACCCTGGCGGCTGGTGCTACGGCACAGTGGGTCAAACTGCCTTCTGTGACACTGGAATCCCATATGACCTGGCTGCTCCACTTCCGATCCAGCTCCCGGCTACTGTGTTTGGGAACTTGCCATCCACCTGGGAGACTCAGATGAAGTTCTTGGCTCCTGTTTTCAGCCTGGTCCAGTGCTGGACACTGCAGCCATCTGAGGACTGAACCAGCTGTCTCTCCTTCTCTCTCCGTAACTCTTTCAAATAAGTAACAGGACAGGACAGGACAGGACAGGACAGGAAAGGAAAGGAAAGGAAACCATGACCCCACAACTGGAAGGCAAAGGCCTGCAGGTCACTAACCTCTTCCCTAAGAGCACAACAAAAGGGGCCCTGAGCTGTGGGCAGCAGATGAAGGCACCACCTGCAGTGCTGCCATCCCATTAAGGGCACCGGCTGGAGTCCTGGCTGGTCGAGTTCCAGGTCAGCTCCCTGCTAGACCACCCAGGAAAGCAGCGGATGACAGCCCAATGCCTGAACCCCTGCCACCCACGTGGGAGACCCAGATGGCGTTCCGGGCTCCAGGCCCTTGTGGTCAGTTAGGGAGAGAACCAGAGGATGGGAGAGATCTTTCTCTGTCTCCCTCTCCCTCTCTCTCTCACTGTCTCTCCGTAACTCTAACTTTGAATGAATAAATAAAATCTTAAAAAGAAATACTAGAGGCCAGCGCCGCAGCTCAATAGGCTAATCCTCCACCTAGCAGCGCCGGCACACCGGGTTCTAGTCCCGGTCGGGCCGCCGGATTCTGTCCCGGTTGCCCCTCTTCCAGGCCAGCTCTCTGCTGTGGCCCGGGAGTGCAGTGGAGGATGGCCCAAGTGCTTGGGCCCTGCACCCGCATGGGAGACCAGGATAAGTACCTGGCTCCTGCCTTCGGATCAGTGTGGTGCGCCGGCCGCAGCGCGCCAGCTGTGGCAGCCATTGGAGGGTGAACCAATGGCAAAAAGGAAGACCTTTCTCTGTCTCTGTCTCTCACTATCCACTCTGCCTGTAAAAAAAAAAAAAAAAAAAATACTAGAGCTGGAAGGCCGTAATTTAAGAGAGAGAATAAAAAACCGATCTTGGGGGAAAAGCAGAACGAGTGTGGACGCTGCGGTGCAGAATCACACAACACTCACACGGCGCAGGGCTGCCAAGGCCATCACTTGCAGCTTCGTGCCCGTGTTTGGCAAGTCTAGACCACAGCTTTCACTTGAGCTTTCACCTGCACCCTACTCAACTCCGCTGTATGAGACTGGCCACTTAGGAGGTTGGATTTTTTTAAGTCAGGTTTTACTACCAAATTCATTAATTAGATCCAAATTTGCTTCTGTCATAAACAATGAATGAAGCAAAGAAAAACCGACCAAGCCTCGTGGACACATGTTGGCGCTGTCTGCAGCGTGAGGAGGCATTTACAGAGGGAAAGGAGTCCGGGCTGGCAGCTCCTGGACTAGGCAGCAGAGGGGTCAGCAAGCTACGGCTGGGGCTGCTTCATGAACACAGCTGGACTGCACAGACTTGCTGCTTTGTCAACGCACTTCACGGCTGTGTGGGTGCCACCAGGGGCTGTGACAGATGCAGAACTGAACACATACACCACACGGTCCTAACCAGAAAACTTTCCAAATTCCAAAAATTAGGCGGAGGTGGTGGGGGGTTGCAGATCAGGCTCCAGGCTCCTAGCTCTGGCCTGGCCGAGCCCTGCTCACTGCAGCTAGCTGGGGAGTAAATCAGCAGATGGAAGATCTCTCTGTCTCTAACTCTACCCTTTCTGTCTGCAACTCTTTCAAATAAAGAAAATAAATCTGGAGCCTGTAGTGTGGGAGGCAAAGCAACTGCCTGCAGTGCCAGCATCCCATATGGGCGCCGGTTCAAGTCCTGGCTGCTCCAATTCCAATCCAGCTCTCTGCTATGACCTGGGAAAGCAGTAAATGATGGCCTAAGTCCTTGAGCCCCTGCACCCACGTGGGAGACCTGGAAGAAGTTCTTGGCTCCTGGCTTTGGACTACCACAGCTCCAGCCATTGAGGCTATCTGGGGAGTGAACAGCAGACAGAAGACCTCTCTCTCTGCTTCTGCCTCTCTATAACTCTGTGTTTCAAATAAATAAATAATTTTTTAAAAAAGGAAAATAAATCTTAAAAAACAAAAACAAACAAAAAACCCACAAAGATATGGCCCAAAGCCCCCTATTACTGGATTAAAAGACTGGGAGAAATCTGAGTGTGTGTGTGTGTGGGGGAGGGAGGGAGGGAGGGAGGGAGGGAGGGAGGGAGGGACAACACTGCAGTATTAAATGTAGTTCTCTCTTAGAAGGAAAGTAAGTCCACGCAGGCTTCCTGCCTCACACTGAGAACTGCACAGTGACGCAGAAGACACCATGTTCTGGTAGACCCCCACGCACCTCCTCCTCTTCACGTCAGACTCTGACACTGGGACGTGGCTCACAACTATCCTAAGAGTAATCTCGGGACCGACCTCACCGGCTCAGTTCCATGGACAGTGTGCTCTGCCACACAGCGGTCTCCTGGCTGTAGAACAAACATGAAGCTCAGGGTACAACCAAGTCAAACACCTGGAAGCCCGGCCAGCTCTGGGGGAGGAGAGAAGCCAACGGAGAGGAGCACTCAGCAGAGTCCTCAACACCAAACTGCAGGAGGGAGTGCTCGCGCTCAGCCGTGTCCTCTGAGCCACGTGTGGTCAAGGAAAAGACCACCCGACCAAGGCCACTGGCCCTGCCCCAGGTCCTCACTCACACGTCGGTCCTGAAACGGCATGATCTCCCACAAGGCATACCCATCTTCCTCACATCCACACGGGCTGCCACGTGACACATACGTGCACACACGCTCACACACACCCCTGGAGGCCTCACCCTGCAGATGTCCACCAGGAAATTCTCAAAGAGCTTCCACATGTGGTTGCTGGTGTAGATCTCCTTCATCTCCACCTCGGTGTCCACGTAGCAGTGGTTCAGGAAGTTTATGTATGCGATTTTCACCTGCCACAGAGACAAGGTTCAAGAAAACTCAAATCTAAGTGTGGGACTGATGAGCACATCTCCTGTGTGAGAAGCAAGACAGACACGGCCAACTCCCTTTCCCGCCGGCTTGCATTCTGACGTGCTAGTTTTCAATACACACACCTGTGAAGTTAAAAAAAAAAAAAAAAGCTTTGGAACAGAATATTTTCATGACCTCAAAGCAAAGAATGATGCAAAAGCTCTGACCACTGAAGTAGGGAAGTCTGACTGCACTAAAGTAAACAAGTCCTCTTCTTCAAAAGGCACTGTGAAGCAAGGGAAACGGTGCGGGCTGGGCCATGCTTGCAGCAGATACGCCGTCCCCAGCCATCTACAGATCTGTCCGGGAGCAACAGGCAGCCCATGAGGAACGTGAAGGAAAACAGCAACCCAACAGTTCCTAGAGGAACATCGTGTGTCCAGAAAGCACTCGAGACAGGGCAGAGCTGGACCTCCTCTAACGTTCCATGGAAGCCACCATGACCAGCGGGAACACGTCCGCACAAAATCCTGCACGGGGACATTCAGAGCTACACTGTTCCCAACAGCCACAGGGTGGAAGCAACTCAGTACGTAAGGACAACTCCACATGAACCGTGTAATGGAGTACCACTGAGCAATAAAAAGATACCAAGTGTTGACATGTGAGATAACCTGGCACAGACCTTGAAACAATCCCACGAAACCAAAGGGTCCCAACAGAGAAGACCGCATAGTGCAGTTTCATTCAAAGGAAACGTGCAGATGATGCAAACCCGTGAAGTCAAAAAGAAGCTTCACTGATGCCCAGGGCTGGGGGTGCTGACACAGGAAGAGAGTGGCTGCAAGCGGGCGCAAGCTGTGACAGGGACTGCGCAAGTCAGAATATCCTGAAAATTTCAGACGTGTAGCCTTTAAAGGCGGGAACTGTACAGTAAGTATCTGTATAAAGTTTTTAAAATTTAAACCACGCTGAGATACCGCCACACAGAAAGCAATCAAGCAGATGTGCTTGTGGGCATTGTGGGCACGCTGTGGAGCAGCAGGAGCCCTGGAGGGCGGAAGGAGGCAAGTGGAACGGACCAGCAACGACAGAGCCCTGCCGAGTCACAGTGAAGACCTGCACCCCACAACCCTGCACGTCCACATCTACACACACGCCCAGCACAGAGAAGTGTGCACGGGGACGGGATATGTACACCAGGCATACACACAACACACAGTGAATGCAGGGGCCAAGATGCACACATGGGATACACACCACGCACAGAAGCCTAAGTAGGGGCTAGGACACGTGCACCAGGCATAATGTATGCATGGGTCAGGATGCACACAGCAGAAAGAAGTATACACACTGGGCACACCCACAGCACACAGAACTGCGTGTTGGGCCAAGACACATGCACTGTGCTGATCCTGGCAGCCAAGAGCTGGGACTGAAAGGACTGGAGGAGAGAAGGCCAAGTCACCCTGCAGACCGAGGGAAAGAGCACATGAAGCCTGAGAGGACACCACGAGCCCCTGCTGGGACTGACGGACCTTGGGCCAGGTCAGTCAGGGTGCCACAGTCACAAAGGAAGAACAAAGCCTGGCGAACAAAACCCCACAGTTCAAGGGTGCAGCAGGGTGCCCTCCCAGGGAAGCAGCACGGGATGCCGTTCTCTGTGTTCTTCACCTGGGTGCAAGTCCCGGGGCTGTGCCCTTTATAATCCTCCTGGTAATGGATAGTTACTACGTCTTGCCTCCTGCTGTGTTTCAGATAAAGAAGGGTCAAGAGCAACGCCGGCGCCGTGGCTCAATAGGCTAATCCTCCACCTTGCGGCGCCGGCACACCGGGTTCTAGTCCCGGTTGGGGCGCCGGATTCTGTCCCGGTTGCCCCTCTTCCAGGCCAGCTCTCTGCTATGGCCAGGGAGTGCAGTGGAGGATGGCCCAGGTGCTTGGGCCCTGCACCCCATGGGAGACCAGGAGAAGCACCTGGCTCCTGGCTCCTGCCATCGGATCAGCGCGGTGCACCGGCTGCAGCGGTGGCCATTGGAGGGTGAACCAACGGCAAAGGAAGACCTTTCTCTCTCTCTCTCTCTCTCTCTCACTGTCCACTCTGCCTGTCAAAAATTAAAAAAAAAAAAAAAAAAAAAAAAAAAAAAAGAGCAAGCGAACACTTGTTCTAATTCTTTTCCAAGCAATCCTGCAACACACACTCTAGCTCCCTTACCGCACTAACAGGAGTGCAAACTGAATCTGTGCTGAAACATCACGTCCACCTATCTCACCTACGAGAATCCAGACGTCGGATACCACGCTGCACACACAGGCAGGCGTGTGACACACATGCCACCCTTTCTTCTTGTAACTACTGACTGTCATGTGTTATCTCATTAGATATCGTTAGTTCAACACTCACAGAACACAACCAGGGACATTCAAGGGCTGGAATTGTACGCAACTATAAAGAAGCAATCTGTAATCCCTTTAGGGACTGATACGGAAGAAGCGACAGTGCTACAGTACCAAACAGGGATGGGGCAATAGGGCGTATACACTGTGCTTATATGCAGAACTCTAGAAGGATATCAAAGGACATGATAAAGACTTTCTGTGGGGTGGGTGGAGGAAACAAGCTGGGAGATTCTTCCTTTTTCATCATCTGTGATACTTGGATGTCTCAAAAAAAAGCCAAACAGTACAGATATTTTTGATAGTACAGATATCTGATACCATACATGCTGTATATGCCAAATTCATTAATTTACAGTAGAAAGAAATAGTGTATATTTTTAAACACACTAGGAGAGAAGACTTTGTCTTTCGGTTACCAACATACAGAAACGGGAACAGGAAGGTCCAGAAGCACCAGCTCTGAATCTTACAGGTGGGCAGGGGCTGTGGGGCAGTGGGTTAGGCAGCTTCTAGGGGCAACCACATCCCACATTCAGGAGTCAGGTTCAAGGCTGGGCTACTCTGTGCTTGATCCAGCTTCCTACTAATCCACCTGACAGGCAGCAGATGACCACCCATGTACTTGAGTTCCTGCCACCCATGTGGGAAATCCAGAATGGGGTTCCTGGCCCCTGGCTTTGGTCTGGCCCAGTGCCACTCTTACGGGCATTTGGAAAATGACTCTACCACTCTGCCTTTCACATAAATAAATTAACCTTTAAAAAGTCATGTACTTATTGTGTGTGGTAGAATTATAGTTTATTTAACTTCCTTATGATGGCTTATAGTTGCCACATTGTTTCTTGTGGTAACCATCACTGCTGTGGCCAGCTTTGTGGTAGAGAATGACTGATACAGCCTTACACCTACCTGACCTGTGCCCCATGCACTCTGTCTCCCGTCCCTGAAGTTCAATCACCTGCTCTCCTCTGCTTGTCACAATGAGTCAACTCCATAAGGCAGGAGCTTGCTAGCTGCCTGAAGGACACAGAGGAAAGACCAATGTCCCCTGCGTTCCTACCATACACACCACACACTCAAGGGTCTATCTTCTGAGTGAACTGAAATTCCCATCAGCTGCAGGTCTCCACACGGACACTGTGGGGCTCTGCAGGGCAAGGCCCCAGGCGCTGCTGAGAGCTGAGGGGGCGCGCCGGCACGGGTGCACTCACCTCGGGAATGCAGTCCTCATGGGTGACCACGCGGACGATATCGTCCAGCGGGAGCAGGGAGTTGCACTTGATCTCCGTGTAAACGTTCTTGCCTTCGGTGCACACGGCCAGGAGCTCCACCAGGTGGATGTGGTACATGAGTGGGCTGTTCTCGTCCATGCGGTCACGCTCCGACCTCATCATCTGGATCAGCGTCTGGAAAGATGCTCTGTCGTTGTAGAACACAAGGACATCCTCTCCGGAGTTGACCAGCTGTAGGAGGAACAGGACTGGGTCACACCGCGGCCCTGCAGGGCTGGGGCGGCCTCGAATGACCAGCTGCAGGAGGAGCAAGGCTGGGGCGGCCTGGAGGTATCTGTCAGCAGAAAGCAACGTGCTCTGAGCACACCTTCCAAGACCTGTCTCACCGGCACAGCTGCATACACTGGGATCCCATTCCCATGGAGAACTGAACAAACCCTCAGCAACGTAACTGCAACGCACAGATGCAGGAAGACGACAGGGGTCCTGCAAACACTTAGGACAGAGACAGTCTGCACACAGGCATTCATGCAGAATACCAACTGCACAGCTGCACCTGCACGTCCACACCCAACAATCAGGCTAATTCTTCTTTATTAAATGCTCCCACCTTTTTATGCTTTACGAAGTACCCCCTTTACAAATCTTTCCTGCACTGTCTTGCCTCTTCAGTCAGCAAGGATCCACTGCTAGTTAAGCTGTGCTCTCTCTTCAACACTCAACAAAGACTCCAGCCTTTTTCACTGATAACCTGTCCCAGAGGCAGTGGTCTCTCACCTAATCCCAAGGAATAAAGCAACTGCGGCACTACATGAAACAAAGCCATGAGGGGCTGCCACAGAAGGCAAAGTAAGTATGATCATCATCCGCTGCTCGTTAACACAACTGTATGTCCAGACGCCAAGGAAACTCCACGTGGGCTCATGGACCTCCCCGTGCCCAGTTTTCTCATCTGTAAATCGGGGACAAGGGCAACACCCAAGTCAGGTGCTGTTGTGCGGATGAAGGGCACGGTCAGTCCAGCTGCCGAGAACAGCGCCTGGAGTGCAGCAAGTGTCCAGCAGATGTCACCCTCTCACTTCTGCCCATCACTTCCTGCAGGTGCACACCACTGCACTTTCTCCTACAGAAAAGCTGCCCAAGGGCCCCACGGCAGAAAGGGTACAGTGACATTCGAATCGCAGGTCAAACTTACTCTCTTCATCGTACCAGCCCCACCTGTCACTGGGCTGCCACATGGACGCGGCTTGCAGAGCAAGCACCAGGCAGATTCACTCAAGGTTTTCCTCTTTAAAAAGCTGGAAGAATGCCACACCATGGAACCGGGCACCTCTCTCCAGTGCCTGTGTCACAAGACACGCACTTCCCCTAGAGAAGCAGGCAGGGCTTTCCTTCGCGCACAGACCAGCGTCTCCTCGTGAACTGCCAAGCAGAAGCTCTTGTATCACCTCAGTCAGGGGAATGGTGAGAGGCGACGTCTTAATCCGCAGCAGGAGGACGTCAAGCAGGGCCCTAACTACGCTGCATCTGTCTGTTCTCAGAGGAGTTCCAGCCAGCCTTCCTTCACACAGGCAGATTGAATGCTGCTGTGTCAGGCAAGACCTGTGCTTCTCTGTCAACAGCCAAAACTCGCCAACAAGCATTGATGCACACACACAACCCAACAGGCATGTGCACATACACTCTCCCCAACCTCTCCTGGACTCCTGAAGAGGGGCCTTCCTACAGCTAACATGACAGAACTTTTTAGGTTTCTACAGAACAACAGATGGAGGCGAAGAGAAATCCACAATCATCACCTCGGCCATGACCATGTCTTGGCACTTTTTAATAAATTTCCCTTCTGCCTTGACGATAGTCTGCAGGAACTTTATATACTGGACGTTGCGGCCGTGGGTCTCTATGCAGTGAACGAAGTGCTGGACAACTCTCTCGTTGATCTCACTGCACAGCTGGAAGTTGTTCATGAAGATGTGCTGCATCGTCACGGCCTCGAGGATCTACAGGAGTGAGCACAGGGGACACAGGCCAGTCAGGGACATGGGGCCAGAGCCGAGGGACAAAGAGAAGAATGCACTAAGAGCAGAGAAGCTTTTCAACACTGGGAGCCAGGTCTCCCCATCTCAGTCTGTTCTTTTTTATTCAACTTTTCCAGTGACAGGTAACAAACATAGAAAGTATACAATCCTGAGTGCCCAGCTAAGGGACTGAAGCAAGCACGAGCCCTGGACCAAGCAACAGCACAGCCTCCCTGTCCCACTCCACCACTGACTGTTCCCGCCTCTGCGGCTGCAGGGGAGTGTCACCTGCTCCCAAACCTCACACACTCTTCCCACCGACAGGTACGGAAGCTGTGTGTAGGAACGGATGTGTCCTCCCGCACGCTAGTCTGCATGATGCCTGCATCCAGTCCACGGCCAGAGGGCACCGGGGCAGCCCCAGCTGCAGCCTCCTGTGCGTGACAAATGCTCCCCACAGCACTGCTCTGGGTGTGCCTGTGCGTGAACTGAAGGGACACACTTCTCCCGGGTTTTGCTGGGTCACAGTAAAATTACACTTGCCTTGAGAAGGCACAAGACCAACCATCTACCTTTTATATCACGACTCTCCCACATCCTTGCGACCACCTAGTACTGGCGGTCACACCTCACCGCTTCTCTGATGACCACCTCATCCTGCTCACAGCCCCCTGGGAGCTCCTCTGCAGTGTCGTGGTCTTTCCCTTCTTGCCCATCTGAAAAGCCAGGTGCTGTTTGTTACAAATACACTGGGATGAATTCTCGGCTGAATGTGTGCACTGCAAACGCCTTTCCTCTCTCTGCCTGGTCCCTAACTGGGTCAGCTGATGACAGTTTGAAGAAGACAAACTTGACACGATTTTCCTTTCTAATTAGTGTACTCCCGGCAGTGCATCAGCCAGCTGTGCTCACCACGCAGTGAGGAAGACATTCTCATCGTATCTTTCAAAAGATTCACTTCTTATTTTTTCACACAACGTTTTCAGCTCCTGATTTTTATGTCTGGTAGGAAGCAGAGGCTTCTACGTTTCTACCTCTTGCCTTTTCTTTTCCTCATCGTGACAGGTAGGTCCATGCCACGACCCAGTGCTGAGGAGTGGACGCGTGTGCATGAGCACAAAGGTGTCTTCTGCAGCCCTGCTCATCAGCTAAAATCCAGACCCTGCCTGGACGCCCACCAGCGAAGGAATGTTTGCAAAACCCTATGGCCACTCTTTGCAACGCCACTTAGCTGTGAAGAACAATGAGGAAATCTTGTACCTCTCCAGTCTGCAAGGGCAGCACAGTGCACCCCGGGAGAAAAGCGAGACGCACGATAATATGAAGAAGGTGGTGCTATTTTTCTCTAGAGAACATACCATGCTCAATGAACAAACTGAAGTCACACACAACTAACTGGAACGCGTGACAGATGCTGTCTCTTGTGGATACGCATTTGTGGGCAGACGGCAGGCCTGTCCGCAGGGAGCAGGTGGAGAAGGAGCCCCTGCTCTGTGCAGCTGAGGTTTACACAATGAGGAACGGGACCAAGAGGCAGAAACAAAGGCCACTGTCCCCACCACCCTGCCCTCCCCTGCCACTCCTATGCACCCCCGGAAGGGTGCACGGATGTCCTCCAGGCAGGCGGTCGGAATGCTCCCTTCTGGAAGGAACAACCTCCAGAGCGCCCGGCGGCACAGACCGTGCTGCCCCCGCCCCCAACTCCTCACCCAGGGAAATGCACACAGGCTCCCGCCTTACCCCAGGGTTGAGAAACAGGTTGATGTGTTTATGCAGCAAGGCTTGATTCTGCTGGTTGCCTGCACAGAAATTCTGCAAAAATTCATGAGCCAGCCTCATGATCTCTTGCATCTTGGTATCCTCAGCCTGTGTGGGAGGAGAAGGACAGAGAGAGAGCTGTGGCCGCAAGGCTGACACCAGCTTCTCCTGCATCCCAGCACTGCAGCGAGGCAGGGCTCACGCAGGGTCTGCTCAGGGCCTGCTGCGTGTGGACGGCAGCACAGAGGCACCGCAGCACCCAACCTGAGCAGCAGCCAGTCCTGTTACACCCTACCAATAAAGAGGAGTTCTTCCCACTAGTCCTGAGTAAAAACAGCTTTACTCAGGACAAAGGCAAGAATGCAAGCTGGGTGAGCATCCGGGGGACCCCACTGTACAGCAATGACCAAACCTTCTGACAGCCACTTCTAGATGCAGGCACTGACCACAGAGCTGGGCTGACCCCACACACACGGTGGGGCCTTCTCTCACCAGGCCCCTGGCTCACCTGCTCAAGGTGCCCAGCACACTTGGTCTCACCTGAACTTCTGGCAGAGTGGGAATGCCCCTGAGTTCAAGTTGAGGCAACTGTGCTGACCGTGACTCCTTCCCTTGTCTCCCCACGTTTTTACCCTGAGCCCGAGGTTTGCCTTTGGCCAAGTGGGACAACAGCTGCCTGGGCAGTCCCCTCGTGTGCCTCTGTGATTCTACTCAACAGATGCTGTGACCCTCACACCAGACTAAAAGCACAGTCAGTACAGGTCGAGTTCCACACTCAGAGGGAGCAGCATTTCAGAAACCTACGGCCATTCTGCCCAATTCTAAACAAGCACACATTTAGCACAGCAGAGTGGACGCGTCCTTCCTACCCACACACCCACGATCGTCCCCCTGACTCTGGGCGTCATCAGCTGCGCTCGGGCAGGACTGTGCAGCCGTGAGGAATGCAGGCACCCATCTCATCCAGGGTAGACGGTCTCCTGGCTGTGCGGCCTGGAGAAACACTGACCTCCTCAGACACGGAAGCGCACGTTTCCTCTATGTGTCATGAAGACAAACTGACAACACCCACGTGCAGGCTTTGACAGCGAGCACTCACTGAACGTCAGCAACTGGTTCTCATCTACACTGAGCTCAGCAAGCTTTGTCCTCGGGGTGACGCAGTTCATACGTCAGGTGCCCTGTTCCAGAAGCCGAGTTCAAGACCCCCTGCAAGTACTCCTGTAAGCACCTAGAATTTAACCACCAACCACAGCTGAAGTGCTGTATACAGGTGCTCGACTCTGACCGACCCAGGTCTGCACTTCGCCCACCTCCGGTCTAAAACAGCTGAGAACACAGGACACAACTGTCTAGCACAGGTGACATGGCAAATACACAGAGCAACTAGAAGGGACTTGCACTACCTGTGTCTCTCACTAACCGGGGCTGCGGGGGGCCTTCCAGCTCTAAGAACTGAGAGGGGAGGGACAGAGAGCTGCAGCCGGCTGACAGCGTGGCCTCAGCTGTGCGTGCGTCCATCTCCTCCACTGGAAAGCGAGTCTGCTGGCATCAAGGACTCCGGAGCCTCCTAGCCGAGGTGGATTTTTACAAAGCCAGAAAGCTCAGGAGACATCTTATCACAGCCTGGTGGGATCTGTGCTCTCCGCGTGTGTGTCCACACAAACGTGTGCCTGTAGACCAACAGTGCTCTGTGAACGTCTGTCTCTCACTAAGGAAACCGACAACAGCCAAGAGAAAGCCATGGTCACAAACTACCCCTGAGGTCCTTTACACCTGGGGAGGGAGAGGGACTGGCAGGCCCAGTCCAGACACCAGGCGAGTTCAGAGGGCAGCAAGCCCACAGTAACTGCCAGTCAGCTACGCACCTGCCCTCTTCAGAGGGACGAAGCCTGGTGTGCCTTATGGCTGTGGAAAGGCGGGATGCGCCTCTTCACGGGGTTCCCTGTGGGGCAGCTCACAGAGAGGCAGCAGGTGCAGAGCGGGTGCAGGCCCAGGCTCCACACACGTGGGCCGTCCTGAGCCCCTAGAACCGCAGGCCTCCTCTAACACAGAGCTGAAGACAGAGCCAGCTCCCTCGGCTGGGTTCTCGGGGACAACAGGAGCTAAACAATGCAAAGGCTGCACCTTGAGGCCCACTCCCTGCAAGCAGTCGGCAGACGGCCTTCTTCAGGCCACTCATGCCCATCAAGGCCTTCTCTCATGGTCACTTGTGAACCCAACAGGCTGGAGACTGAGCCTTGGCGTGTGGAAGCTCCCCAAACCCCAGGGTGCCTATCGACAAAGCGGGCCCAGCACAGCTCCTCAGTGGGTTTCACATGTGTTCTTGGGTGCTGTGTGACCCTACACAGATGCTAAGCACTGCTCCCCTCCCCGAAGCCCCACCAAAGACAACACCTAGGAGGCAAACCCCACTTCCAGCCGGTGGGGAGGAAACTCGGATCACAGAGCCCCAGAGCAACCTGAACACAGGGCCTGCTGTGGGCTGACCACCGAGGACTCCGAGCGGCCATGCCGCACGCCCGCAGGAGCATCTGAACCATGCTCCGTGCGGTTCCTGCACTTGCCCTGAAACCGCTTTTGTCACAGTCACAGCGTGGGGCGCCCACCTTCTCGTAGGGGATCTGCAGCAGCTCCAGCACCACGGCGTGCGCGCCCATGTTCCGCAGCAGTCGCTGCTGCTGCTTCCTGCTCTTCCTCACTGAGGCGCTCTCCTGCACGCAGAGTTTGCTGAGCCGAATCAAGATCTGGCAGAGAAACACCGGTCTCAGAAAACCAGCGACCAGAGTTGGCCAAGGGCGCAGGAGCAGGGGGCAGGGACGCACACGGGGTCACAACACACAGAAACCGCCACCAGGAAAGGCAGTGTCCCTCCTCCCTGCACGGAACCCAACCAACGGACAACTACGGACACAACTTCCAGAACAGGCAGGGATTACGGCTTCAACAGCCAGAGGGCCAGTTTGAGAGAGATCAGGCGAAGCAGACGACCAGAACCACCGCCTGGACGGTGCGGGGAGATCACTCCTGGGTAACAATGCACAAAGCTCCCCCCCCCCCCCCGAACATCCTCAAGTGACCCTTCCTAAGGAACTGCAGCTCTTGGTGGCTGGCACGCGCGCATCCCGACAGCGAATCCGTCGCTCTGGTGCAAAGCTCCGGCAGGACCTGGGGCCCGCAACAGGTGCAGGGACTGCAGACACACGGCCCAGTGCAGGGCCAGTGGCAGAGTGCGGATCTGACCCTTACCCTCTGGTCTCCCCTTTCACCCTGTCCAACTTCACGTCCAGACAAAAAACCTGGAGCGTCTGCTGCTTCAAGCTGACCGTTGGAGGAAATGAAAGCACCTCAGAGCCCACAGCAGCAGGCCAGCTCACCTCCTTGACCACCCTGTAGTTGTAGCTGCTGGCGCTCTCGTGCTTCTGCGACTTGTTGTTCCCCTCCTATGGAGAAAAGCAAAGACAGCTGTGGCACGCACAGCTTTCAAACAAACCACTGTCTGTTGGCTGGGGTGAGCACTCCCTTCAGGAAAGAACGGGGGCTGTACACGGTGTCCAGCAGTCGTATGGGTTTGTACACGTCATTTACTCACACTCACTCTGTGATAGAGGCCAGGCCAGCCAGGGCCACAGCACAAGTTCATGGTCACATGTTTCTGTACAGGTGACCTGGTGCTCAGCCACTCTACAGCTGAAGTCTTGAGACAGCTGTCACCCTGGGATGTTACAGGCTGGTCTCTCAGGCCTCAGCCCAGCCCTTCCTGCATTTACTCAACCCACGTAGGATGCATCCTGGCCCACAACACCTGCTGTCTGCTTTGCAGCCCAACACAGGCTCTGCTCACCTCTGCTTTCTTGTGTTCATTTTCTCCAGAAGCACCGTCCATGGTCTCATCGGGCCCCTGCCCCTTGTACACCCAGAGCTCCGACTTCTCCACGATGGACCTCAGCTGATCCAGGTCCTGCTTGATCTGTTTGTAGTTGTCCACATCCTGGCTGGTCACCAGCAGCTGGACCTGAAGGAACACAAGCCATCAGATGTGCACAGGGGCATCTGAGGGGTGCAGCCTGGCGCCGGCCCTCCATCTACCTGCTTGAAGGCCTGTAGGACCTCCTGCCTCTGACTGAAGTGCCGGAAGAGCAGCTGCAGGGCCCCCGACACCAGGGGCGGGTAGTCGTGCATGGTCAAGTGCAGCAGCACGCGCAGGAAGGTCCTGCCGCCGTGGTCATCCAGGTCCAGCGGCGTGTTCTCCTCACTAGAGAGCACGAGAGGGACAGGCCACATGAGCCACAAGTGCCTCTCCCCCCCACCCCCGGCGACTAGATGTCTGGTGCTCTATCCACTCTCTGTGTGCTGACTTCTCCTTACGCCAACACCATCTGGACGTGTCCTCAACACTGCAGAGATTATATGACTCTATGTCATCATGGCCGAACCTGAAACCAAAGCCCCGGCCCTCTGGTGGCAGGAAGACTGGCAGCATAGCCAGATCCCCCGCCAGAATCACAGGGCTCTCCCACCGGGCTTCACTTGCACTCTGAGGACTGCAAACAGACGTGGTTCTCCTCTGTCCCGGGGCTCCTGCGTGTTCCAGACCCTGCAGACTCTCGAGTGAAGGCCCAGCCTGCTGGCTTTCTAGTCTGCAGCTCTCTGATGTCCTGGCACATCCCAAGTCCCCTGATCATGTACTTGGAGGCTTTAATGCCTAAAAAGGCCCACTTGCTCACTGTTCTGTGCCTAACTTGTCACAAACTGGAACAGGCATGACCATGCACTCAGAGGGCCCTCCTGGAGAAGCGCTGCCACAAACCAACCTCACAGGGCACAGTGGACCTATCCGAGGTTATTTCAACGCCTGTGAGGTGACTCTGTGTTAATTTATGTCACTGAAAGATTGACAAGCACATCCTGGGTCAAGCTGCAGACACTATCACCAGTGGGCACTGCTACCCAATGGCTGTGCCAGCCCCTGGCTGCACTCAGAGAGGTGACAAATGGGCTGGACTCCCTGGTCACAGGCTGATGAGAGGGCTGAACAGGGATTACTGCACCCCTGCTCTCTTCTGGAGGTGTGGGGAGCACGGCAGGCTCGGGTCTCCTGCAGGAGTGCCATCACGCTGGACCCAGACATCCCGTGTAGCTTTTCAGAAATACATTTTCCAGCATTAGGAAGAATGTAGCACACCCAAGTGCCATGGGTTTTAATATTAAGTATGGCTGACACTGGGGGTTCCCTGGCAGCGTGCACTCTGCATGCAGTCCCTCCCACACCAACACCAGGCTCACCGGTGGGGTTTGCTCAGGGGAGCAGGACAGGAGCAAGTACAGTGCAAGCACAGATGTGAGAGCACCTGCATACAGCAGGCTCGTCCCTACGGCAGACTCGTTCCTATGCCGGCTGCCACACTGGCAGGAAGCCCAGGGTACCCACAGTGGGGCAGGGGACAGATACCCCTGCCAAGGGGCCAGAAAGCTGAGTAAAGCAACAACTTGGACATGCTGGCCCCAGGAAGTGACCTCAGGAAACTCACAGCACAGGCCCGGCAATGAGCACAGAAGAAGGACCCAGATCACCCCCTCAGCTCAGGGAACTGCGAGAGGTAATCAGACCCGGTGCTTGACTCCTCAGGCTGCTGAAGTCGACTCTACCAGCAACCGGCAACCAATCCAAGCGTGCTGGCTCTAAGAGCCAGGAGCAGGGGGTACTGCCATCCACTTTAGGCTCTGGGCAGATGCGTTCACATAAATAAGACAACGTTTTACGCCAGCAGTGAGCAACATGATGCCTCCTAAGGGCTCACACGCCAGCAGCAGGGAGACAGACACGCCTGTGCTTTCTCTGCTGAGGGAGCCGGGAAAGCCACAGGGGTCAGACGCATCCTCCAGGGGACAGCATGAGCAAACCCCGATCTGTTTCTAGCCTGCTCTCTTCCAGCTCTTTGTTCTGCTGCAATTTCCCCTTCACTTAAAAAAATCTTGAAATGTACATATGCATAAGGGGCCTTCAAAAAGTTTGTAGAAAAATGGAATTACAAGTTAGGTTTATTTGGTGCAAACAAACGTTGAAATTCATGCAACGTTTCTTCAGAACACACATTTCCCACCAACTTTTTGAGGACCCTCTTATTGTAGAAAACCACAGAGCTTTTCTGGCTGTGGCAGGATGTGTGCACGCACACGCACACACGTGTACACATGTGTGCATGTCCATGTGCACAGTCCAGCCAACTAAGGTGACTCTGGCTTGAGTACTAGGAGTCCCCAGGAGGGCACTAGCCCCACCTAATCCCAGAGACTGAACGTTTACTGCGATAGTCACAGAAATGCCTTTGAGAGCTGCAGAAGGGCAGCCTTCCAAACGGCAGAGCCGCCTCCGCAACAGCAGCTGAAAACACACTTTCCTTCCTCCAAAGATGCCTTCTGCTTGCTCCTCGATGTGTTCGAAGTCGAGAGCACCTGCAAAGTCAGAGACGCCGCTTCAGGGGCAGGAAGGCCTGAGCACAGAGCTGGTCTTCCAAGCACGCAGCTGCTGGGCTCATCCCAAATCCTCAGACTCAGACACTGCCACGCCGGGGAGCCAGGCGAGCCCAGAGACCCTACTCAGCGCTCCATGGCCTGCGCTCGGCCCTCCCTGCCCGCTACCAGGCCGCTGGACAGCAGCAACCTTGTGCCAAGGAAGCCTGGGGCCTGGCAGTGGGGGTGCCCAACAACGCTTCCCTGACCGTCACCGCTACTTCCTGGGCAGGGACGAAGGGCCAGTGTGAGGACAGGATGCAGTGCACACCCAGGTCCCTTAGACTTTTGCTTGTGACAGTTTTTGTTTGGGGGCTCGGGGTATTTGGAGGAGGGGTATGCTGTAGGCAAACACACAGTGGAAACCTTGGCTGCCACGTGTCTAGCAGAAGGAAATGAGACTTATCCCAAAAGGAATCTGGGCTTGTCCCATGATGCCCCTGGCTCAAAATCAGCGAATCCTAGCAAGCTGCTTTGACTACAATAATCCCCAGAGGCATGCGTCCTCTGCTGTTCTGGAAGCTGCCATGTGTACCCAGCTCTCCTGAGGCCAGCCCGAGCACACCTGATGACGTGGGGTCACTGACCTGGGACATTACTGGGCCCTTCAGGGCTGCTGCTTCCGGATGCTGCTTCTGTCGTCTGGGAGTTGCTTTCGTCAAACTCCCGCTTGAATATGCACAGGAGGCAGGAGATGCGGTAATCCAACCTCACGTTCAAAATGAACTGCGGGGTCAAGCGGGGACAGCAACAGACCGGTTACACAGCCCCATCACTCTCCACACACAACCAGGCCAAGAGCCATGCCGAGGGCCTCCAGCACCAAGACTGCACCCTGGCCACACCCACGTCACGCGACACCGGCTCCAGGCCCAGCACTGAGAAGAGCGAGGTAGCTGCTGTGAACGGAGGGATCAGACGAGCAAACTCACTCTTTACTACCAAAACGTAGCTGCCTGCTCTGACAGAGGCACAAACGCCGGCCCCCTCCGCCTGCATCTCCTGAACCCCACCCCCCGCCCACCACGGCAGAGTCCCTGGTCTGCTGACTGCCACCAGGATCGAAGGGCACGTCCCATCAGCCAGCACCATTCGAGGGCTCAGGAACACCCTTCCTTCCTTTCTCCCCTTGTCCATGCTGAGCCCAAGGGACAACCTGGCCCCACCTCGGAGCTGCACCTCTCCAGGCACGGTCACCGGCCCGTGTCCCGCCAACCATCAGACACCTTTCTGGTATCTTGGGTAAACTTGGAGTTCTAGGTGTCATCACAACTGGGCTGGAGGATGCCTGGGCAGCCGGTGAGGGGACAGCCTCTGAGTCACAGGGCTCGCGGCAGGAGGAAGCCCCACTCTCATCCAACATGGGTGGGTGTCACCGAAGCCACTGAGGGCTGGAGGAAAGCAGAGGCAGGGGCAGGGAGGGGTGGATCTGCCCTCTCCCTCCAGGAGCTGGGACCTCAGAGCTGCAAGTTCCCAGCCCTCAGCTCCGCGTGGGCCTCAGGCCTAAGACTCAGACCGAGTCAGCACAGCGCCCAGCCCCACAGCTGTACGAGGCAGTCTCGGTCCAAACCCCTCAGGCATTCCTGTGCAACTCTGCGGGTTCCGATCCTCTGCAGACCCCACCCTGGGACACCCTCGGAGGCAGCCCTGCCTTTACTGCTGCCTGCCTGGGCTCCCTCAACCTCGGCCAACCTCAGGACCATCGACCCTTCTGTCTGTGCCACACACTTCACCTCGGCAGCTCACTCCTGCTGCTCCGCCCTCTGCCGCACTCATGGTTTCCGCCCAAGGCCCACCCTGCCACAGTCCAGACCCCTGATCATGCTCCCCTGGCCACTTACAGAACCAACCCCGCCCCTGCCATTCACCCCCCGGAGGCACTCGTTTTTAGGTTAGCACCTGCACAGGGGCTCGCGGCAGACGGAACACTCAACACTGCAGGCACCAGTGCCTCCTCGAGCGTGCGCCACGCTGCTCCCCCTCCTGCGGTCCCATGCCTTCTCAGCCCAAAGTGACCTGCATAAGCTGCCCAGAACCCCAGCAAGGTCCCCTTGCTTCTGCACGGATCTCACCCCTGCCGAAAGCCGGATTCCTGCCTCCTCCACGGACACTCTCTGCCCCCGCCACACGGAGTCAGAAGCCCTCTCCTCTCAACACAACCTCCGGCGCGCACAGCTCCAGGACACCCACACCCCAGGAGACCCTGAGGCCTGGGAAGAACCCATCCCAGTCATCTCTGCAGCCCTCCCAGGGCCAGCCCACGCCCCAGGAGACCCTGAGGCCTGGGCGGAACCCGTCCCAGTCATCTCTGCAGCCCTCCCAGGGCCAGCCCACGCCCTACACACGACTCACAGTCAGCAACACGTGCAGAAAGGAGCCGGCTGACCACCATGGCAAGCAGCCTATGCCTTGTCACTCCTGATCAGCCTGACCCTGTGTCTCTGGGGGTACACAGCCCAGGGCCCGGATGCCTCTCCTTACTTCTGGTCAGGCACAGATTCCATGAGCTTCCTCCCGCCCTGGGTGACCTACATGGTGCATTCTCACCGACGCTCTCAAGGCTACGGCAAGTGCAATCTCAGGCACGAACATGTGTGAGTGCTGACTGTATCCCAGGACAGGAATAAGCCACACAGCAACGGGGAGAAAGGAGCCAGCAGGATTCTCTGCAGGAAGAGGCAGGCGCTGCTGGGCAGACACCTGCGCCATGGAGCAGGAGAGAAGCTCAGGCCGCTGGGGGAGCTGCAAGCCCCCTGGAAGCTGTGAGGGTCTCCCACCAGGACTGCACCCCCTCCTGCTTACACAGGACCTGACCCTGACAACCATGCTCTCTCACACAAAGCCTCTCTCAACTGAAACAACGACAAAAAGACAGCTTCTTGGTACCAACCTCACTCCCTGAGTGGTGACCAACTCCCCTGACTCATCTCTCACGCCCTCAGGGACCAACCTGTTCCCAAACGTGTCCGCACCTCGCACTCCACACTCACGCTGCTCCCTCTGCTCTGAGTACCTCCTGGGTGGCCCTCCAGCTAACTCCTCACTTCCGACCACATCATCTTTTTTTTTTTTTTTTTTTTTTGGACAGGCAGAGTGGACAGTGAGAGACAGAGAGAAAGGTCTTCCTTTTCCGTTGGTTCACCCTCCAATGGCCGCCGCAGCTGGCGCGCTGTGGCCGGCGCACCGCGCTGATCCGATGGCAGGAGCCAGGTGCTTCTCCTGGTCTCCCATGGGGTGCAGGGCCCAAGTGCTTGCGCCATCCTCCACTGCACTCCCTGGCCACAGCAGAGAGCTGGCCTGGAAGAGGGGCAACCGGGACAGAATCCAGCGCCCCGACCAGGACTAGAACCTGGTGTGCCGGCGCCGCAGGCAGAGGATTAGCCTAGTGAGCCGTGGCGCTGGCCCCGACCACATCATCTTAATGCAGAAAGGAAAGCACTCCCACCCTCCGCCACAGAGGTCTCCATGCCACCCTGGTCCTCCAGGATCCTGCAGCAGCCAGAGCCCCTCTACCGTGGGACACGGCTCAGGCTGAGCCGAGTACACGCCCGCGCCCCGGCCAGAATCAGGTCCCCAAGCAGCAGGAATTCGATCCATTCATTTGTTGGTGCATCCCCAGTGCTTAAAGACACTTGATACCATCTGTCTCAGTAAATGCTGGCTGAATGAAAGACGGAGGGCGGGAGGGAGGAGAGGGGAAGCAGTCTCTAGAACTAAGGGAACCCTGAACCGAGTGATGAACACCAGGCAGGGGTCCGGCGGCACAGGGCAAGGGGAGTGAAGTCTGAGGCACGGGGCAGGTGGGAAAGAGCAGAAGCCAAGGCTGAGGCAGTCGCGGGCGCCGCAGGAACAGGGGTGCGGCTGGGAGCCGTGGGGAGGAGGGGACAGCTGAAGGGTTTAAGAGGAGCTGCTCACATCGACATTGAAGAGCAGCTCAGGACTCCATCAGCTGCTCCCGGGCTCCACCGAGGCAAAGCGAGGCAGCAACCTCCCGCCACGGCCCCGCCCCCGCCCCCGCCCAGGCCGACGGGTACCTGCAGGATCTCGATGATCTTCAGCTTGGTGTCCATGACCATGATGTCCTCCTTCTCGGGCTCCGCCTGCTTCACGTTGCCCTCAGGTGCGGTGGCCATGGGGGTCATAGGCAGAAAGCCCCCACCCCGGAGCACCACCTGGGTCATCAGCTCCCCAACCCCGTGGATGGACCTCATCACGTTGCTGCCTGCAGGGCCAGGGGAGACCAGGGTCGGGATGACGCTCCACAGCGCTCTGCACACGTGGGGAGGGCGCCTCACTCCATGGCCCTCAGCATTCGGGGACTGGGATGTTGGTGCCAGCAGGAAGGGGTCTTCTGGGAGGGGTGGGCAGACAGTGGGCTCCTGAATCCACCAGGAGCGTTTCTGTGGGGATTCTACAGATAACTACTGCGCACGTGCACCGTGCAGGGAACGAGGCCAGAGAGGCCACGCTGCACAGTCCCTGGCGCCGTTTCACCCGGGGTGCACTACAGCCACTCCAAGAGCTCAGGCCGCTCATCTATCGAATGGGGATGAGGACACTCGAGGGCAGGACTGAAGCTGCTGCAAATGCCGAATGACCTAGCCCAGCACCCAGCCAGCCGTGGGCGGTAGAGCAATGTGTGTCCTGTGCTGCGGCTGCGGAAGGCCAGTGAGCAGTCATTCACACCCAGTGAATGCACATGCAGACCCTGACTCTAAAACATGTATTTACAGACAGACCAAGGTGGGGTTCTCCATTCAGGGGTGTGAGTGGGTGCGGCTGGAGAAGAGCCACTCGACTTCCCGTCGGAGTAAGACGGAAGGCAGGGAGCAGAGGGAAAGTGAGGCGGCATGAGGCAGTGCATCCGGCAGAGTGGCCAGGCACCTTCAGATGAATCTGAGACCGCCTCCAGGCTTCGTCCACACTGGGATTTGTAAGGGCGTGGGGTGCACTTCTCCCTGTCATTGCTCTTCCCTGACACAGGGCTTCTTCTTTGACTAGGGCTGGTCAAATTCCTTCCAAGGTTTTGTAACCTGACTTTATCACACTGGGTAACCCACTTGGCCCTGAGCAGAGAGGATTCTTCTGGGATGTTCTCCATGGGAGGATGGGGGAGGCTGGGACCACCTACAACGTGACCGGGGCAGGGGAGGATTGTGCTCTATAACACACCGGGACTGTTAATGCTCCTGCTTGGCCCCGTTCTTTCTCTCTGCCTAACAGAATTAGATATCAAGATGCAGGCCAGGTTTTAGTTCATCACTGGGGAATGTTATCATCAATGGACTCATGAACATAAAGAGAGATACACATCACAAAGCAAGGTGATTTTTTCAAAGTGTTCAGCAAAATGGAGACTCCCATGTCTAATCACAGAGCAAAGACAGCAACATGGGGCTCACCACTAGCTCTAAGTCTCAGGGTATGGGTGTCCATGGCACTGGCCATCTGCTTGTCTATAAAATGCTGACACTGCAGATTGGGGAAGGGAAGAAGACAGGGAGGTGCAACACGGGCAGCACCGGATGGGCTGAGAACGCAGGCACCGCCAGGCCTGCCCATACCACCCCTTGCCCACCAAGGTACCTTTGCTCTCCTCTCCCTTGGCCATCTTGCTGACAGGGAAGATGGTCGTCACGTGCACACAGTCTAATATGGCCAGGAGGATCTTGGTTAACCGCAGGAGGTCGGAGAAATTGTAGAACCCGAAGTATATGAGGTTCCTAGCTAAATTCACAACCTATTGTATAGAGAAAAGAAGATGGCATTAGACTAGCAGCGTCCTCTGGCTCCCTGGATGAAACCAGCTCATACTTCACAGCTCTTCTAACCTTCCCCATGTAAGAGAAGCCACGCATTATGCTTGCAGTGTCTGCATAAAATTCAGAAAAGAGAAGAATTTAAAAAAAAATTAAAACCTACCAAACTACTCTTTGCTTTCATGAGTTAAAGCAATCAAATGAATCCATCTGCCTGGCTTCCCAAGGCCAACACTGCGCCAGCCAAGCTGCACCCAGCAAGTCACAGATATCAGCAACAACAGAGCCATCACCAGTAAAAAAAAAAAAAAAACTCCAAAAAGGCCAGGGCTGTCCGCGTTTTCACTGCCAGGTAAAGAGGATTTATTGCTTATCATGTTTGCCACCTCATTCATCCACAGCAGACCCCGAGGACAGTGTTTCTCTCCCACCATTTTTACAACCAAGAACACTGCAGGCCTAACACCCCATCATTTCCCATGATTCCATTCACCTTGCACACTCCTTTTAAGTACCTAACAGCTGTTAGGCAAAGCCAGCGATTATCAGTTCTGAGTTATCCTGGAAGAGCACTGGGCTCAATTCTTTTTCATTAAAAGCAGAGCATGGTGGGAAAAAGCACCACCTACTGAAACATTTTTTGTCTTCTCAGTAGAACAACGGCCAACAAGAAGCAGACAACACACACAGATGGCTTCACTGAGCATTACCTCAAAGGTGAGCTTGTTTTTCTCCTTATCAGAGAATGGGAACCTCTGGCAAACCACGTCTCGCAGGTACTCCTCCACGAACTCCATGGTCTGGGAGAACCTCTCCTTGATGTCATCTTTGGAAGTCCCACTGCTATCATAGCTGAAAGACAAGGAGGAAGGAGGGAAGTGAGACCCTCGGCTCCTCCCACTGAAGGCCTCCAGGGCTCCTGAGCCCCAAGTCAACACCCTCAATGCCTGACAGTGACCTTGCTGCACCTCTGTCCTCAGCACCACAACCAATTGTATGCTTCAGCACCTGTTTAGTGCCTGCACCCCTGCACAGACAGCTGTGCATCACACACACAAGTATTTGCAGAACAAAAGACAGACAGAAACAAGATGGAAAACAGTCGTGTGTCTTGCATATTCCAGAGGATGAAATAGGTGCCCTCTACTTAGTCTGACTTGAACTACACCCCTCTGCTGCGAGTTACTGGCCCCTGTAGGCCGTCTCCAGCACTGCACGGGGCATGGCCGGGTCCGCAGAGCAGGGGAAGGAGCGGTGCTCACTCGTCGATGGCGATCTCCGAGGGGATCTCTGACCAGAGGCGGGCGTACTTCACAGGCGTGACCTGCTCCTGCGGGTCTCGGTCCACATGCATGTGCAGCATGAGGCGGCAGAAGGATGCCCGCAGGTCGTAGGGCAGGTTCTCGTCCGACATGCAGCGCAGGATGAGGTCCACGTCCAGCTGGCCCGAGATGTCGTTGATGGCCAGGTACTGGCGGTCCAGACACATCCTAGCGAAGAGGTTCAGCTGGTACCTGAGACGAGAAGAGCAGCCCCCGGGTCACTCTCCAGCAGTCACCAGGGCTGAGGAAGGGGTCCCGCTTCCCAGGACTTGGACATCAACTCCCTAGATGGCCAGGTGGCAACTGGTTGCAGCTCTGTGCCCAGAAGGGACAGTGGCTGGGGGATGACCCTACACATGTCTATGCAGCTGGGCGGGCAGGGACTTCTCTGACTGTATTTCACTACTCCCTTGTTTATATTACAAAACACCTGAGATGTTGTCTGCTTGGTTCACTTCAGCTGTGTCTTCACACAGTATATCAGAGACCAGCTATCACCAACACAGAGTCTGATTAAAATTTTTATATGTTTAGGATGCTCTGTCGTGCTAGCCACTCTCTAATTCCTACACCTGAGCAACACGTGATGTAGTCAGGTGGGAGGTGCCTCCCTTTCCTCCTCGCACACTCACCAGGAAACTCCAGGAACTTGACAGACACCCTCCTCACGCACCTGCAGGAAGATGCAGGAAGCAGAGAGGAGGCACACCTGCGTGTGAAGTGGTCAGAGCACCAGGAGCTTCCCATCCGGCAAACACTGGCCTTCAGTACCACCAGTGACTATGGCTTGAGAAGACTCTCAGCCCACCGGGTACTGGGGAAAGGCAACTGCAGACTGATTCCACTCCATAATCTTAGGATGAGCAGAGGTTAAAAAGCATCCCAACAGCCCATGCCGCGGCTCACTAGGCTAATCCTCTGCCTGCGGCACCAGCACCCCAGGTTCTAGTCCTGGTAGGGGCGCCGGATTCTGTCCCGGTTGCCCCTCTTCCAGGCCAGCTCTCTGCTGTGGCCCGGGAGTGCAGTGGAGGATGGCCCAAGTGCTTGGGCCCTACACCCGCACGGGAGACCAGGAGGAAGCACCTGGCTCCTGGCTTTGGATCGGGGCAGCGCGCCGGCCATGGCAGCCATTTTGGGGGGTGAACCAACGGAAAACAAAGACTTTCTGTCTGTCTCTCTCCCTCACTAACTCTGCCTGTCAAAAAAAAAAAAAAAAAAAGGCATCCCAATAGCAAAGTTAGCCAAGGGCAATGGAAACAAAAGCTGCCACTCACAACAAAGGGAATGGACAACGCTAACATGTGGTGTAGGATTCTCTAGGGAAGTTCAAAATAAGAGTATCGTCCGACCCAGCTCCTGGTGTGCAAGAGACAGACACTCACAGACACACAGGGACAGATGTGCATGAGGACGTCTCCGGTATGGGAACCTCCAGCATGAACAAGGGGTTTCTGTACTGCGACTGACAGGCAAGGAGCACCCAACACAGAAACACCACTGAGGAAGGGAGCAAGCTTCAGAATGGTACCCGGACTGTGGGGCCGCGTTGACAAATTCATCACACGGAATACTCGTTCTGACTGACAGGTGCACACGGAGTAAAACACACAGCACTGAGCACGTGAACAACACACAAGAACGGGAGGCGCAAGAACAGAAGACAGGAAGTGAGGAGGGGTGTTTGGAGGCAGCCTCAGCATCACTAAGGGATCCTGGAGTACCACTGCACCTTCCCCGCCCCTCCCTTTTCTTCTCTGACCATTTACTGGCTCAACACACTCCCTGCCTGTCCCTTCCAGCAGGCCTCAGAGCAGGGCCCAGGAGGCACTGGGGAGGGAAGGCGACAAGCGGCACAAGCGGGAACGCACCAAGGAGAGAACACCTGGGAGTGCCGACCACCATGGGGATGACGGCGGCAAAGCGGGAGCCAGGACAGCCCAGGCGGCCTCTGCAGGTGCTGGAGAAGTGCGTGCTCTGGCGCACGGCGGCACACATAGAGGTCACAACTGCACACACGCCTTCTAGCTGCCTATAAACACTCTGAGACCGGCACAACTGCCTCCAGGTGCCGATGAAGAAACTGGAGCAGTCCAAGAACAAGTAAGGGGAGAGGTCGGGACTGGAACCCAGGCAGCCTCACCCCACAGCCTGACCCCTACAATCCACGTGCGCCACAGCTCGGGCTGCCGCGAGGGAGCAATCCTCCTTTGGGGCCTAGACAGCCGACAGCAACCGACTCCCCGAGCTAGGATGAAAACACACTTGGCCATCGGGAGACCGCCTGCCTTTCCGCCCGGTGGTCACGGCAGACGCCTTGGCGTCACCAGCAGACACGAGCCAGCCTGCCCTGACCGGCACCCGCGCGGCCGCTCACCGGTAGTAGCTGAGGACATCTCGGTCTTCCTTCTGTCCCTCTTTGGCGTCCTGGGCCAGCTCCCGCACGCTCTTGCTGCGCACCTCTTTGTGGCTGTCTCTCCAGAACAGCCACACCTCCTCCTCGTCCTCGCCAGCCTCCAGGGCGCTCTCTCCGCTAGACACCCCTTCAAACTCGAAACGAGAAAGAACCAGCCTGCAAGAGACGAGGAGAACTCGGCACTGCTGGACGCCAGCTTCGCCTCAGCCTGAGGCACCAGACCACCCCCGGCACAGACCCACAGAGCTGTCACCTTCTTCAGACTGCAACCCAGGGTCCCCCCGGCGGTGACCGTGCCGCCCAGTGGACATCCAGCAGTGGACGACAGGAGACACCAGTGCAAGGGAAAGGGCTGCTGGCACCCAGTGGCGAGAACGGCCGCCGACAGCAGAGCAGGGACCCCTCCCCCAGTCATCTGGCCTCCAAAGCCAAAGCACTGAGGAGGAGAAACCCTGCATGGACCTGTACCCTAAATTAAATCATTCATAAGATACACACACACGCAAACAGAAACCACTGATGTCGTTAGCACTTCTTTAATACTGTCACTATCCATATGGTGCTGGTGCTGTGCGCAGCAGGTTAAGCCACCACCTGCGACACTGGCATGCCATATGGGCAATGGTTCGTGTCCTGGTTTCTCCACTTCTGATCCAGCTTCCTGCAAACGTACCTGGGAAAGCAGCAGAAAGTGGCCGAGTGCTTGGGCCCCTGATCCCACAAGGGAGACCCAGAAGAAACTCATGGTTCCTGGCTTAGATCTGGTCCAGCCCTGGCCATGGGGCCATTTGCAGAATAAATCAGCAAATGGAAAATCTCTCCCTCTGTGTCTCCTTGTCTCTCTGTATCACTGCCTTTTAAATATATAAATATATATGCCTTTTAAAAATACTTCCCATGTGACTGGCACTATGACAACTTTTCCTCTGCCCAGAATGAGTGACATGCGTTAACTAAACTCATGTGGACCATCAAAATATGTTTTGCTCACTGGAAACTCCTTCCAACACTGACTATTACTTAGGTTCTTGAGAATTTTACACTGCTGATCACATTGAGGAAGGTTCAAATCTGAGGCAAGCATTTAGCTTAGCCGTTTTGACACCGTGTTCCGCATAGGGGTTCTGGGGTATCGCTCCCAGCCCAGCTACTCACTCCAGCTTCCTAATGCACACCCTGGGAGGCAGCAGAGGTGATGGTTCAAGTGGGTCCCTGCCAGCCGTGTGGGAGACCTGGACTGAGTTCCTGGCTCACAGCTTTGGCTCTCGCCCAGATCCCACCACTGTGAGCATTTGAGGATCACAGCAGTGAATGGGAACCCTGCCTGCCCGTGTGCATGTGGGGGGGGGGGGCAGATCTCTGGCTCTCCACCTTAAAGTTACAAACACTAAATGTGTGTCAAAAGCTTCCTGATGACTTTAAAAGGGCTCATCATAAAGTTCATAGACAGTGGATACCATAAAAAGCTATACACACTCTTCAAAGAATTTTGGCATGAGAAATAAACTTACCTTTTAACTCTCCATCTTTATGTGAACTTTCTATAGTATTCTTCTGCATGAGTTTGAATCCAGGTACAAAGTGAGTGACATCACCATGCAGAGGCAGCCAGAATACAACACTTCAACAATTCCCACACCCAGGAAGGTACCGAACGAAGACCCAACGCCTGCTGCCTCCTGGAGACTCACTCTGAAGAACTGACTGCCAAACTCCCCATCCTGAGCACCCACACAGCAAGAGCACACACACTGCACACACCAGCAGGAGTACACACCATGCGAGCACACACACCAGGAAGCGTGCAAGTTGTACATAATACCACAGGCACACACACCAGCAGGAGTGCACACCATGCGAGCACGCACACCAGGAAGCGTGCACACTGCACACACCACACAAGCACACACACATGGAAGCAAGCACACTATGCACACCATAAGAGCATACACACACCTGCAGGAGTGCACACCGTGTGAGCACGCACACCGTGGAAGTGTGCATGCTGTACATAATACCACAGGCACACACACTTGCAGGAGTGCACACCGTGTGAGCACGCACACCATGGAAGCGTGCATGCTGTGCACACCACAGGAGCACACACACCTGCAGGAATAGGCACACCACAAAAGCGTGCACACCATAGGAGGGCACACGCCCATGGAAGCACTGCCCACTGCCCTCAAACCCTCCTACGTCCCTCACCCTGCAGCGCCCCAGCCCCACTCACTTGGTCTCGATGAGGATGTCAGCGTTGGTAGGGTTCAGTACAGCCTTGCAGATCAGTTCCTGGGTCACTGGGATGGATTTGTTCATGGACACACAGAGGTCAGAGAGGTAATCGAGGAACCTACGCAGAGGAAACAAAGCGAAGAGGTGTGAGACAGAGCAGAGGTTGGCTCCTGCAGCCTCACTCCTCCTCAGGGCAGGCCTGCCATGCCTGGAACAGAGGTCGGCAACACAGGCCTCAGTGCCAGTATCCACAGCACTGCCAGAAACCCCAACATGAGAGAGAGAAGCCAAGTAGAGAGATTAAAAATCTGAAGGAAAACAACAAGTTAGCAGCTCACACAAGAAAGCAGCGGGGGAAATGCTGGGCAAGCAGAGCAGGGGCCAGGCTCTGGCGGGAACAGACACTGATGGGGGTGCTGTGAGGGGCCGTGCCCTGGAGAAACCACCCAGCCCCACTGTGCTCTCGCTCCTCCTCTACAGAAAGGATGAATGTACAACCTCTCAGTTGTGCCGCGGGTTCAGACACACGGCACAGGTAAAGCCCAGCCTCCGCTCACCGCGGGGCACTGGTGGGCTATGGGAGACGCCAGCTGCTCCTGCAGCGGCACGTGCCTGTCTTACAGCTGCCCTGCAGTGCAAGCCCTTGGGATGCCTGGATGCCCACCGCTTCCCCTCACCTGCAATGGTGGGAATTCACCAACTGTGGGAGAACTCACTCACGGAGGATAAAAACTCTTGGGCAGCAGCCTCATGTGCGAGAGACTGGTACTTGGGCAGGGCAGAGTTCTGGCCAACATTAGGGGCGCTGGCCAGTGCACGAGTGGCCTACACTAGAGCCATTTCCCAGGCACTGACCACATGCCAGGCACTTACTCTCCTTTAGTTTTCACAACTCCCTATTTCACAGAAGACACGATCAGCTCCACGAACAGCCCAGGTCACTGGCTGGTGAACCACAGAGCTGGGAATCACAGCCAGGGTCTTGATCCAGGACTGTGTTCCTGCCACCACGCATCGCAGAGCCATGGACACCTGCTACTTGTTGCCCAGCATGGGTCAGGGCCAGGTGCAAAGTCCCTCCCAGCCCTGCCTCCACGTGCAGGGCGCAGGCAGTGCCCCGGCCGCTGCCGCCCTCCCCGCGCCTCACCTGGGCTCCCGGTTCTTGCGCACCAGACTGACGAAGGTGTCGATCTCGGCCGCGGTGATGTGCTTCTCCAGCAGCTTGCGGTTGTTGTGCAGCAGGGCAGTGATGGTGTCCTCGGCCAGCACATCGTAGCCGATCTGCTTCTGCATGAAGCCGAACTGCTTGGCGATGTACTCCTTCCGGGAAGCCAGAGAAGAGAGATGAGCACGGAGCACTTAAGACAACACGGTCAGGCTAAGAACAAGGGAAGCAGCAGCGTCCGTGACAAACATGACCTCACGGGGGCAGTGAGAAGACAGCGCCTTCCTCAACTCCCACCTGGACAGCAGCCGCCAGCGCCCTCCCAGCCTTCTTTCTCCTTGGCCTGCTGCACGATGTCCGGCAGCAAAACCCCTTCCTCTTGCATGTGGAAACGAAGACCCCATGCACACTGCCACCCAACGACTCTTCCTGAAAGGTCACTAACTGTTTTTCAGCTCTGAACTTGTTACTAACTCAAGAGGACTTAACTGTGCCCAAGGCTTCATGCTGCACGAACACACACTGAGCACAGCTGGGTGTGGACCAAGGTGGCCCCCTCCGCTTTCTCTGTCATTGGTAAAATGCCACAGCCCTATGCGTCTCTCTCTCTCACACACACACACACACACACGGAAGGATTTCTGATTATCACAAAACAGAAACCAGAGAGAAAACAAAGGCAAAGTTCCCAGCAGAGAGGGAGAACAGGCAAGAGAGAGGAAGGGAAAGAGCCCAGCACATATACACAGGAACAGGAGTCACTTCACCCACAAACCTTCATGGTATACAACATAAAAACACCATCGCTGCACTGCCAACTTCAAAGCCAGCAATTTTTTTTTTTAAATATTTTTTTGACAGGCAGAGTTAGACAGAGAGAGAGAGAGAAAAAGGTCTTCCTTCACTGTTGGTTCACCTTCCAATGGCCACCGCGGCCGGCGCACCGTGCTGATCCGAAGCCAGGAGCCAGCTGCTTCTCCTGATCTCCCATAGGGTGCAGGGCCCAAGGACCTGGGCCATCCTCTACTGTACTCCTGGGCCAGAGCAGAGAGCTGAACTGGAAGAGGAGCGACCGGGACAGAATCCGGTGCCCCGACCGGGTCTAGAACCCAGGGTGCTGGCACCACAGGCAGAGGATTAGCCTATTGAGCCACGGTGCCGCAAAGCCAGCAATTTCATTTGAGACAGCTGCAGAAGGGGAAAGTCCTAGGTATCTTTGTCCAGCTGATCATCAAAACTGTACAGATGAATGGTCAACATGTGTTGTCTCTCTAGGACCTTGGTTAGGGATTCTGTGACACACACTCGTCCCAGGCTTCCAGTACGTGTCTCCCTCCAAGAGAAGGCTTAACAGTGACCAGTTCCATATGGACTCAGTAAATGCACACTGAAAACTCAAGAGGCAAGAGAGTCACGCCCACCCACGACACCCCACCTGGTTCTTCCTGTAATCCTGCTGCGAGTGCCGCAGGACGCGGTAGCACAGGCGGCAGATGTGCCGGAAGGGTGCATGCCGCTGGTCCCCCAGCTCCTCCAGACGCAGCATGGGGCCGTCGCCACAGTCGGTGAAGGGTGCCTGCAGCAACTTGAAGATCTGGGAGCACAAACAGAGGAGGAGCAGCTGATTCACTGCACGTGCTGGGAAGCTCTGCCCTCCAAACACATCAGCGACCCACAGCTGCCCCCACTCTCGGCGGGAGAGGGCATTCCCTGCCTCGGTCCCCCTGCATGTGAAGGGCCCCAGACACTCCACAGGGCAGCGTGCAGGGCGCAGACTCCGAACCTCGCTGCTTCCGAGCGGTACAGATCCCAAGCAAAGTCAGTGTCTGTCTTCTCATCAGCAAAACGGGAGAGGTAACACGCACATCACAGGGCAGTCGTCCACGTCAACGCGGACAGTAAGTGGGCATGTGAGTAACGACGTTTCCTGCACTCGGGCCTGCGCGGAGCCACTACCGTGCAGGTGAACCAAAGTGCTGACTGGAGATCTAAGGTGGGAGTCCACACGTGAAACCCCGGCCCTAACAGACCCGGCCTGACGACCTTGCTGACACACAACGGAGCACTGAAGGTTCTGTCCATCACAGAGCAGCAGGCACGAGGGAGTCCCAAGGGCCGAGCCTCCGCGGTGAGTGACCTGTGGGACTTGTGACCTGCATGCTTCTCGCCTAGCTTTGGTGCGACTTCATGGCAAGGCGCACGCCAGCCTCCAGCAGGTCTAGAGCACAACAGGGTGCACGTTTCTGAGGCTTCACCCCTCCGTGTCTGTCTGCACGCGCAGTGTGTCAGGTTTACACTGAACGGTGCCCCCCACGTCCCCTGCAAGCGTCTCCCCAGGACTCAGACACCGTTCTGAGGCCTTCTGAGTCTACGAACACCCCACACCTGCCGACAAGAGACCTGGCCATCACGACATGTGCCCTTTGTCTCACTGTTGTGCATTACAAAGTTGTCAGGCAAGCGCTCCTCAGATTCCTGACAATGCACTCTCACAAGGGGGCACAGCCAGCATGAGTACCACGCAAAGACACGGAGGAGGCTTCAGTTCTCAGCAAACAGGCAACAGACGCCAGTCCAGACAGGCTCGAGATGGGACGAGCCCAGCGATGTCCCACTTGGGAAAAGGCAAAACCATGGAGGTAGCTCAGCAGTCTCCAAGGTTAGGGATGAGGGAGGGTGGGATCAGCAGGACACAGAGGACTTCAGGCGGGGGCAGCCCTTTGTGTGGGACCAGAAAGGGGGGTCCAAGCCAGGCCTTTGCCCAGACCGACAAAACACTTGGCACTCAGAGTGGACCCTGGCACACGCTGTGGACTACCGAACTGTTGGCGGGTCAGCGCAGGTTCACGAATCCCAACAACGCACCCTCTAGACGTGATGTGCACAGTGTGGGAGGCAGGACTTGTCCAGGACAGGGGCCTAAGGGGACCCAGCACTTGCTACCTAAGTTTTGCTGTGAATCACAACTTAACAAGTCAGCTCTACTCAGAGGAGCCGGCTGGCTGAGCCCCCTGAGCCGGAGCCATCACGCCCATCCCTGCCACAGCAGTGACCCGGCGCCTGAGTGCGAGGCCGGCTACTCAGAGGAGCCGGCTGGCTGAGCCCCCTAAGCCGCAGCCGTCACACCCATCCCTGCCACAGCAGTGACCTGGCGCCTGAGTGCGAGGCCGGCTACTCAGAGGAGCTGGCTGGCTGAGCCCCCTAAGCCGCAGCCGTCACACCCATCCCTGCCACAGCAGTGACCCGGCGCCTGAGTGTGAGGCAGGCTCCTGTGCACACGGCTCACCGACCTGCTTGAGGATGTTCTGTTCTCGCATCAGCTTCTGCCGCTCTCTGTTGGGCTTAGAGAAGACCACTTCAAGGACATCTTGGCCAGAGTTGGTTCCTCCGGTGACAAAGTAAACCAGGTCTTCCAGCAGCTTGGTGACAGACCTTGGGAGTGGGGCAATGATCAGAGGCGGGAGTGCACCAGGGCCACAGCAACAGGGGCTTCGCCCTCCCACCCATTTCCAAAAAGAGTGAAATGCAGGCAGTTATCTGCAAAAAACTGTCCACCAAAAGATGGTCCCCTCCCAAAACATCAGCCGCCCAAGTTCACCTCAGAGTAACCACAGCCCGGACATTCAGTAACAGGGTTCCTGGGACAGATTTCACCACTTTAGAGTCTCAGAAGAGTGAGTGTAAATGTAGCTACTTCGTAGAAATCACAGACTGAAGACCTGTACACATTAAGACCTGCTATGCTCAGAGAGCCCCTCCCTTTCCCTACAAGGACTGCAGACATGCCCGTGGGTGAGGATGGCTGTGCACGTGGGAGCCCCGTGGGTGAGGATGGCTGTGCACGTAGGAGCCCTGTGGGTAAGGACGGCTGTGCACAGGTGGGAGCCCGTGGGTGAGGACGGCTGTGCAGGTGGGAGCCCGTGGGTGAGGACGGCTGTGCACAGGTGGGAGCCCGTGGGTGAGGATGGCTGTGCAGGTGGGAGCCCGTGGGTGAGGACGGCTGTGCACAGGTGGAAGCCCCGTGGGTGAGGATGGCTGTGCATGTAGAAGCCCTGTGGGTAAGGACGGCTGTGCACAGGTGGGAGCCCGTGGGTGAGGACGGCCGTGCACAGGTGGGAGCCCCGTGGGTGAGGACGGCCGTGCACAGGTGGGAGCCCCGTGGGTGAGGACGGCTGTGCACAGGTGGGAGCCCGTGGGTGAGGACGGCTGTGCACAGGTGGGAGCCCCGTGGGTGAGGCCGGCTGTGCAGGTGGGAGCCCCATGGGTGAGGACAGCTGTGCATGTGGGAGCCCGTGGGTGAGGACAGCTGTGCACAGGTGGGAGCCCCGTGGGTGAGGACGGCTGTGCAGGTGGGAGCCCGTGGGTGAGGACGGCTGTGCACAGGTGGGAGCACCGTGGGTGAGGACAGCTGTGCAGGTGGGAGCCTGTGGGTGAGGACGGCTGTGCAGGTGGGAACCCCGTGGGTGAGGACGGCTGTGCACAAGTGGGAGCCCCGTGGGTGAGGACGGCTGTGCACAGGTGGGAGCCCCGTGGGTGAGGATGGCTATGCACGTGGGAGCCCCATGGGTGAGGATGGCTGTGCACAGGTGGGAGCCCCGTGGGTGAGGACGGCTGTGCATGTGGGAGCCCGTGGGTGAGGACGGCTGTGCATGTAGGAGCCCGTGGGTGAGGATGGCTATGCACGTGGGAGCCCTGTGGGTGAGGACGGCTGTGCACAGGTGGGAGCCTGTGGGTGAGGACAGCTGCAGGAGCGTGGGGCCCTCACCGGCGCTCATTCTGGGTGATGGTGCCCTTCTCCAGCTTCCCAGCGATGGAGCCCAGCACCTTGCTGGCGTCATTTGCGAAGTCCAGGTCTCGCACTTCCGCAGGAGAAACAGGAACAATGGCAAACGCTTCCTTGTCCTCCTTCACAGGGGAGGTGCCGATCTGAAATTCAAGGTGGGTTTTGTGGGGGACTCTCCAGGGTGGACAGGCAAGACTACTCAACACTGTGCTTGCTTACAGGGTTCTGGGCCAGCAAAAGCCGTGCCCACGCTGGTGCTGGGGCAGTGGAGAGCCAGCAGAGGGAGCACTGCGGCCACTCCACAACTGTGGTCGTCACGCAGAGCAGGCCACAGTCCTGCCTTTGAAGAGCGCGTTCGTGAGCACAGAGAGAAAGGCGAGCACAGCAGACGTCACCAGTGACTCCGAAGGAGGCACTATTTGGTGCTTTCAGCTTTCCTACAGGCCTGAAAACGTTCAGGAAGGTAGAAAACCACGCCAGCTGCCTTCACCATCAGCACTGCCGTCACACTACAGACAAACGATGAGGAAGAAACAGTGAAGAGAGAAAGGAGAGCGACTGGGAGAACGTTCAGGAAACACAAGTGCACATTTAAGAAAGAAATCAATGACACATTCGCTGTACCACAACGCACCATCCAGCCAAAACCACGCTGCACACAGACATCAAATGCAGACACTGCTCCACCACGAGGGCAGAAACCACAGAGGAAAATCAAGGGTTCTGATGGGCTTCACCCAGGTCCGCAGGCGAGAATCCCATGTGAGGATCTCACTCCTCCCAAAGCAACAACACCCTCAGACACTGCACGTCCCGTCTGCTCACAGGAGCCGTCCATCAGGAGCACGTGACCCAGGGACCAGCCAAGTTCGGGGACTTACTTTCAGCATCACCGGCTTTTCCTCCTCCTTGTCAATGGGGATGTTGGTGCTGTGAACCCAGGTATTGGTGCACAAGTGTCTGAGTCGGACATAGGAGTTCCTACAGGGAAGGAAGGAAGGAATGTAGGGACAGGGACACCGAGGGTTGCGTGGCAGCTACTGGCCTGCTGTCTACCGACTCAAAACAGCAAGGGCCACAAATGGAAGAGGTGCCCCAGCAGCAAACGGTGCCAGCCTAAGTCCCACTGGGATCTACTGACAACAGAGAGCCCCTCACAGCGACTCTAAGCTGATGTGGCAGGCTTCATTTCTCCCCACGAGACGGTCCCTACGAGTACGCCCCTCAGCACAGAGCCTCCTGGGGTGGGGCGATGGGAAGCGCCTGCGGACTGTGTACGGGTGTTACTCACCGTGTGCTGACCAAGTGATGACTGAGTCCTGACTGTGTACTGACTGTGTGCTGACCATGTACTGACCTGTGCTGACTGTGTACTGACCATGCGCTGACCATGCACTGGTGTTACTGTGTACTGATCATGCGCTGACCATGTATTGACCATGTATTGGTGTTACAGTACTGACCATGCGCTGACCCTGTACTGTGTGCTGACCATGTACTGACACTACTGACTGCGTACTGGTGTTACTGACCATGTGCTGACCAAGTAATGACTGTGCTGACCGTGTACTGACCATGTACTGACTGTACTGATCGTGTGCTGGTGTTACTGTGTACTGACCATGTGCTGAACATATACTGACCATGTACTGACCATGTGCTGGTCATGTACTGACCGTGTACTTACTGTGTACTGGTGTTACTGCGTACTGACCATGTACTGACTGTGCACTGGTGTTACTGTGTACTGAGAATATACTGCGTGCTGACCATGTACTGACCATGTACTATGTAGGCTCAGTGTGTACTGACTGCATGCTGCCTGCGTGCTGACCATGTACTATGTAGGCTCAGTGTGTACTGACTGCGTGCTGACTGTGTGCTGTCCATGTACTGACTATGTAGGCTCAGTGTGTACTGACTGCGTGCTGACCATGTACTATGTAGGCTCAGTGTGTACTGACTGCGTGCTGACTGTGTGCTGTCCATGTACTGACCATGTGCTGACTGTGTACTGACTGCATGCTGCCTGCGTGCTGACCATGTACTGACTATGTAGGCTGTGTACTGACTGCGTGCTGACTGCGTGCTGGCCATGTACTATGTAGGCTCAGTGTGTACTGACTGTGTGCTGTGTGCTGTCCATGTACTGACTATGTAGGCTCAGTGTGTACTGACTGCGTGCTGAACATGTACTATGTAGGCTCAGTGTGTACTGACTGCGTGCTGACCATGTATTGACTATGTAGGCTCACCGTGTACTGACTGCGTGCTGACTGTGTGCTGACCATGTACTGACTATGTAGGCTCAGTGTGTACTGACTGCGTGCTGACCATGTACTATGTAGGCTCAGTGTGTACTGACTGCGTGCTGACCATGTACTGACTATGTAGGCTTACTGTGTACTGACTGCGTGCTGACTGTGTGCTGTCCATGTACTGACTATGTAGGCTCAGTGTGTACTGACTATGTAGGCTCACTGTGTGCTGACCATGTACTGACCATGTACTGACCGTGTAATGACCGTGTACTGGTGTTACTGTGTACTAATTGTGTACTGGTGTTTGTCACCAGAACTGATAAAGCAATGACTGATAAATTACTTATGGAACCATAAAGAAAAAAATTGAAATAGAATTTGTAGACGAAAATATGACCAAGTATTTACTGAACTGGTGGCAGGCAAAAACTTTTCAAGTGTTTTTAACAAAATATGAGACCTTCAAATTTACAAGTAGAAGGAAGATAAGTTATCACACAGCTTCCATTTTCTACCCTCTGTAGAGGAGAAACAGACAATCATGAATCATGCTGAGGGAAAAAAGGAGTCTCAGGAAACTAAAGTACAACCCGGGATGAAAAGGTTACTAATCCACTCCTCTGCTTCCCAAGAGCTCACGGGCAGAGCCAGGATCAGCAGCGGCAGAGGCGCTGGCGGTGTGAGCATGGCAAGGTGCCCCTGGCCATGGAGCACACACAGTGTGTCCATCTTCTCATCACACAGTCCCACGCTCAGGCTCTTAGGAGATGAGAGCATGGGCCCAGAAGAAGTGAGGGGCAGACCCAGCCCAGTCCCGAAGATCCTCTCCTGCCCTTCCCTGGACCTCTCGAATCCACCAAGATGGCCGGAGAGGTGGCAGCAAGGACTCTGACAAGCACGCCACCTGGGACATCCACACACCACATCCCGGTGTCTGGCTTTCATCCCTGGGTCTGCTCCCGACCCCTGCTCCCTGCCAGTACAGATCCTGGGAGGCAGCAAGCAAGGGCTGCAGGAGCCGGCTCCTGGCACCACAGAGTGAGTTCCTGGCTCTCGGTGAGGCCACTCGCTCTCACTTTCACTACCACGAACGGAAAAAAGGACTGACAGAAAGCCTGACTTGCCTCCAACTGCTTCATGTTTAAGGTATAAGCAAAGCCAGGGGCCATGCTGACCACAGTCTAGAGGTTTAGACCAACGTGTGCCGAGGGGTAGAGCATGCCCATCAGCTCCTCCGCTGTCCCCCCGTGGCGTCAGGACAGCTGCAAGAGAGCCGCAGGGCAGGCGTCTCCCGGGGTTCACCTCAGTCCCTACTCCACACTACTGCCACGTAACCGCTCCTGCTCAGGGGGCCCAGGTTTACTGCTTTCACTTTGGCTCACGGCTCCCTCCACCAGCTGCCACCACAGAAGCCCTTAGCTGTGAACATTACATGGACACGCACACATCGAACCCTGGACTTTCTCATCTTCAAAAACTGAACTTGTTGAAAGAAAGCACTGCATTCCGCCTGGGGGATTAACAACCCAGAGATCAGTGAACCACGGGCCCTGTGCTCTTCTCACTCTCAGGTGGGCGAACAAGGGCAGGGAAACACTTTTTGAAAATTTTTTTAAATAAATCTCTTTCTTTTCATCTGATAGTGAAAGAGACAGAGAAAGATCTCCTATCAGCTGATTCATTCCCCTATGTCCACAACAGCCAGGGCTGGGCCAGACTAAAGCACGTAGCCCAGAATTCAACCCAGGTCTCCCCCGTGAGTGGCAGGGATGCAAGGGCTTCCGCCATCATCTGCTGCCTCCCAGGATGTGCGTCAGCAGGAAGCTGAGTGAGAAACAGAGGAACCGGAACTCAACCAGGCACTCGAATACAGGACACGTGTGTGTTCCAAGTGGCATCCCAACCGCTGCGTCAAATGCCCACCTCAGGAATAAATGAATACGTAAAAAGCAAAGATAGAGTGCACGATGGTCAGTGAACATGCTGGGGCCAGGCCTGCGGCTCCTGGGCTTCTGGGTTTGTAACTCATCTACCTTAGGACACCTGCCCACAAAGAGCTCAGTGAGAACTGCACTGAAGGAAAGAGCAGAGAACCAGGGGCTCCAGCAGTCAACGCCACCCAGCAGTGAACCAGAACCTCACGCTGTCCCTTCCCACGGGACCACAGTGGGGCTCCAGCCTGCAGGGGAGCACAGAGCACCAGGGCCCCAGGGATGCCAGCAAGACTAACGGGATGGTGTAAGTCATGTGCTTAAACAACTTGCAAAACAGACATTCAACATGCAGAAAATTACACTGAAACACGGTTTGTTTCTGCAAACTTGGTCCTATCCTGCACCACGTCAAAGGGGAAGGGAGCGAGGCCACAAACCCCACCACAAACCATGTAACAACTATCTCAAAAGGAATCAGCAGTGTAAAGAAAAAAACCAGGCCGGTGCCGTGGCTCAACAGGCCAATCCTCCGCCTGCGGCACCGGCACCCTGGGTTCTAGTTCGGGTCAGGGCGCCAGATTCTGTCCCAGTTGCTCTTCTTCCAGTCCAGCTTTCTGCTGTGGCCCGGGAGGGCAGTGGAGGATGGCCCAAGTGGTTGGGCCCTGCACCTACATGGGAGACCAGGAGAAGCACCTGGCTCCTGGCTTCAGATGAGCGTGATGTGCCGGCCACAGCACGCTGGCCGCAGCAGCCATTGGAGGGTGAACCAACAGTAAAGGAAGACCTTTCTCTCTGTCTCTCTCTCTCTCTCACTGTCCACTCTGCCTGTCAAAAAAAAAAAAAAAAAAAAAAAAAAAAAAAAAAAAAAAAACAAAAAAACAAAAAAAACAAACCAACAACTCTTCGAAAAAATGTCACCATAAATCTTTGTGACTTCAGATTAGGCAACAGTTTCTTAGATATAAAACCAAGCACATAAGTAATCAAGAGAAAAAAAGACAAATCGACTATAAAAATGATGTTTCAAAAGATACTTTTCCAAGAAACTGAGAAGATAACCTAAAAAACAGGAGAAAGTATTTGCAAATCATGTATCTGCAACACCTACAGTTCAGTAAGAAAAAGGCAACTCAATTCTTTTAAATAGTCAACACGGGGCAAAGGCTGTGAATAGGTATTTCTCCAAAAGCAGATATACAAACAGGCAATAAGCTGACAAAGAGGTGGACATCACCAGTGCACAGGGAAATGCAAACCGAACCACCACAGCAGCCTTCGCAGCCTGCCCAGGAGGGCTTGGATAAGCAAGATGGTGGCAAGTGTTGGGCAGAACACAGAGAAACTGGAACATTCCACACTGCTGGTGCAAATGCAAACTGGGGCATCCACTTAGAGACACAGTCTGGTAGTTCCTCAACAGGTTAAACAGCAAGCTAACAGATGACCTGGCAATTTCACTCCCAGGTAGAGAAAACTGAATACAGGTGACCACGCAAAAATGTGACACAGATGTACACAGCACCCAAAAAATGAAAACAAACGGAAATCAGCTAACAAATGGCTCAAGTATGGGACTCGCCAAATGGTGGACTATGACTTAGTAATAAAATTAAGTGAAGTACTGATGCGCTACAGCACAATGAATCTCCAATACAGGACTAAGGAAAAGAAACCACCATAGAAGACGGTGTGACATACAGCCCCATTTATAAGAAACGTCCAGAATCGACCAGTCAACAGGAAACAGAAGGCCCATCAGCCTAAGCCTGGGAGAGGGAAGCAGAGATGACTAACGGGACATGGTATTTCTATCTGGTGGCGCAGCTCTGCTGGTCTAGCAATTCCCTGAATGGAATGGTCGAGGCCAGCTGTGTGGCACGCTCACATGACCTCAGCACGGCCTCAGAGCTGCAGAGCTGTGTGCACCTGGACAGTGCAGAGCGGTGCGCAGCCTGGGGTTCTCAGCTCTGGCGTTCACCGGATTAGCAGAGGAGCAAGGACGCAGCAGAGCTTACGAACGGGCAGTCATTTCACTGAACGGCCACCAAGCCCTGCAGGCTCCCTCAGGCTGCCTTCCACCAGGACACTGCCTAGTGTCGTCCCATGGACAGAGACAGCAGAAGATGAGGTTCTCCTTGAACTCTGAGAGCACCCGAGCCTGAGCCGACGGTGTCACGGGCCGGCTGTGGACGCGCAGCAAGGCAGGCACGGTTTAGACTCCAGCTCTGCTGCAGGACTCCCTGACCGCGTGAGCTGCTTCGGCTCTCTGAGCCTCAGTCTCTATCAGTAAGAACGAGTGAGTGGCAGACGACTTGTCTCAGAGAAACTGTCAGGAGGATGCAATCACGTAACGTAAGCCAAGTATGTGCTGAACACTGCACCTGGGATGGAGCCAGGCTCAGCAAGTGCTGCCGTGACTAATAATACACTGCTTCTGAATTTCCAAGGAGCTGCCATCCCATGCGCAGTCCAGCTGTATCTCAAACAATGTGATCCAGGGCAAGAGAACTAGAAGCTAAATGTAACTGAAGGATACCTGCAGAACTTCTTAGCACTTTAAACAACATTCCCTATGCACACAGTGAATTGCACAGTTTGCATTTTCCAGAATTCCATCTATTTGTTCAGCTGGCCTAGAGGGCCCCCAGGATAGGGGAAGAGGAAGGGAGTAATAGAAACTTTCACTACCGCCTGGGCTTACGGCTTAGGCTGCTGACTGAGAGACGAGCTTCTCGTCCGGCTGCTGGGGACTAGTGCTGTCCATCCACGAAAACAACCTGACCACACACTGGGCAGCCAGGCCACACCTTCCATCAAACCCTCCCTGAGAACTTCAGAAAAGCCAACAATGACTTGGATGCCCAGACGTGTGGCCAGGCCACTGGACCAGCCCAAACTCCTCTCAGGATGAGCAATCTTAAAATCAGACCTTGGGACCAGGCTGTCGCCTCCCCGGAGGGTGGTGGGGTCCAGCTCAAAGATGGAGGAGATGTCATTGCCTTCAGGCACAGAGACCAGTGAGTAGACCATCTTTTCCGGGGCATTCCGCAGCCTGCTTCTAGAGGCATCCTGGTCAGGGTCCACCTGAGGAGGAAGAGATCACGTCAACAACTCTGAGCACCAGTCCCTCACCCGTCACAATCACGCCAATCCGCAGGAATGGGCAAGGAACGGCAGCGTCAGCAGCTGGCAGGAAAGGACCAGAGTTCCAGGGCAGTCCTGTAGCTGCCTGAGCCGAGAGCGCCGACTGCTGCCCGTGCTGCCTAAACACGCTATGGCCACGCGGGCTGGCAGTAAGAGATGTCAGGTGAGAGCTCGAGATGGGGCACGCATGTCACGCAGTCGCCCCCAGCAGCAGCCACGGAGGCCCCACCGCAGAAAACCTGGTCCGTGGCTTTGGTTACGAGGGGCTGTGTGAGCCGACGGCGAGAACGGTGCACCCAACAGTAAGACCTGGCTCCTTCCCAGGACAAAGAAGAAATCCAAACAAGTGAACAAACATCCGTGGCGGGTTAGGAGGGCTGCCGACGACACGCAGGGCAAGGGGCCTGAGGAGCATTCCGCGGCCGAGACAGGGACAGCAGCTCTGGGCCCCATCTGAGCTGCCTGAGTCAGGGAGCAGGCGGGCTCAGACACCTGCTCAAGAGGGCGCAGGAGCTCGTACAGCACTGGGACCCCAGGACTGTTCTCCCTGCTGAACGTCCTTGCAAGACCACATCGGCCTGCTTTCCTCCTTACATTCCACGCTGGCTGCCCAGCCTGAGCAATGCCTCCCTCCCAAACAGGAAGGCAGGCGACAGCACCAGCAAGACCAGAAATCAAGAAAAGGAAATCACATCAGAGGTAAAGAAGCAGCGAGCCCCGCCCTGGGACAGCGGAGGCAGCAGCAGCTGTCTACAACGGAAAAACACCGGAGTCCTTTCAAGGCCCCAAGTCTTCGGCACTTCCCTGCCTCTGCTTTCTCCTCTGCCTGGACAAGCCCGGACCTCTGTCCTGTCTGCATCTGGTGAGCGCCAGGACATCTGCGGCCCCCGGCTCAGGAGGACGGATCTCCAACAGGTGTTGGCTCCAAACTGCTGCTACCCGGGAAAGCACCCCTCATCCCACTTTCCAAACAAACTGACCCAACCACAGAGACTCAGGGCAGCCAGGCTGGCAGTGCAGTCCAAGAGAGGCGAGGACATCCTACGGGGAAATACCAACTGCGGCTGGCGCCCGCCCCCTAGTGGAAAACAAAGGTGCCTGCAAGACAAAACTTAGGGAAGACCAAATGGCAGGGTGGTGTGAGAGGCATCTTCCCTAGGCTGACACAAACCCAGCTTTTCCACGGACGCAGAAGCTGGCCTCATGGGTGTGGGGTCGGCCCCCTTCCCACACCCTTCCTCGTGTACAGACCACAACCAGCACAGCATCGGGCTACCCAGAGCTCCACAGTCCAGATCCACAGCCCGCCTCCCCGCACATCCACCACCCTGGCCCAGGGAAGCCGGAGAGCACAGAATAACCTCGCGTTACCAGAGCCCAGCACAGGAGGGGTCAGGACCTGACCTGCAGCGGCCCACACGCCCCGCTGGATGCAAAGGCAGTGACAGTGCTCAAAATGCTGCTTGTGCAGACGAGGGAGGCACGGCTCAGAGCAGCAAAGACACTCAACCCAGGGCCCAGCTACGAAGCGCAGCTCTGGGACCGGAAGCCAGGTCTGTCCGCTCCCCCAGTGCCCTTCCCCCACACGGCACAGGGCAGTCCTCCTCACACGTCAGAGGCCAGCGGGGCCCAGGGACGCCAGCCCCAGCTCACCCCATCCCCAAGGAAAGGACCACTCTGTCCCCACAGTGGCAGCTCCCCCTCTGGAAACAGAGCAGGTTCGAGGACAAGCCCAGTGCAGGGAAAACAAGCATCTGCCAGCTGGGATTTCCCTCCTGCAGCGTGCAGGCCCCTAGCACAGAAACCCCTCGGTCTCCTCATCCCGGCAGAGCTAGGCCGGAAGGAAGGATGACGAGGGTCCCAAGAGGAAGAGGGCAGAGAGTGGAGAAGCTCCCGGGCCTGCCTGCGCTGAGAGCAGAAACCGCCAGCCAGCACCAGTGCAATCCGTTTCAGAGCCAAGGTTCGTCCCAAACCCAGCTCACGGCGCTTTGCAAACACAACCACGTGTACAGTCTTCTCCACCCAATCCCCTCCCTTAGTCTGTTTTAAACCCGCACATTTTCCTAAGCTTTATTTAAAAGAGAAAAACACGGGGGCACTGCCCGACACAGCAGCCACCACTTGGAATGCCGTTTTATTGCATCCCTCCCAGACCAGGATCAAGGGCTCCACAGGAGCCTGACTCACTCACACCTGTCACTTCTCCAGACCACAGCCGCTGCCTTCCCCAACCTGCAAGCATGGATGCCTGAACCCCTGACAGTCAGAATCACACGTCCAGAGGGCCTCCAAACCACACCGTACAGAGAAGCCCACCTCTGACTTGGGGAGAACAAGGTCAGAAGCGTGGAGAGGGCCCAGTCAGGCACCCAAGGCACCGGGCTGTGCACATTACCTGGGTCTCAGGGTCACAACCCACCATGCAGACCTCTTCCTGATACAGTGAGCGGCACAGAGACAACAGGGTGTGAAAGGCCATCATGTCCACACCCGGGAGTGCTGCAAAACACCCCATGGGCTTCCCCAACTTCCAGACAGGGACCCTGACCAAGCACTCAGGCAGAACGCCATGGCCAACGGGCCCTGGGAACAATGAGGACATGGGAGGCTCCATCTCCTGCCACAGGACACAAGGAAGCCTGAGCTAACCCCTCCCCCAGCACTCGGAGGCCACAGCGCCCACCTCCTCATGGGTTCCAGGTGGTTTGGCCTCACCCTACCGCACCAAGACCAGAAGGCTCCTGTGCCCATACTTACTGGGGGCTGACACTCCAGGCATTCTTCCTCAAAGTCAGGGTCTACCTGATGAGAAAGAACCGTGAGGAGATTAGAGCATCCGCGGCATCCTCTGGACCGGCCCCCACCTGCAGGAGACGTCAACACCTGCACACGCCGCTTCCCTTCCCTCCACTCACGGGACCAGCATGCCACAGCACAACACGCGGCACACGAGCACAGTACACACAACAGGCCACCAGTGCCCACTGCACGGCTCCCAAGTGCAGGAGGAGACCACAGTGAACTCACTTGCAAAGCAACAGAAAGCCTGAAATAAACAAAAGATCAATATACAGCCATCGACAATCTTGTTTTGAGTTGAAAATTAAAAAAAAAAAAATTCCGCTTCCAGAAAGTGTTAGGTTGACCTTCAAACACAGTGAACAAACGCCACCACCAGGGATCCTTGGCAAATGACGTCATCAACATGTCTCACAGCTGCTTAGCTGGGTCTCTAACTTCCTACGGCGCCATTTTAACTTTCAACACAGATGTCTTGTTCGTCAGTTCTTAAATGCTGCAGAAATGTTTGCTTCATGCAAGCATCGGGAGCCCCAGCGGGGGCTCGGGAGTCGCGGGTCACAGAAGCAGCACTGGCACCGTTGTAACAGTCGCGGGGCAGCAACAGCACAGAGCTCTCTGCCGGGATGAGGAGACCACCCTCCAGCAGAACAGAGCCGGGTGTCTGCCACACCCCAGGTTGCTTCACGGTTTAACATAAAAGTGCACCTGTGCGGTCCGGCATCATGGGAACTCTCCTTCTCCAAAAACCCTCCAGAGACACAGAAGGTCGGGTGAACTCTGATTTCTGAAACTCCTACAACAGACAAGCCCGTCTGTTCCAGTACGGCGTCGAGGGCTCACACTTCCCCAGGAGCTCTCCTACTGCTCGCTGCACCAGGGCACTCCCGACTTCACATACCACCTGCCCCGTCTCCATGACAGCTGAGGCACAGGCGCTGACATCAGGCAGGGGCCGGCATGTGAGACGCAGGGCAGGTGGCCTACAGGGGCCAAACCGATGAGCTGTGTTTTGTAACGGACTCTCGCGCCACGTCGTGAGCAGGACCCCCGTCTAGCACTAGAAAGTGCACACCACTTTGGCCTGCTCTTTTCTAGGGAAATGAGGCAGCAGGAAACAGAAAAGGAGGAAGGAAAGCAAGCCGACTCAGAGTCCCCCGAGGCTGCCGGTGAGTGAGCGGTCAGCCGCACATGTGAGCCTGCAAAGGAAAACACCACAGGGCCGCCACTCACCTCTGCTGCTAAGTAATGCCCCGTGGCCAGATGCTTGAAACGGAAGAGGCTGTTCCAGTAACCGGCGCCGCCCCGACACGGGTCATGCTGGACAACCTGTAAGAGGAAGAACTGTCAGCTGCAGAAGACAGGTGAACCCACACCAGGGGGAAATGGAATGTGCGACACTGCGTGGAGGTCACAGCTCAGCACTGAGATTTGGTGCCCAAACATCAGTGTCCTCTGGGAAACCCACGGTGAGCGGGCAGCCTCCAGCTCAGATGGACGGAAATGAGTATGCAATGCCCACGGTGTATCCCAAGAAGGAACAGTCTCCAGTCAGTATGCCATGGAGAGGAAAAATGTCAGTGGTTTTTCTGATTTTGAGCCTTAGTCCCAACAAAGCAGAAACTAAGGTGTGGAATTCATGCACCAAGTCAGAGAAGCCACGGAGCAATGTGTGTGTGCCCTCACGTGCCCTCACGCCCACACAGGACTGCACGCCGACACAGGAGCTCACCAGGACCCAGCCAACTGAGCAGGAGAGCTAACTTCATGGCAGCTTCCCGCCAGGACACAGCAACAGGCTGTGCTGGTATTGCCACAGACATCTGACACCACACGACGTGGAGGAGCTACCACAGACAGCCGGGAAACGGGTTCTCTCGGGACAGGCACCAAACAGGGAACGCTCTGTGGCTGGCCTGGGATCCTCGCTGGTGGGCAGCCCAGGCAGGGGAACGCAAGAGAGCACATGGGGCTCACGGGGATAAGCAGATGGATGGGATTTGGGGGATGGAGGCAGAGGACTGGCAGGTGCAGGGCTACATACAGGGAAGCTCCAGAACTCTGCACAGGGCCTCCTCTGCGCTTAGGACCACAGGTGGTCCAGAGAGACCCTGTTAGGCCAAACAACAAGTGAAGAAGCCAAAACCTCAACATTCTTAGACCTGATACAGGGTTGTAAGAGGACCTGATTCCATGATTCAAAGCACAGAGATGCTGGGGACCCCCTTGGTCGTTCACCGGGACATTGAAAGAGCCCACCTGGGGATCAGCCCCTGTGAAGGGTGCACCACACCAGGCCTCTTGACGCTTGGAAACAGCCTGGAAACCAGAGCCACCACAGATAGCCCTGCCTGACAGCCCCGAGTCTACACACTGTGAAGCAGCCGGAGAGGACAGGCAGTCAGGCAAACGCGGCCCACAAATGCAGGGACCTTTGGGGCAACAGACAACGATCCAGGACACGGGCGGGGGGCATGAGAAGGTTTTTGAGAAACAGTGACTTCAAGTTTTCCCATTCTGATGCATGCCCACAGACTCAAGGAGCTCCAGTAAGATACACACCTCAAAACCCATCATAATCACCAGAAACAAAAGAAAAATCTTTACAGAATCTGGAGGATAGGGAGCAAAAATTACAAATTCACACCAGAGACAGCCAAGCTAAGAGATAACAGACCAGAATCTTCCAATTGCAACAAGGAAAAACTCCACCTACAAACCCACACCCAGCAAAAACACCTTCAAAAACAAAGGCTGCAGAAGCAGTGGGAACTGTCATGTGGCCCTGGGGGCGACCGTGACCTGGTGTAGCCACTGGGCCACACAGCTTGCCAGCTACTCCCAAGGTCAACCACAGTCACCACATGGCCACAGTTCTTCCCCACACAAAAGCCTGCTCCTGATGGCTCACAGCAGCACACCTCACAGGGGCCCCAGTGCCTGCAGACCAAACGTAAATTAACAACGGCACACACCGTAAGAGCCAGCCATCAGGGGGCAGCATGAACCAGCTCTGGAAACCAACTCTGAATGTTGGCAGCCTCCACATCCCTATGTTGAAAGCTGGCCGCAGGAGGGAACGGTACTTAGGTGTCAGGACAGAATCTTAACAAATGGGAGGAGCACCACCATGGGTGGGACCCCCAAGACTGGCATCTCTCCCGGGCATGCAAGGGAAGCCGAGAGTGCCCTCGCAGATACCAAGTCTTGGGGGGGGGGCCTTCAATCTGCACTTCCAGGCTCCAGAACTCCGAGAAACAACCTTTGCTGTTTCTAAGTCCTCTGGTTTACAGCAGCCCGAGCTAGATGTAGACAGCGTCGGAGATAAAAGAAACTAGACACCAAAGGCCCCCTGCTACAGGCTGCCACCACTGTGAAAGGCCCAGTGCAGGTTCAGCCATGGAGGTGGGGGTGGCGGGCGGGATTCACCTGCAGAGGCAGCAGGGAGGGAACACCAGGGGTAATGGAGAACGGCTCCCAACAGGCACCAGGGTTTCTCTGGGGATAATGAAGATACTCTTATATTACTATGGTAACAGACACACAACCTAACGAACCTAGAAACACTGAACTGTGCCCTCTAAATGTGTGGTATGGGAACTGCTAGCTCAATGCAGTGCTACTTGGAGCAAAACAGAATTCTTTAAGGAAGCTGAAGGAGAGGAGGCAACGTGTCATGGGCAGACCCGATCTGCTAGAAAGGTAGTTCTTCAGGCTGAAGCGACGATGCCAGACGACGCAGACCTGCACCTACAGACAAATGAGCACAGCGCAAGGATGGAGACTGGCTGCCTCCTGTGCTCGCCTTCCTTTCTGCCTTCACATCTTCAGTGACTGTTTTTTTTCCAACTTTTATTTAATAAATATAAATTTCCAAAGTACAACTGTTGGATTATGTCGGATTTTACCCCCATAACCTCCCTCCTACCTGCAACCATCCCATCTCCCACTCCCTCTCCCACCCCATTCTTCATCAAGATTCATTTTCAATTATCTTTATATACAGAAGATCAATGTAGAATATACTAAGTATACTAAGTAAAGATTTCAACAGACTGCACCCACACAGACACACAAAGTATAGAGTACTGTTTGAGTAGTAGTTTTACCATTGATTTGCATAGTACAACACATTATAGACAGAGATCCTACATGGCAAGTGAGTGCAGTGATTCCCATTGTTGGTTTAACAATTGACACTCTTATTGATGATGTCAGTAATCAACCGAGGCTCTTGTCATGAGCTGTCAAGGCTATGGAAGCCTTTTGAGTTCACAAACTCCAATCTTATTTAGACAAGACCATAGTCAAAGTGGAAGTTTTCTCCTCCCTTCAGAGAAAGTTACCTCCTTCTTTGATGGCCCATTTTTTCCACTGGGATCTCACTCACAGAGATCTTTCATTTAGGTCATTTTTCTTGCCACAGTGTCTTGGCTTTCCATGCCTGAGAAACTCTCATGGGCTTTTTAGCCAGATTCGAATGCCTTAAGGGCTGATTCTGAGGCCAGAGTGCTGTTTAGGGCTTTTACCATTCTATGAGTTCTGCTGTGTATCCCGCTTCCCATGTTGGATCATTCTCTCCTTTTAAATTCTATCAGTTATTATTAGCAGACACTAGTCTTGTTTATGTGTTCCCTTTGACATTTAATCCTATCATTATGATCAATTATGAACTTTAACTGATCACTTTGACTAGTAAGATGGCATTGGTACATGCCACCTTGATGGGACTGAATTGGAATCCCCTGGCCCATTTCTAGCTCTACCATTAAGGGTAAGTTCAAGTGAGCATGTAACAAACTGTACATCTCTTCCCTCTCTTATTCCCACTCTTATATTTAACAGGAATCACTTTTCAGTTACATTTAAATGCCTAAGAAAAATAGTTCAACCAATGGTGTTAAGCAGAACAAAAAAATACTAAAAGGAATAAAGCAGTAAGTTATTCCTCAACAGTCAGGACAAGGGCTGATCAAGTCATTGTTTATCATAGTATCCATTTCACTTTTACAGGTCTCCTTTTAGGTGCTCGGTTAGTTGTTCAGTGACCGTTTGAACCAGGCATAGCAGGTACCAGTGCACTGGGCTTCTGACACCTGGAGAGAGAGGACAGGAGAAGAGGAGATGGCAACGTGGGGCTCCCACGGTGCACGCACGCCATCGGGCTCGACTGCATGGTGCCAGCCAGCAGCAGTGAGCTGCCCAAGTGCAACGAGAGCCCAACATGATGGCTGCCAACAAAAAACCACCAAAATTCCCAGGAATCACGAGGGGGAAAAAATGTACAGAAAGATATTCAGTGCTTTCCTAGGAAATTCATGAGAAAACTGGCAGGAGACAGCGTCTGGCGGAGTAAGAATGAGACAGCTGTTTCTCCTTAGAAGGGAAAAAACAGTAAAGGCTCTCAAGAGGCCTACCCGGTTCGGCACCCTGAACTTCTACAAACCAGACCTCAAAGGCTCCCCACAGAAAGCCACCATCTTCCATTCACTTCCATCCCCTGTAGGAGAAAAAGGCACAGCACCTGCTTTCTGCTGCTGAAGTCAGCCGCAATGACTTCCGTCACGGGCTGACACAGGTACTTTTTTTTGGTCTGTGAGAACACATTAAAGAAAGGGGCAGACGTGTTTACAAAGTGATGTCAACTTCACAAAAAATATCCTGTCCACAGAAAAACAGCCCAGTGGCGGTGAGCGCATTGAATTAGGACAAGGACACCTCACGTGTCCCTGGTGGCTTGATTTGCAATTCTTGCCTTAGTTTACATTCACTATTTTAAAATAATTTGGGAAGAGGAGAGATGATCAAAGTCTTTTTCCTCACATGAAAAGAGCATGGGAAAGTGGTTTTCAGACACAGCACAGAACGTATAAAACCCTGCGGCAGGGACAAATGGGATACCAACTCTCAATTGCAACATCCAAGACAGAGTTCTAGCTTTCAAGGAGCTAACCACCCAGCAGGATTGACAGGGGAGATGCGACCTCACAACGGAGGCAACATCGCGGGTGTACAGAGGAGGAAAAGTGGCCAGGGGCAAAATTCACACAACTCGCAGGACCATGTGCTGTGGGCACGGTGACCTGTCTTCCCAATCAGTACTTGGAGGATGCTACTCCCTCGCTGCTAACTGCCCACACCTGCCCTGCACCACCCACCTCACACCATTACTGCATGCAGTCACCAGCCTGCCCCGTCCTTCCACCCCCACATCATTCTCACAGGAGGCGCAACCCTTCTGAGACAAAGTCACGCGAGAGCTACCAGTGAGGCAGCACTGCCTCTGGGAAGTCTTCCTGCACACCTGCCCACAGCCTCTCCCTCCCTGACAGCTGCAGAGCACTGGCAGCACTGCACCATCTCCTGTGGGTGAACGCCCGTGTGCTGCCACTGAGTAAGTCATCCCTGCGTGCTTCCAGAATGGGGCGGGCTGCAGGGGCCTGCAGTGTCGCAGGACCACGCAGAGAGAGACAGGCATGCATCCTGTGAGCCCACGCGTGCCCACCCGGCCACACCGCAGGCTCCTCACCTCTACCTCCCACAGGGCCTTGGAGCTGGTGGCCGACGTGGCCGACTGGCGGCCAGTGGTCCTCAGGAACACATGCTGCTTCTTGCGGTGCTCGTCACAGGTGAGAAACTTCTCCTGCTCGGCATGGAACAGCCTCACCACGTCGCCCTGCGCGCCAGCAAGAGACAGGGACCTCGCTGCCGCCCTGACAGATGCCACGCCTCACACGGCCGCCCCGCCCCGCCCCCAGCGCCCACCTACCCCCTTCAGGATGTCATCCTTGTTGTCGCTCCATTTCATGAAAAGCACGATTTTCCAGCTCGTGTTGCAGTTGACGGAGTTGACCTGGGGACATGGCAGAGCCCGTTTCTCACGCAGCCTTCTTAACAGCTGCGTGTGTTCTACTATCAGAAGAGACTTTCACCAGACAAGCATCCTAATTTGAAAACCTGAAACCCAAAATGCTGCAAAACCCACACCGGGCTCACAAGGCTCCGATGCGAGAGCACTCTGGAGTCTGGCTCCTTGGATCGAGTTGTCCCAACTGGATCCCCCTGTGGGCACCGCTACTCTGGGGTGCACCCTTCCTAGGCATCAGAAAAAGATGCCCCACTGCCCAGAAAAAAAAATGGTGGAAGGGACCCTCCCCAGCTTAACACTGAGAAGGATGCCCCACCCCCACCACCAGTGAAGCAGGTTCAGCAAATGAGCACTGGAGGAGAGAGATTTGTACCTGCACCTGACATCCACCACACTGCAGGGGTGGATACAGACCCACACCTGACACCACGCTGCAGGGGGTACATACAGACCCACACCTGTCACCCACACTGCAGGGGTGGATACAGACCCACACCTGACACCCACACTGCAGGGGTGGATACAGACCCACACCTGACACCCACGCTGCAGGGGGTACATACAGACCCACACCTGACACCCACACTGCAGGAGTACATACAGACCCACACCTGACACCCACACTGCAGGAATACATACAGACCCACACCTGACACCCACACTGCAGGAGTACATACAGACCCACACCTGACACCCACACTGCAGGAGTACATACAGACCCACACCTGCCACCCACACTGCAGGAGTGGATGCAGACCCACACCTGTCACCACGCTGCAGGGGTGAGTACAGACCCACACCTGCCACCCACACTGCAGGGGTGGATACAGACCCACACCTGCCACCCACAATAGAAGGGTGGATACAGACCCACACCTGCAACCCACACTGTAGGGGTGGATACAGACTCACACCTGTCACTACGCTGCAGGGGTGGATACAGACCCACACCTGCCACCCACACTGCAGGGGTGGATACAGACTCACACCTGCCACCCACACTAGAAGGGTGGATACAGACCCACACCTGTCACCCACACTGCAGGGGTGGATACAGACCCACACCTGCCACCCACACTGCAGGGGTGGATACAGACTCACACCTGCCACCCACACTAGAAGGGTGGATACAGACCCACACCTGCCACCCGCACTGCAGGGGTGGGTACAGACCCACACCTGCCACCCACACTGCAGGGGTGGGTACAGACCCACACCTGTCACCCACAGCACAGACTTGCACAGCCTTATGTGACAGCCCCAATCTTGAGTCTAGCTTTCCTCACAATGCCCACATCACTGCCAGCATCCCTGTCAGCATGGCCCAGGACGGCGTCTCCTGCACGTGACCCTCCCCTAGTCACCACACAGTCCCCTTACCTCGTTGCAGCCTGGGTTGTCCACGAGCTGGTGGCTGCTGGCATGCAGGGGCTGACCAGCATTGACAGGGTTCAGCACAACCTTGTCCCCGATGACCACCTGCACAGGGAGGGAGCACAGAGCCTTTCACTCATCACCGATGCCACAGGCTCACCAGGAGCACTCTGGGCAGAGCCTCATGGGCCAGCTGAAGTAGGCACCAGTGGGCTCCTGCATCTGCCTAAGGCTGCTTTGTCCCACACGCATCAGTGGTCACAGATCTGTTCCAAGGGAACCAGAGTGGGGAGAAGACACTCTCATCTGTTACCTTCAGCTGAGCTATCTGCAGAAGTGAGGTCAAACCAAATTCTACGGAGAACAGGACACTGTCTGAGCTAAGTCTTTATCTGTGAAAAAACAAAGCCACAGTTTTATGTCTTTAAAGCAGTCACATCTGTGTTTACTGCAACCCTCATTAGGAAGTACATTCTAAGGGCCTGCGTTGTGGTACAATGGGTAAAAGCCACTGCCTGCGACGCTAGCATCCCACAGGGCACCAGCTCATGTGTTCAGCAGTCCCAGCTGCTCCATTTCGGACCCTGCCCCCACTAATGGCCTGGGAAAAGTAGCAGAGGATGGCCCAAGTGTTTGGGACCCTGCCATAATACAGGAATCCCAGACGAAGTTCCCAGCTCCTGACCTCAGCTTGGCCTAGTGCCAGCCTTTGCAGCCCTCTGAACCAGTGGACAGAAGATCTCTTTCTGTCTCTACCCGTCTCTCTGTAACTCTTTCAAAATCAATCTTAGAAAGAAAAAAAAAGTACATTTTTGGGCACGTGTTAGGCCTCTTGGTTTAGCTGGCTACACCACAGGTCACACTGCAGTACCTGGGTTCAGCTCAACCTCCAGCCCTGCCCACAGCTCCTGCTCATTCCACCCAAGGAGGCAGCAGCAATGGCTCACGTACTTGGCTTCCTGTCACCCACACGGGAGACTTGGAATGGGTCCCCAGCTCCCAGCTTGGGCCCTAGCCCAGCCCTGACTGATGCAGGGCATTTGGGAAGTGAATGGGAAGGCAGAAGCATGTTCTTCCTCTCTCCCTCCCTGTCTCTCAAATAAAAGTAATCAAATACAACAAATAAATAAATGAAGAGAAAGTACACTTTCCACCCTGACCCTGCCATGCGTGTAGCCACGAGCCTGTGTGCACCTGCTTACCATGCCCTAAAGCAACACTTATCCTCACGACGTGTCACCCAGCCATTTTCTGAGACAACACTCACAACCACTAAATTCACCCCATGACCCACGATCTCTGAAACACTGCTTGACAAGCCCCGCTGTTCCAGTCCTCATCTCTTCTCAACAGAGTCACAGCCACAGAGACTAAAGCAGAGGAAAGCAGCGGCACTGCTGAAGATGGAACTGACAACAATTTTATTCTGGGGGCAGAAGGAAGAGGAATGGGAGGAGAAGGCTGCTTAAGATGCAAAACCTGGACGGTGCCATGGCTCACTAGGCTAATCCTCTGCCTGTGGTGCCGGCACCCCGGGTTCTAGTCGTAGTTGGGGCGCCGGATTCTGTCCCGGTCACTCCTCTTCCAGGCCAGCTCTCTGCTGTGGCCCGGGAGTGCAGTGGAGGATGGCCCAAGTGCTTGGGCCCTGCACCCACATGGGAGACCAGGAGAGGCACTTGGCTCCTGGCTTCGGATCAGCGCTTTGTGCCGGCCACAGTGCGCTGGCCGCAGCGGCCATTGGAGGGTGAACCAACGGAAAAAGGAAGACCTTTCTCTCTGTCTCTCACTGTCCCCTCTGCCTGTAAAAAAAAAAAAAAAAGATGCAAAACCTGTCTATTTTCTGTTTGATCTGTCTGGGGAACACACAAGACAGAATTTCTCAACTCCAAATGAATACGAGGTCAGCGCCACCCACACTGTGGTGACACCTAAGTTCTGGACTTTTCCTTCTGGCCTCAGTCAGGAACCAACACACCCACTGTGAGTCAAGTGTCCGGCACTGGACCCTAAGCAATCTAAGAGACAGACAGGAAGGTAGATATAGATATGGATATCGGTGATCTCTGCATATGTACATTACATGTAATGCAGTCACACACACACACACACACACACACACACACACCTATTAACTGCTGAAAGCTTATAAACACAAATGGCACTACCAGAAAGTGTCAGAACTCAGATTTAGGTTAAGGCTAGGCTGAGCACCTATTTCCTTTCAAGGAAAAGCCACTATTTCAGAATCCTGCAAGGTCAAAATCACAGGTGATGGCATTTAAAGACTCCCTGTTAATTCTGGGCCCACACAATGGCTTAGGAACTAAGCTGACAAATACATAGTACAAAGTCACCCCGAAGGGATGCCTGTGCCCTCAGGAGCAGGGCCCAGCCAGAGCCGGTGACAGCCACTATAGGAGGCGCCACTTCCACCACCTGTTCTCCACCTGGGAACAAGTGAGGTTGGTCCTGAAATCACGCCTCTCCCCACACCAGCTATGTCTGCCCCACCCTTCTTCACAACCAGATTCCAAAGCGAGAAGCCAGTTTTGCACCACGGCAGGAACCGGGAGACAGGGCCCTCCTGAACGCTACAGTGGGACGGCTGTTTTCTGGGCTCAGTGCGTGAGGTAACGGGCTGTGTGTGTGATACTTTCAGAGGCCCAGAAAAAAACCACAGCGGTGTATTCCGGTCAGCCCCGTGTCCACACTCCCGTCTCCACAGCAACGCCCTCTGCATCCCGGGCAGGCCTCCGGTTCCAGCTTCACACTTCCCCAAGGTGAGGCCGGCAGCCAGGGCGGTGGGAGGCGCAGCGCGAAACCGGTGGCACGCTGGGACTTACGCTGTCTCCGATGGAGCGCAGCTTGTAGAAGGGCTGGATGTAGAACCAGGAGCCTTCGTTCCCCGCCTCGTCCAGCGTCACCCGCATGGCGTTCTTCTCCAGCAGTGCCGGGAGCCTCTTGTTCACTGTCAGGTATTTATTGCTCTTCAGGTGCAGGAGCTGAAACCCAGCCAGCGAACAAGGTGAGCATCGCGGCTCTGCGTATCCCGCGGCTTCTCTCTCGGGCACGTGAAATACGGATCAAACCTGCCTCCCACCACTGTGAACTGAGGGAAGCACGAAGTGCCCATGGCTGGGAACCATCAGAGGAGCCAAGGGCATGGGGAGCAGAAGCAGAGGGCAGAGAGTAGAGAAATATTTTTTTCTTTCTCAACATAGCCCTCTGTTAGTGGGGAGGGGCCGAGGAGCTGCAGCCCCCACTCAGCCTCCCCCAGGTGGGGCAGACGGATGCAGCTCCGCCAGGGGCTGTCATTTCAGGTGCATTCCCACTCTGACTCTGCAAGCACCTGGCTCTTGGGCAGTGCTGACAAGAAGGGGTGGGAGGAACAGATCAAGGCAGGCAGTGAGGTGTTGGACAGCTGCTGCACACAGGGAAGCATAAGGCAGGGCTTCCCCACTCAACAGGCTGCCGAGGGAAAAGAAGAGAAATGCACCCAGCCAGTCCCTTGAGAAAGGCTGAGACCAGGGTGTCCCCTGCCAATGCCCCTCTCCCATGGCAACAGACACAGGGGTTGGGGCATCCTAACAGGCACCCAAATCTTCTAACAGAAGCAGTTACGTGGCTGACTCATATCCCCTGGCTAAGACAGACAAGGGGAAGCCAGCATCTTCCAAGCTGGTCGCTGACCTTCCACACACCTGTCAAGGTGACGGCAAAGGTTTACAAACCTACAGTACCTACAGGCAGACCCCAAGACCCGGGCTGGGGGAGTCATGATGACCAAGGTTAGTCTACAAATACAGTGTCCCCTGTGGCAGGTGTCTCTCAGACACCCTGGGAAGCAGACACCATGACCATCCCCATTTCACTCACAAACAATTAAGACACAGCAAGATTTCTTGTCCCAAATCTCACAATCACCCAGGAGTGCCGGTTTCCTGTCCCAAGTGCCTCTTTCCTCTTCAGGTGAAGCCCAATCTGACCTCATCAGCGAGTCCTGCACCTGAGCCCCAGGTCACTGGCTGGGCCACGTGAACTCGGAGCTCACTCGGCCCTCGTATCCATTCTCACTTGTGTGGAACTGGAGCATGAAGAGTGGACAGGCAAGAGCTAACCTTCTAAGAAGCTTTGGCATCCACTTTCATTGTCTCAAAAGGTAAAACAACCCATTCAAACACAAAGCTCAGTTACCAGCTGTTTCTGGTTTTCCCTCTGGTTAGCACTGCTCTACTCCTAATACCGATGAAAATGGGAAGGGTTTCCTTTGTAGTCAGTCAAGCTAAGGCAATAATAAGCAAAACCTTTCAATGAGAGAAATAAAATAACAAAGCAGGATAAGCAAATGGGTCAGGTGCTCCCCAGCTGGGAAGTGCTATCTGCCCTCTGAGCCAGGGCCAGAGATCCGGCGACTGGACAAGTCGAGAAGGACATGGGTGTGGCGCCGGCTCACACACCGTGCAAGGCTCGAGTCCACCAGACACATCCTCGGAGCAGCGCTGGTAAAAGCTGTTGCCTGGACTGCACCTGCTCCCACGAGCCAAGTGAACCTTATAATGTGCGAACCAAGATACACATGGTTACCAGTTACGTGCCACAAATAAAAGTGCATCCAAGTGAATGATCAATTTTTAAAATGATGAAGGTCCAGGATGCTCCCCGACGACTTCCCGAGAACATCTCATGACCAAGAGATAAAACTGATGGGAAATCGACTTCTACCACACAGGAAGAAGCTTCCAGCAACACAAATCAAAACTCTAACAGCCAGACTCCTTTTGAATGAACTGTCTGGACCTGTCAATTATCAGCTAACAGAAGAGGGGTAGATCCTTGCACTGTGATAGAACTAACCCAAACTCCCAAGTCCACAGCACCTGTCAAGAAACCGTACTTCCCGGCCATCTCCACGGCTCCTACCACGCAGGGGTCTCGCCCCGTGCCAAGGGCTCACTTTCCATTCGCAGGCACATGAAAGCTCCCGAAGACAGCGGCTGCCCCGACCCACCTGGATGACGTTGCCATACTGGATCACGGTCCCCAGCAGCTTCCTGTTTTCTGTCTCATTCTGTTTCTTTTCCAAGTCTGCAGCGTGCTGTATGAGGAGGAGGAAGATGGTCACAGAGCGCAGTGGGTTAGAGCTCTCTGCAGCGATGGTGCACAATGCACGTGCCCGCCTAACACAAGAGCAAAAGAAACACGCCAGCCTCCAGGGACTCCCAAGACCACAGCAAACGAGCCCAGCACTTCAAAGCCAAGCCTTGTCACCTTTGCTTTGCTGGCCCTCTCAGCTTCTTTAAAATGTATTTTTCCCTTTATGGAATGTATGAACATTTGTTTAAGAGGAAAGTCAAATGATTATATGGGTAAGCAGCAGAGGGAATCTGCATAACCCCCCATGAGTTCTTAGAGTCCTCTCTGCGTGCAGCAGTACAGCTACCACTCAGGACACCCACATCCCATCTCAGACTGCCTGAGCTTCTGATTCAGCTTCCGGCTTCCGGCTTCCCTGGGAGGCAGCAGGTGACAGCGTAAGTACCTGGGTCCCTGCCACCCACATCAAAGACCTGGACAGTTTCTGGCTCCTGGATCTGGTCTGATCCAGCACTGGCTGTTGTGGACACTTGGAGAGTGAACCAGCAGATGGAAGATCTGTGTGTGTGTGTGTGTGTGTGTGTGTGTGTATAACTCTGCCTAATTAATAAAAACAAACATTTTTTAAAAAGAGTCCTCTCTGAGGCCGTGGAGGGAGATATAACTGGATCTTAAGGCTGATTTTGGGTGGTCTGTAGTTTTGTGACTTTGACCTTCGACATCTACGAGCCTCAGTGTCCTCTCTTGTAAACAAGGATACATGTGGGAGCCGACACTGTGGTGTAGCGGTTAAAGCTGCTGCCTGCAGTGCTGGCATCCCATACGGGCGCCAGTTTGCGTCCCAGCTGCTCCACTTCTGATCCAGCTCTCTTCTATGGCCTGGGAAAGCAGCAGCAGACTGGCCAAGTCCTTGGGCCCCTGCACCTGTGTGGGAGACCCAGAAGAAGCTCCTGGCTCCTGGCTTTGGATCAGCTCAGTTCTGGCCATTGCAGCCAACTGGGGAGAGAACTAATGAATGGAAGATCTCTCACTCCCACTCTCACTCTCACTCTCTCTGCCTCTCTTCTGTGTAACTTTGACCTTCAAATAAATCTTAAAAAAAAAAAAAAGGATAAATGTAGCACCTACACCTCAGAGGCGCCCCACAGCCCAGTGCCTACTCCCAGGGCACACATGGCCTATGAGCAGTTGTCATTACCTCACCACTGTCACAGTCGCTCAACGGAAAGACAGTTTTCCCAATTTTAAGGAAGAAGAAACTGACACAAGACATGTTTAAAAAAAGTTCACTCACCATCCCAAAAGGGGTTCTAACACTATTTTCCCTATTTCTGTTACTTGTGCAATTCTGCTTAACATTTTTTAATCTTACATTTATTAAGCGGCAGAGATAATCCCCAACCCCAGACCTGGGTCAATTCCAAGTCTCTACAGTGACAAATGAGGCTGGGAGACATGCCCGGCTCAGACACGGCATGCCAGGAATGCAGCGAGGCTGAGCAGAGGGTTCCAGGACAGCCTGCCAGAGCCACCGTCCGACAGCCACTGTTCATTCATGCACCTGAGGGCACTGCGCCCATACAACCACGATGCCGGAGGCAGCTGCTTTCCTCCAAAGCAACTAGTAACCTGCTGTGCTGACCCAAACCTAGACCAGGTAAGAGAGGGATGAAGTACAAGGGACAGAATTAATAATGAACATGACCGACGACCAGGGGCACGCTTCAGAGTGTCCCCGCGATGCCTTCCTCGAGCTTCCCCATCCATGGGCTGCCAAGGGCCCCTTGCTCCTGGGTAGTGTGTCTGTACTTCCTCAGGCTTCCCCTCGCACCAGCTGTCGCCGTGCCCAGGTCATGACACCTCACGAGGCTCACTCCGTGTGCCCAACGCAAACCCAGGACAGCAGAGACACCTGGACAAGATGTGCTCCAGACCTGTAACAGCTTCCCAGTACCAACTTTAACCAGCATCGTCATGCACGAGTGTCTGAAACTAAGAAATGCTCTGACAAGGAAAGATCTGAACAATCAGCTGGGCTGGCTGAGCTAAGAATCCATCCAAGGACCTCAAGCTCAGCTCTGCTGCACCTCCCTGGAGTCGGAGCATCTGTGGGAAGGTTCACCTTTTAAGAAAAGTAAATCACAGGACAAAATCCTCAACAGAAACCAACCGTCTCACAGGTGGCACATGATCAGCGACGTTTGGTCACATGGGTCTCTTCCAGTCCACCACACCCGTGCAACTGCCGAGGGCATGGTGCGCTGAGATGCTCACCCACGCCCGAGGGATCAGGCTCCTGCCTGCTGCGTGGTAACAGGAGGACAGAGCCTCCTGTGCTCCAGACGCATTCAGAAGTCATGCACTCAACAGCAGCAACCTGGGCGTCCTCAGCGAAGGCTCTCTCCGCACACAGCCCCTGCCCCACACACCACACCTGCCCTCTCCCTGTATGTGGCCTCTCCCACACTGCTCCCGGTTCTCGGCCCTGCCGACATCTCCGCGTGCTGCAGGCCCTGGGAATGGAGGTGAGGGTCTGCAGGGAGTCGCCTGCTCTTTCTGCTGAGCCATGCTGCTGGGAAACGCAAGAGGGAAGCGTGGCTAAGCCGTGGACTCAGTAAAATGGAATGTAACCATGTCTAGCATGCAAAAGCAGCTTTCTCTGCTCAACATCACAGCCCCATTTCTTGGACTCAAATGATACAAGGACAGCTCTGTAATAGGAAAACTCTTAGGGTCTCTCCTTACCCTAAGGATTCCCAAGGGCTTCTGCTTAAGGAACAGGAATCCAAATGATAAAATTCCTATCTATGCAGAAGCTAAGTATAAAAGCAGCATTTCAGGGCTCACTGGTTTATCTAAAAAGAAACATAGTAGTGACCACTAAGAGAGCAAATATTCCGTATTTAATTAACCAGCAGCAGCTCTGAAAAGCAAGGGTATTTATCTACAAACATACAAAAAGTAAAGACAGAACAGAAAATAAAAAAACTTAAGAATAAATACCTAAGGACTTCTCTTTAAGATATTCTTGCGGCCAGCGCCGCGGCTCACTAGGCTAATCCTCCACCTTGCGGCGCCGGCACACCGGGTTCTAGTCCCGGTTGCGGCGCCGGATTGCTCCTCTTCCAGGCCAGCTCTCTGCTGTGGCCAGGGAGTGCAGTGGAGGATGGCCCAAGTGCTTGGGCCCTGCACCCCATGGGAGACCAGGATAAGTACCTGGCTCCTCCCATCGGATCAGCGCGGTGCACTGGCCGCAGCGCACCAGCCGCGGTGGCCACTGGAGGGTGAACCAACGGCAAAGGAAGACCTTTCTCTCTGTCTCTCTCTCTCACTGTCCACTCTACCTGTCCAAAAAAAAAGAAAAAAAAAAGATATTCTTGAAGACCACATCTAAAACCCTGCTGAAGGAAGAGTCAAAGCTGTCAGATCTGTTACCAAAGTCCCACGACGACCCAGCCAGAATACCACTATGGAAACAGGCAATGCACTGGGGTACCAGACTTCCTGTTAAGTTCTTAGGAAGAAAACCTTCATTCATTTCACCATTTACAAAACCCATAAATAACCAAATGCGTTCACACCTCTGTCTTAGGTAACTACCCTCAAACTCAAATTCAGTTTTCAGAAGAAAACATCCAACAGGACCCTCAGGTACGATGAGCATGGCGGCAGGCTGATGACTAGGGAACAAGGTGGAGGTGCCTGTCTCCCGTACTACAGCAGCAGGGTTTGACACCTGGTGCTTCTGACTCCAGCTTCCGGCCACAGGGGCCCAGGAAGCCAGCGGTGACAGCTCAGTTAACTGGGTTCCTGCCCCAACATGGGAGACCAGATTGCCCTCCTACCCCTCAGCTCAGCCCCTGCCACTGCCATCATGGACACCTGGGGACAGAGCCAAAACACTACCTGTGTGTGTCTGTCTCTCATCAATGTCTCAAAATTCTAGCTTCTTAAAAAGGTAGCAAGGTACACATCATGCCTCAGCTCACTGGTTATGGTGGCCTCCACCCCGAACAGAACGAGATCTCATAGGCTGAACCTCTTGAGTACATTCCAAGAACAGCTCCCACCATGAGACAGTGAGCTGGAACCACCTTTCTCTGGGTGCTCAGGCAGCACGGCCAGGTGAGCTTTCTGGCAAGCCTCACAGGGACCGAGCATTCCCACTTGTGGGAGCTACTCCCAAGCAGGGAACCTGACACAAGAAGACCTTTGTCTCAGAAACGCCAGCAACCATCAGGATCCTCAACCCCACTCCAGCCCCAGTCCCCACTGGGACTGCCTATCTACGACCACAGTCCTGCCACGCTGTGCAGTGAGCATGTGAGCCTAAGAGTCAGGCCAGAGAGTCCTGTTCAGGCAGGACATACGAGAGTTAACACAGCTGGAGGAAGGCGGGCAGCAGCTTCCCTGAGAGGAAAAGGCAGCAACACCGGACAGAATGGAAATGAAAACCAAGGCTACTGCTCAGGCCTAGGGTTGAGGAATATCAATTTTTTTTTCTTTTTCCTGCAACACTCGTGTGTGTAATTTCTTCAAAATCATCAACATGTGGGCTGGGACTGTGGTGCAGCAGCTTAAGCCACCATCTGCAACGCCAGCTTCCTGTATGAGAGCAGCAATGTGAGCTCCAGATGCTCTGCTTTCGATCTGGCTTCCTGTTAGTGCAGCTGTGATGTGGCTGAAGATGGCCCCTGCCATCCATGTGGGAGACCAGAGTGGAGCTCCTGGCTTTGGACTGGCCCAGACCTGAGGGTTGTGGCCTTTTGGATACTGAAGCAGCTGACAGAGATCTCTCTCACTCTATGCCACTAGGCTTTCCAAATAAATAAAAAATCACCACCATGGGCGCCGGTGCTGTAGCACAGCAGGTTAAGCTACCACCTACAGACCTACAGTGCCAACATCTCATATGGGCACCAGTTCCAATCCAGCTTCCTGCTAATGTTAGCCTTGGAAAGTAGTGGAAGATGGTCCAAGTCCTTGGGCCCCTGCACCCATGTGGGAGACCCAGAAGAAGCTCCTGGCTCCTGGCTTCAGTTTGGCCCAACCTTAGCTGTTGTGGTCATCTGGGAAGTGAACCAGTGGATGGAAGATCTCTCAATCTCTCTCTCTCTCTCTCTCTCTCTCTCTCTGCCTTTTCCTCTCTGCAACTCCGCCTTTCAAATAAGATAAATAAATCTTAAAAAAAAAAAATCACCACCAGGTTTCTGTGACATGTAGCTAGCATCTTGCAAAATATCATCCTAAATTACCCTTTCATTTTTCAAAATGTCTCATCATCGAGATATCTGTTAACCTCTTCCCTCGGTCAGCGTGTTGAGGACTGCTTCTAACTTCTAAGGAAGAAAGAAGTCTACACTAGAGTCTCTCCCGCGGTTACCACACCACGTTCTCCAGCAACATCAAGGTCAGCCCCCTGGCATTCACCTGTCCTTTCACTTCACACAGAGAAACCATTATCAAATGACCGCAGAGAGGTCACTGGAACCGCAAGGAAAGGCTTCTGATTTAAGGTGAGCAAACTCTGAAGCATGTCAGGGATACTCAGCTACGGCTCTAACAGCAGGCAGTGCAGGGCCAGGCCCTCCAAGACAGGAAGGGCTGGTCACTGCCTGGTGCTTCCCCGCTGGCCAAGGCTGCAGCTCCGCTTAAGCGATCGCTTCCCAGCACCAGAGCAGTGCCGGTGACTAAGTCAAGGTAACAGGCCTGGCGTCAGCACACAGCAACCAAGGAGTGATCAGTGCGCGGCCTGCGGGCCGGGGCAGCTCATCTGCCAAGGACTCCAGGAAAGCAGCACCTAGAGGGCCACAAGGCAGACGTTCCCGAGAAGGAGCACACACCGCGCCGGGCTCGAGGTGCCGTTGTCCCTCGAGATGCCCACACCCTCAGGGGTGCGGGGCTGCCCGTCACCACAAGGCAGTGTAGCGGTCATTAACAGCAAAGCCATTATACGACATTAATCTACAACAGTCTTAACTTGCACTGGCAAGATGCACAGTAATTGACAAAAAATAAAAATGAAAACCCACTGGGAAATGGCCAGCAGCCCCCAGAGGCAGGTGGCTGCCCAAAAGCTCATTCTGACCACTGCCTGAAACACGAGGACGGCTTCCGGGCACGAGGCGGGATAACCTCAAGTACGCAGGAACACGGACCTGCACCAAGTCCATACTCCAGACCCGGGAGTCTCCTCAGAAGCATCATACAGGAGAAAGCACTGGTGTCAGGGTTTCAGACATCCGCGATCAGCACAGAAGAGCTCATTCAGCTTCCCTCTTTCTTAATAAGGAGCTGAAGTTCTGGGGCATCATTAGGGCTAGGTTCTCTCCACCTGCACTGCTTCTCCTCTGTTCATCTGCAGGCAGAGGCATCAAAAAGAACTGCTGATCAAATACAACATCTGATGGGCAGGTGCCAATGGGGCTGAAGGACCTCACCCCACCAGGGCTGTTTTCTGTTGCCCTCAATGCATGTTGGAAGCCTTAGTTGAATTAGCCACCCACATGTTTCAGCAATCCAGATACCACACATAAAAGCACCAATGTGTATCTTCTGGAGAAAACCCAGAGGGGCGGCAGCGGCCCTGGCCAGCCTCCCACACGGCGACACCCCTCCAGCCCCCTTCATTCCCGCTGGCGTCCTGCAGAGCCAAGAGGAATGTGAACCAGCAAGCCCTGCTGTGAAGAGCACAGGAGGAGCAGGAGTGGGAGGCACACTGACAAGATCTCCACGAACAGAAGGAACATTGCACCAGCCAAGCAGAGCAGGACAACCCAAGACACGCAGCCCTTCCACATGGCCAGGCAAGCGCTCTCCACAGGGACACTTGCAGGCCGGGCAACCTTCCCCAGCGTGCAGCTGACGCTCCTGCTCCCAGCACAGTCCTCAGCGGACACTGCACTGGCACGAGAGGAGGAAGTGCTACTCAGTAGACAGGGGTCAGGGGCGTGGGTGGTGGCGCCCCACACAAGGGTGAGCCGTCACTCCACATAAGCTGGAGGGTCGTCTAGGCTGAAAACTGATCAGAACCAGGACCTCACTCCATCTGCCTCTCAACACGAAGCACAGTTGCGCATGGCTTCATTGATACTGTTGCTAGTATGACACTACCTGAGAAAGTTCACGGAAAAGGGTGATTAAGGAGCCCGTACTGCAGCACAGGGCCCAACAGATTCAGCCACCGCCTGTGCCACTAGCCCACATGAGCTCCAGTTCAAGTCCCAGCTGCTCCATCGCTGATCCAGCTCCCTGCGAATGCACCTGGGAGAGCAGCAGCAGATGTCCCAAGTGCTTGGACCCCTGCACCCACATGGGAGACCTGGATAGAGGTTTAGGCTCCTGGCCTCAGCAGGGGACTGTGGCCATCTGGAGGGTAAACCAGAGGACAAAAGATCTCTAACTCTTCCAAACAAATAACAAAAACAAAAAGACAAACTACAAGGACAATTAAAAGACAAGCTCGCTTTGGGGCTAAAGAATTTTTTGAAATCCATGCAGGTTTTTCCTAATACACGCTTCCATGGACTTTTTGAAGAACCCTTGTACATCTTCCAAAAGTGCAAGTCCTCCCTAACGAAGGCAAGCGTGTGATCTGCATGCTTCACACGTGTTCTGGAAAATCACGTCAGAGCGGCATGCTGTTCGCGTCGCCCACTGCAGCTGTGTCGCTCACGGGGCCTGCACAGAGAGCTGCCAGCACTGACATCCTCACGCCTCACCCAGCATCGTTCCCACGCATCAGCTACAGCACACAGCCTGCCACACAGTTTGCTACTTCCCTCTTATTTTCCCTTTAGAGTCTATTGCCTTCAATTGGGTCTTGGTTATTTATGAGTCTTATTTCACATTCATAAGGTTGTATAATGTAGGCCAGAAGCAGCAGCAGTGGCAACCAGTGTTGTGCGGTGAGTACAGCTGCAGCCTGAGACGCCTGCACACGGCTGCCTGCTACTGTGCCTGGTGACGGCCCAGCACTTGAGTCCCAGCCGCCCACACGGAGAGCCGGATGGAGTTCTGGGCTCCTGGCTTTGGGCTGGCCCAGTCCTGGCTGTTGTGGGCATTTGGGGGATGAATTAACAGATGGAAGCACGTTCTCTCGGCTCTCTGACTTTCCCTCTGTCTCTATCATTCTGCCTTTCATATAACTAAGTAAAATTATAATCTCTGTTTTTAAAAACAGAGAGAGAGCAAGGAGTCTTCGGAGATTGAGAATGTCTAACACAAACATTGGAATACTAAGAATGCAGTGAGCAAGACCTTCAAAGAATCCTCTAACTCACACAGGGGCCTCAAGCAGAGGCTGACTGTCCCTCTTCCTCCAGGAAGCCCTCTCTGACCACTGGACCACACATCCTCACCCAGCGGAGGTCGTTTGTGGCGCCACTCTCTGTGGCCTGGATGCGGTCCTCGTCGCACCATCTTGTCACTACTGGGGTATTTGTTGTGAGCCCCAGAGTACGAACTTTGTGCCCATTTCTCTACCAGTATCCAGCACAGCACCCACCCGCTCCCCTCAGCAGACACCTGAGCACCGCCTGCTCTTGTTCCCTACCCATGGGCACGGACACTCCAGTGAACAAGAGAGGTGATGCCCTGGCCTCTGACAAGTGACAGGTGCCAATCACAGCCGAGCACACCAGCCCTGGGAAGACCCAGCTGGGCACAGCGACTGAATAAACAAGTGGGGCCTTCTGGTCAGGGCCGGGGAGGACCTGTGGAGGTATCCTGTGCCATCACTAGGGCCCGAGGCCCTCGCTGAGGAGGGTCTCAAGGAGAATGCCCCCAGAGGACAAACTGGGCAGCGAGGGTCAGGAGCCTGCTCAGAGTCTGCAGTGCTCAGGAAACAGACTGAAACGGCAGGGGTGGGAGTGAGGACCGCTGGGACGCAGGTCCCAGTCTCAGAGGAGCCGGACCCACACCGGGGTGACCTTGCAGACAAGGACCAAGCAGG